GAAAGCAAAAGCTGTCCTCAGTTTTGTTAAACGTTGGTCTAAAGAATTTAGAGATCCGTATATTACTAAAACACTTTATACAACTTTGGTTAGACCTATATTGGAATATGGTTCTGTGGTATGGAACCCTAGCTACCAAATCCATTCTGACAAGTTAGAGTCGGTTCAAAAACAATTTTTACTTTTCGCCTTAGCGCATTTCCGATGGGATGCTAGGGTAAGTCTACCTCCATACACAAGTCGTTTAAAACTTATTAATCTACCTACACTTTCTAGTCGTAGGGAAATGCTTGGCATAATATTCTTAGTGAAACTTTTGAATGGAACTGTTTGCAGTTCTTTTCTCCTGTCTGAAATTAAATTTAATATCCCGGTTCGCCTTTCGAGGCAGTTTAGACCTTTACTGCTAAAATCCTGTAGATCAAATTTTGAACTAAACGAGCCATTCCGCCGTATATGTCATGATTTTAATTCTCATTCCAGCACATTTGACTTATCTGACTCACTTTTCAAAATTAAAAAGACTTTATTGTTCTCTCTTAATAAATGAAAATGTAACAATTTATTATATTGTAACTTTAGATCTTAGCTGTTGAAATTTTTGTTTCTGTAGCTGAGCAGTTTTAGATCTCAACACTTAAAAAACTCTCTTGCCTTTTCTGACTCGGCTAATTCCGCACGTATGCGGATTGCGCCCCTCGCGTCGGTTGGGCGGGAGGAGGGTAATCGTTGGGTTTATTATTATTATTTAAAGCTTCTTTTATATTCGTGGTATTACCGATTCTACGAACATTTATCAAATACTGATAAGATAGCTATGACTTGGGGAAAATCTAATATTAATTTACAGCTAGTTAATTTTCATAATATTCTTGATGCTTATGTGGTGTTGCGTTTTATTTATAGCACTAGAAGAAAAAAAGATTAACTTCGACTGCGATGGGGCTATAATACACTTCATAAGTGTATTACTATATGTGAAAACGTAACTGTCCAATAGAAAAACCTTTTGCTAGTTCTTTCAGACACAACCTTCAATTCGAACTAAGATTACTTAATAAGCAAAAATTATGTTTTATGAAGATCTTTATCGTGTTTGTGACCGATTAGTTTATACAAGTACTTGTATAGCAGCTATATGCTCTAGTGGTCCAATATACATATGTAGCTGGTTCCGATAAATGAGTACAGACCGAAGGACATGACTAAATCGAGTGAGCTCGTTACGCTGATCATTTATATATATTTCTTATAGAGTCTCCGACGTTTCATTCTCTATGTTACAAACTTCATGGCAAACTTAATACATATACGCTGCTTAGGGCGTAAAATTTTAACACTATCCAGTGACTCGTATCTAAACTAATTAAATCGTCGGTCAGTAATAAAATATGAATTAATTAGTTTCAGCTAATTTCTATGAAAACCATTATACGATTTCCGTCACACATATATGTATGTACATATGTACAGGCTACTATACTTGAATGTTTATGTAGCTGTCTTCGATTCGTCATTTCTCTGCTCGCTTCTGCTCTCTTGTCAAAAAATGTACATGTAAAAGCAATAATAAAGTTATGGGGTTGCTTCTTGCAAGAGAGTATACGGATATCTTATAAAAGTTTTATAACTGCTGTCTTCAGTGCTACGAAGTTTTGTTTCGCATATTTTAAATCAGTTTTACTACAGAGAATGGTTCAAATGATAAATGAAAATACAAATTTCTTTATTTTCTGGTATTTTTAAAACTTAAATTTAAAATCAATTATTGTACAATAATTTATAGAAAACTAAAAAAAATACGTTTTTCAATGTATAAAAAAAAAAAGAATTTCTCCACTAAGAAACATAACACTATTGCGCATGCATCAGAGGACATGTTGGCCCATTGTTGCACCACAAGTTACAGTTTATTCGATTCGCTGGAGAGGAACACTTGGCCAATCGAAGACAGCCTGAAGTATGTACATAAGTATCTCTATTTATTGAAGGCGCTTAAAAACCTATTTTAAATAACTTTTTCATAGAATAAACTAATGGCATATATACATATGTACATATATATTTCTGAATGAAAACTCATAACATAATTTAACATTATTTACTTTGTATCAATATCGCTGTCAATGACAACTGTACTGTTAAAATAATAAAGTAATTAATAGCTACTAATTAAAAACACTAGCTGGTTTGTTGACTTTTAAATGAAGCTCCACTATCGCATAAAATTAATCATCGAGTATTTACAGCGCACATTAGTCTTGTTTACACATACATATGTAAGCAGTAGAGTCTACATCGTAACCCAAAATTCGTATCAACCGTATGCACGTGTTTACATTTAACCGGATTTTACCAGAGTTTTAGTTCAAATAATCGAATATGTGCAAATAATACTATTTTATGTGCAAATTTGCACTACCAGTTTAAGTTGAGCTAATAAATTGTGCAAAAGACTGGAAAATAAACAGTAAAAAATGTTAACATGTTAGCATAGCCGTTGACTCAATACAATAAATGAGATTGTTTAAAAATAAGTCTGCTTAAATATTTTTTGCATATGGAAATTGCCAAGTATTTAGCACTTTGAAATGTGATAATGGAAGACAGTGACGTCTTATGATAGAAAGTTGCCATCTGTAAAATTTTTAAATACCTACTTATTATGTCACGTAAGGTTATGCTGGCTGGCTGTCACGTCATACATAGACCTATTGGTCCCTTGTAATGCCAGATGAAGGTTCAGTTTAATTCGAGCTGATGTATTTGTCATACTGACGTAAACGCTTTTTATGAAGTTTAAGAGAGACTTTATATGATTTTAATACTTCAACTAGTCCTTTGAGCTGCGAAGCTTCTAGATATCTAAGTAGTAGAGGAGGTGTTATAGCGTCTAACACATGCCTACTTTACTGCATTTCCTGCATGTGTCATCGTTACTAATGCGCATCCGGCGTGCATGTGATACCAGTAAGTTGTGACCTGTCACTAGACCAACAACAGTCCTGAAGTCTTTTCGAGAAGGTTCGGCTGAAATCTAGCTGCGCGCAGTAAATTCTGGCACACACTCCATTAGTCATTTTTAATCCGTTCGTGTAGCTGTAACAAGTTCCGCTGACATGTCGCACGCTCCTACGCCATCCAGCCTCTTTTAATGTATCTTGAAATTTTCTCTCCTAAATAAAGCGTGAGGGTTAGTGATTTATTTTTTCCACAAATCCGCTGCTTATCGGGCTATACCCAAAGATTCTTGTGGAAAATTCAACTAAGGCCGCCAATCTCGCTGCTTATTTTGCTGCAAAGCTTTCCACTGCAATTTCGATTGGTGGTAGGTTGTAGAAGTAATTCTTGACGCTCCTGTTCTGTAGAGAATAGCGAGCCGCTGTATTTGCTTTAAATCCACTACTTTTCTACTTAAAAAAAAACTCTGAAAATATAGCAAATCTAAGAAAAAATATTGCACGAGAATTAATTTATGAAATGGTCAATTGATATTCGTGAACAAATGCCTACCCTGTACCGTTAATTATACCGTACATTCTTTTATATTACTGCCACAGCACTATTTTACTTTACCCAGTAACATCTTCGATAGGCATAATTGAGTGCTAATGGATTATTTTCTGTCTGCAAAAATATCTCTATAGTGAGAATTAAAAAATGAATGCATAATAAATTATCCATGTCTATTTATTTTCAATATTAGGATCTTATTGTACCCTTATACGTATAGCATACAAGAAGAAATTTGCAACCGAAAAAGTTCAATTCGACGTAAAAAGAGGTTGGACTTGTTGATTTCATACACTTTTCACATATATCAATATTATCACGTAGAATAAGCAAATAAACCGATATTCTCTCCCCTGCACAGATTAATTGCTTTTGATTTTCTTATTCATTGTTAAGTATTCGTTAGTGATTTTGGCATTTGATCTCACTTAAAAATCAATTAACCCATTGTATTTATATCACATCTGTTAATTGTTGAAATGGTGTGAAAATTCGCTCGGCGTTAAGGATTTTTGTGTAAAAGACGTTAAATACCAGTTGTCGAGAGTGATTTTAACCAGTTTAAATCGGTTATTGCCACAGGTCAGTTGATAATTTTGCATTGTTTATTGCTGATTTTGTTGTTCAATGGTTTTCAAGTTTTTGTGGTTGTTGATTAATAATTCAATTGAGTTGACGGGCTTTTATACTAAATTGATTAAGAGGCGATAACAAAGTGTACATTTTGTGAACTTTTTCATTATTTCATATTTATTTGAAATCTGCCGGTCGACGTGTTAATTACATTAGTGTTTGTGTAGTGTGCATTTTTGTAAAATGTCAAGCGATGTATGTGATATGGTTGAAAGCAATCTGTTTACAAAGTAATCAAAAGGCAATCGCGATTAATTACTATTGAATACTTTTTTACTATTATTTAGTTGGTAATTAAAGACGAATTACACACAAGTCGTGGTTGTTGGAATTAGAACTTTCTTAGATATCGATACAAGTTCGGGACCGAATTACCAACCAAATAACAAGCAAAATTCCAAAGTTTTTGTGTATTTCTCTGTACAATATTAGACGATCGTTATAGGTGTAGATCTGACTAGATATTTCTTTTTAGTAAAAAATGTAATTTTGAAGTGCACACCCAGTGTGAAATTAAAACAAATTGATATTTTTTCCATGGCAAGATTTTAATCTCCGAGGAAATTGTACAGATCGAGTTGATCTGGCATAAACCTGCCATACAAACTGGCTGATCAAAGTTCTCATAAAGAATCTTTTGTATTGTGAAGGGTATTATAGCTACTGTGCAACCGGAGTTAACGTTTTTTCTTGTGTTTTTTTGTTTTTGGTAATTGCCAAAAATTTTTTAGGCGATCACACTAGGTGTGCCGAGTTAAAAAAAAGTTATAAAAATAAGATATAATAGGATCGCCTTTTTATTTTTCGATACCTATATATTAACCTCTCTTCAAATAAATTTTTTTTCATTACAGTTTCGAAACGTGGACTAATGAAGATATCCTGTAGAAAAGATCAACAATTTTGAAAAATCTGTAAATCCAAAAAAGTCACAATAAAATAGCCAAATCGTCAAGATTCACAAATTAATAAAGCAAAAGATGTGGTTATAAACTACAACATTTAAAATATTTACAATTTCTTCGACAAATTTCATCTCACCAGATATTTCTCTACAACAACGTTCTAATTGCTATAATGCTAATTAATGCAACTTCCAATTAAGAAGAAGCTGCTCGTTTTAGTAATACCGATGTAACAAACAAATTTATCCCTAATAATATATGCACTACAGCGAAAAATTCGACAAGATCCAATCGCCTGCACAATACCAGTGTCAGCAAACTGTACCGAATGGCGAATAAAATAAAAGAGACTGCTACTGTAGGGTGTCATGTGAGTGATAGCGTCGGCGCGTTAGCACAAAGATTGAGTGCAACGCAAAGTACTTGCTGGTGTCATCTACGAAAAGATCAAGTAAAGTGCGTTAATTGTCAAAGAGCTGCAGCTGCCGCCGCGACTTCGACAACAATGGCAACAATGACGACGATGACCACCAAAATCGCGGCTGATAGCAACGAAAGCGCTATTGATGAAAGTGATATTGAAGATGATGACTGTTCTGATTCTAATTGTGATTCCGATTCCGATTCGGCCGAGATAGACAATGATATGATTAATGAGGGCGATGCCAGATCGTGCATCGATTGTACAGTTGCGGAGAATGCATTTGTCGATAACGAAGTGACAACGGTTTTGAATGGTGCTAAATTTAGTAAAATAATGAATATATTTCAAAGTAATATTAATAATGCTGCTAGTGATTCTAATAAATGCAAAAAAACATTTGCAAATGCTTATGTTAATAAGAATTATGGGAAAACCGTTTATAATAAGTATAAACGTAATAATAATAGTGATAACATAGTGTTTAGTGAACGTAGTCCAAAACTCGCAACTATAAATATAAGTCAAAATAGTAGTAGTAGTAGTAACAGTAATTTAATTGAATGTAGTAATGAAGTAACCAAAACTAATGTGAATGGTACAAAAACAAAATCGACGTCAACTGATGAAGCGATACGTAGTAATGAGTTTTGCGCACAAAGTAACACATTTGCTGCAGCGCGTGCGCAACTGCTTACCTTCTGGCTGGCATTTGTTGCTTTTTGTGATGCGATTACCATTAAACATGACGATCCGCGCCTCAAAAATGCGCGCCAACGTCAAGAACAGGAGAAATCAAGTGAGGAGCAACAAAAGAAATCAACAGAGTCGCAAACGGTGCATGGCAACGAGCATGATACTTCCAAAGCAAAGCCCTCACGACATTTGAAGTTGCTGACCAATCGCAAGCTAATATTTCTGTTCATTGTCTGTGTGTTTTTCTCCTGTTTGAATCGCATTGAAGGCCGTCCAAACAGTTTGACAGAACAAAATGTGATTACCGATGGATCGCCCGTCACTTTGCCAACCGCAGCGGCTGTTGTCGCTGCTACAACCTCAAAAGCTGCAAGGCTGCAGGAGGAAAGCGGTGCAACAACTGCACATTTGTCGGTAAGTGTTGATGTTTGACTACTCGTATTTATATTAGATCTAGTCTTATATTCATATTTCATCTGCGCATATATATGTTTTTAGAGCTTACCATTTCATGAATTTTAGCATTTAAAGATTAGACAGTTTATGTGTTGCAAAGCAGCTGCAACTATGTGTCACATCATACAAGTATGTATGCATATTGTTTCGTAATGATAGAGTAACTTTTTTATAACCATATTCAAATGGCATTTCCTTTCATTGCTCTTATATTGCAACCTTGAACTTGAAAGTGTTGATTATGAACGGACGGGCAGCTAGTAAACAGAGCAACTATTATCTAGTTACACATATTTACTCATACAAGTATATATACTCGTATAGATATATATGTTTTTGTCCGTCAGGCAAATGCAACTCAAACACACTTGAGTGACTTCACTAGAAACTATTCTGTGTGCAAATAAACATCGAAATATGTATGTGTGTTTATAGGGATGGTGGTATATAAACTGCAGATGCAATGAAGCATCAAGCGACAAGATATTTGCACATCTTTAATATATATTTGCATAGATGTATATATATATGCAGATATGCACAAACCTTTCGTGTGGAAGTATGAGTAATATTGTCATTAGCACTTTTAGATTTGATTGCCATTTATAGTCAGAACCATGTATTATACTACATATATGTTTGGTTCTCTTCCCCTGTGATTTGCTGATGATGAATATTCATATATACTTTTGTACATGTGTGATGTGTGTATGATTATAAATGCTGGTTTTATGACAGAATTTCTCAGCTACTATTTAACTATTTGCTTAATTTGTATTATTAATAAATTTTGTTAATGTTGTATTTTTTAAGCGGAGATCGTGTTTCGGACAAAAACAATTTACTAAACATTCTAAAATTTACTGTGTCCAAAATTTAGGTTAATATTAATTTTTACTGATTTAACAATTATAGAGTAAATAAACTTCACATATAATCAAAAGAATATACACATATCATTAAGAAATTTCTAGTGATTTTACTTATTACATAATTAATATAAAAAAAACTTTAACCCCGGTTGCATCGAAGCTATAGGACCCTTCACAAAATACAATTGTTTCATAAAACAAGTAAGGAAGCGCTAAGTTCGGGTGTAACCGAACATTTCATAACATAAAGTTGGGGAAATACCTTCAAGTATTGGCAATATTAACCCTTTGCACTCGAGGCCTTTTCCGCTTGCGTGAACCAGCAATTCGATAGGATTTCCGCCGTACTTTAACAAAAAAGCAAAAACATTTATAAACAAACAGCAAAGTACTTCAGAAAAGAATATCTTATCGCGCATCGTAAATAAAGAGATCAAGTTACAAAAGACCATAGTGCACAGCGCTGCTCGAGTTCACACTTAAAATCGGTCGCCGCTCGAGTGCCAAGGGTTAAAAACCCAATTTAATTTATAATGAGCGTCCAACCATTAATATAATTTTATAACTTTAAAGAAAACGTATTCACTCAATTTGATTAAAATATCACATATTTTGACCAACTTAAACGGTTTAAAGTTAGGTGGAAAGTCGGAAATCATTACATATATTGGGGGGCAGAGAAATTAAAGAGCTGATGGCATTAATTTTTGACATTGTGCTGGTATACTTGTGACTTATTTTCAAGCAATTTTATTAATATATAAATATAAACATATACCTATATGGAGTCAAATCAGCCGAACGTTTCAAAATTCTAGCTAAGGCAAGTTTTCACCCAATTTTATACATTTTAGGCACAAAGATACACTGTCACTAGAAAAATACGCTCTTTTAATTTCATTTAAATAACTGCTATAATGTCAACTGGTCAACTGAAAATCTTTATATTAGGTAAGAGAAGTATTGCTCCGATTCAATCCATTTTTGACATAAGAGTATATTATTATCAAAGAAAATGTTTCTCAGAATTCCAGAAATATATCGTATCTCCGACATTTTTGACTTAAAGTCAGCCATTCGCACAGGGGTCGACATATTCGGTATTTGGGGCTACCCGAGATGGCATAGCTCAAAGCTACTATCTGTGCAAAGTTTTATCCGAATATATTTATTAGTGTTTGATTTGTGTACTGGAAAGTGAAAGAATCAGATGGAATTTAAAATTGGGTTATATGGAAAGTGTGCGTGGTTGTAGTCCGATTTCGCCCATTTTCGCAGTGCAATATACGAATATTATAGCAGTGCAACCTACTGAGTTTAGTTGAAATCGGTCGAGGTGGTGCCACGCCCGTCGTCCAATTTTGAAGGTGGCTTTTATAAAGCATTAATGTATTCGATTTCATCCATTTTCGGACAGCTTCTTAAACAATTTGTTTTAAGGGAATTTTATTATTGTAGTTTAAGTGGTTCAGGAGATATTATTATACGAGGGCGGGGCCACACCCACTTTTTTAAAATTTTTAGCCCACAGGTGCCCATTGCTACTGCGATCCCTTGTGCTAAATTACAGTTTTATATCATTATTTAGTGCTCAGCTATGGCATTTTATAGGTTTTCAAAAATGGCGTTTTGTCGCGTGGTCCGATTATGCACACCTACGAACTCGTCCTCACTTTTTTGACAAGGAACACGTGTATCAAACTTCATTACGATATCTCAATTTTTACTCAAGTTACAGCTTGACGGACACAGACGGACGGACAGTCACGTGGATTTCAACTTGTCTCGTCATCGTTATCATTTATATATATACTTGTATACATAACCTTATATCTATCTCGATTGTTTTTATGTAAAAACAAACAGTTTTTCAATCTAGAAATTAGTTTTGATCGATCAGTTTGTAAGTCAGCTATATGCTATGTTATATCGATATAGGTTTTATAAACCACGTGACAGATTTAATATATCCTGTTCAGGTTATACAAATACAGTTCAAGTGAACAAGCGAGGTATTAAATGAGGTAACTTACGAATAAATAATACTTGTTTATATTACAAAGTTCCTCATGAGTCGTAGTTCTTAGTAGCTTGTGGATTTCGTAACTTCCGCACAAAAAGAATTATCCAATTGAATAGAAAATACCTGACATACTTACTTGTAGATAGAGTTAAAGCATGCCCGCAAAATGCCAATCGATTTAAATTAAACCTGGAAAAATTCCGTTTGACATTGTCAATGCCTTTGTGGTTGCGGAAAGGTAGCAGTTATTTAAAAGTTTTTTTTTTTAAATATTTGCATTTGTACCGGTGACTTGTCCAGTAATTTATAGGGAAATTATTTTGTGCGATTGATTATGGAATTTTGCTGACAATTGTCAGAAATTAGTAAAATTACAATTTATTTTTACATTTTACATACTTACATACATGTATGTATGAGTGTATAGACATATATTGCACGAATATATTGCACAATTCAATTGCTGCAGTATTGCTGCATTAGGTATATACGATTATTTCAGGTTTATTTCAATCATACCTGTCTAACATTGACAAAGTAAGTGCCAAGTTCGGGCAAAATCAAATATAGATACTCTGGTATAATTTAGCATGAAAAACATATTAAAAATTAAAGTTTATCATTCGTCGATAGCGCAACAAGGATTCTAACGATTTTCCAACATTTTGTAACTTTGTAGCAAAATTACTTTCAAATGAGTATTTTTATACACTGAACAGGGTATGTTTAATACACCACGATATTTAACACCCAAAAGTAAACGTCGGATACCCTATTAAATATATACATAAATGATCAGCATGATGAGCTGAGTGGATTTAGCCATGTTCGTAGGTCTGTCTGTTTATACGCGAACTAGTCCCACAGTTTTTGAGATACCACTCCGAAATTTTGCAAACGTCCTTTTCTTCCGAAGAAGCTGCTCATTTGTAGGAACCGATATTGGATAACTATATCATATAGCTGCCATACAAAATGATTGATCAAAATTAATTTCTAGTATGGAAATCTTTTTTATTTGATGAGATACCTTCACGAAATTTGGTATAAATTAATTTTTAGGACAACGGTAAAATCTCTGAAATTGAACAATTTTGTTGTTGTGCCGATTTAGCCATGTTCGTCCGTTCGTCTCTGTGTATATATGCGAACTAGTCCCTCAGTTTTTGCGATACCAAGTTGAAATTTTACATATGTACGTCCTTTTTTCCGTTTCCTCTGAAGAAGCTGCACATATGTCGGAACCGCCGTTATCAAACCATTATAGCATATAGCTGCCATAGAAACTGAACGATCGGATTTAAGGATTTGTATGGGAAGCTATTTCATTTAACAAAATATCTTCAAAAAATTTTGCAAGAGTTATTGTCTAAGACAATGGTGCAATATCCGAAGAAATTGTTCAGATCAGATTGCCATAGCATATAGCTGCCATACAAACTGACCCATCAAAAGCAAATACTTCTAAATAATCTTTTATATTTGTGAAGAGTTTTATAGCTTCGGTGCAACCGAAGTTACCGCTTTTTCTTGTTTTGATTTCATAAGATAGTGAAAGTTATTAAGGACCGTCTTTGACGAATACTGTGGATACAGAAGCTATCAAAGTCTATTTTATATTATTTTGCCAACGTTTCTATAAATTTGTGATAGGGTGCATCGCCTTAATAATTCGATCAACTTCCTTTTACAGTCATAAATAATAATGTAGAAATAGTTTTTTTAGTTTTTATTTTAACATTCGTATCAGGCTCTTATGAATGACCACTTACTAGTCATATGCCCGGAATGGGATTTACCATAAACAAAATTTCTACAGTAAATTTCAACAAGTAAATAATTATAGTTTAATTAGTTCTTGTGGCTCTTTCATAGAAACGATCTGCTTGATCCAAACGCGAATTGAACAATTCTTGCTTTGCTATGTGAAGTGTGTTAACATTCAACACAATTAATTTGTATATTTATATAATTATAAAAGCATTATATTTTGCAAACTATAATTATGCTGCAACTAACGACTAGACACGACACAATTATAAATAATGCAAGTACATTAATGACAATGTCTTATATTTATTATTGTTCTAGCATGGGCATAATGCCTTTCAATGCAATAAATGCACGCTAGTTTATCAAAAAGCCGTATTGTTTGCGCCAACACACACAGCATTAATAGCCAAAGTAATATTTATTAAATTTATTTTTAATGACGTTGCACAATGCAGTTCGAGTTGGTTATATTTGGTTTTTCAGCCAACTTCCAGTGTTAACTAGATTTTGGCGCAAATGAGGTCAATCGCTTGCAGCAGAATAAACTTGGCAAAGTGATATAGTGAGCTTGTATACATATGTGCATACCATATACATATATACATATATGCCTATCTGTATGTACGTCCACGTCTGGGTCGACATCAAAATATTTTTTTTCTTTAATTTATATTCATTAAACTTCAAGATTTAACATTCGATCGCCAGTTCTGTGTCCAAATGTGCACAAAATTCGGTTTCGCTTACCTTTTCGCTTTTGCGATTTGTCCACTTCAGTTTTATACATAAATAGGTACGCAAGAGCTTTATAAATAAGCGAGTTTTAAAATAGTCTTAATGTTTCTTATGTGCAAAGTTGTATATGTCTTCAGTGATAACGTTTTTTTTTTTTATATATTTTTATTAATATTTTTCTACACTTGCAGGCTTTAGAATGTGTAAAAAAAGTTAGAAAAGCTTATGAGCCTAAACAATAAGTATCTGTATGTGTATCAAGTATGATTAGTTACAAACATTTGATAATTAAGGTGCTGTAAATAACGGAGGGTTGCTGAAACTCCATTTATATAGTGTCAGCGTGATATTTAACATTTTTTAGCTTTATCACAAATAAATTAGAAAGATGATAGATAAAAATATGTGGAAAATCCCATTATCTATGTTTTTGACGGTCAAAGCGTTTATCAGTGCTAGAAATTCTTTGCGCCATCGTTGTACTGAACTCATGCGCAGTTAGAATTTACTTTTTGTAATTAACACTTAATTCGCTAAATGATTGATAGCGTGCTGACGTCTAAGGTTACATTGAATATTTTCATTGGAAAATATTTAATTTCCAAGAATTTGTACCTACCTACATATGTGCTTCTTCATATTTTTACTAAATCGGTGGGGTTTTTATCGTTTTATATCTAACATTTTTACCTATATGAGTAAGATACCAGAAAGAACCTGTTTTGAACGTTTATCTGAGTCCTTACAAAATATCAAAATTTAACACAATTTTGTTACACTATCCACATTTGGTTTTCAAAATCTATAGTTAGTCATTTGACCTTTATCACAATTACAATTATTCCATAATTTTGTAGTTTGCGATGTTAATTTAAATATATTACTCATACAAAGGTATAAATGAAACGTAATTCAGCGACACTGCTTAATCAAATATTCAGCAAAAAAAAAGACCTTCACGTTCGTTCAAAAGGATTCTAACTGGGATCCGTTCAAACAATTAACTTTTTAAGTAATTTTATAATAACAACCATAAAAGAATCCATCTACATCTGAACTCAAATCGTTACCATTTTTGTCATTTTATAATATCTGTAGCATAAAACATAAGCAAATTTCCCCACTCGTCTGAACTCATAAGTATACCATACATATAAGTTTTCATTCGCTGAGTAATATTGAAAATTTATCCATATATAATCAATTTTTTTCGTTTAACAACAGGTCGGCGCTGGTGACAGTGATGGCAATAAAATTGCGCTGCAAACAAACGCAATAGCACCAGAACCTACACCCAGTGATAAGCTAAAGGAAGTCGATACACATAGACCACCGATAATGATTTCTGCACATGACGATGATGATCCATATGCGCACAGACCAGAGCGCTATCCGCTCTCACAGGTAGATTTCGATAGGGTGAAAACGCCGTTTATAATCGGCATTTGGATACTTTCGGCGAGTATAGCGAAAATTGGTGAGTACTAAAAAGCTTTGATTACGGACTTAATATATATATAATATATATTATTTATACGATTATATATGCTCAATTATCATGTGTAAAATATAAAAAAATCAACAAAAGGGATTTGTGAAAATGAAACAATCATGATATACTATTTTCAAGTGAAGCCAATTACATAAACGATAATGAGTTCGCAATAAATGCTTGTGATAATTATTTAATTGACTTAACGCAAGTAATGTTGACTCAAAATTGATGGTAATTTAGTATTGATATCAATTCACATGCTTTGAATGTAATAAATAAAGTATATGAATATTGTATATCATTACTGTAAAAAATTATCCGAAAAGAAAAGAAACGAAAAATGTTTCTAAATAAATGTGTTTTATAAAGCATGATAAACACCGTCGTACGCCTAGATGTATGCTAATTTAATATCTCTTCTTAGTAACGGTAATAACTGTTTTGCGTGCTTAAGTATTGCAGTTTTCATACTTTTGCGTAAAGTTTATCATTAATGCAAATGAGCACCGCGAGTCTCTGTGACAATTACACGTTAAAGGTGACTAAGCGCATAATTAACACAGTTGAGGATAAACTACATATAATATTATATATCAAACGAAAGGCTAAATTTGATCGATGCAAATTTTTTTCACCTTTGTTTACAAAAGTTTGTAAACTGCTGTTTTAGATAGCCAAAGCATTATGGGTTAAACTGGAAGCAGTGTTGACGCATGAGCATTATAGATTATGTGCCATTTGCACAGAGGATATTTATCAAATCGTTTGTCCTTGGCTTTCGTATTTCATTTCAAGGACATTCACGCTTTCAACACCATACAAACAACACAGCACGCTACACCAAAAAAAAAACACACACATAAATACTAACAACTTTTGTTGGTTGCGTGTACCAATTTGCAATGCTTTTGCACAATACCCAATGGTTGCATGTCTGTGTATAATTTTTTACACTTGGCAACCGCCAATATGCTCCGATACTTTGCTGTCTGGATATGTTGAGTAGTGGTTTGTGTATTTGCCGTTTGGCATCGAAATTCGCTACTTGGCCAATATACATATGTATGTACTTACATATATGCATTATTATTTGCTTGTTTTATTTGTTATTTTGTAATTTTGAGCAAATTGAATTTGCAGTAAAAAGCTTTTTCAGGGATTTTACAGCTATGCAATTTCGGGTACGATTTTAAAACGATTTCCGTGGATTTACATAAATGCAAACCTGAGGCCGCATAATGCATAAATTTGGCAAAAAAAATACTTAAAAATACGTTTCGAATGGTGTTAAAAATTATGAAAGCAAAAATAAATTACAAACAATAAACACCTTTGGCTATTAAAATTTGCCCACGAAAGGCTTATAATAGGTAAACACTATTTCCTCGTACAAGCAAATAGAAATAAAATAATATTTTGTATATCAAGTTGTAGTTTAGATATATAGCCCATAATTTTAAATATTACGTGCAAAGAACAATGAACTACATTTTCGAAGTCCCAAGATTTGTTTGTTTTCTATTATAATGTTTTGTCCATATATGTACATATGTACATGATTTCACCTAATGGGTTGGAAAATAATAAAAAAACAAGTAAGGAAGGGCTAAGTTCGGATGTAACCGAACATTTTATACTCTCGCAAAGTCAAATAGTATACTCGTTTGAGATTTCTTTGTGGATTGACTGATATTTTCGGTAGAAGGTCAACTATAGGCACTGGGGTCCGTATTATTCACGCAAAGTTTTACCCCGATATAATCGTTGTTGCAGATGGAATTGAAAATGGTGTTACATGGGAAATAGGCGTGGTTGTAGTTCCCTTTTTGCACTATGACATAGAAATATAAAAAGAACGTTATACACCGAATTTGGTTGAAATCGGTTAAGCAGATCCCAAGATATGGGATATCTAATTTTGAACGCAGTTCCTATAAAGTTATCTCATACCATCAAAGAGATAAAATTTAATGTCTCTGGCGTGTTTCGTGCTTGATTTATCGCGCTTTTAGAAGTTTTTAACAGTACCGTTATATGGGGAGCGGGCGGAGTTGCCACCCGATTTCAACTATTTTCACACTGTAGGTAGAGGTTCCAAAAACATTTGCTACCAGTGAATTTTGTTATTATAGCTTTAGCGGTTTAGGAGATATGCACATTAATCCTATTAGGGGCGGGACCACGCCCATTTAAAAAAAAACTAATAGCAGTCTTGTATCTTATTGCGGAGCTTAGTTATGGCAATTCATTTGTTTTTGATTAATGGCGTTTTGTGGGCGTGGCAGTGGTCCGATTACGCCCATCTGCAATACCAACCGTCCCCCGGTACCAAGAAACTTGTCTACCAAGTTTCATAAAGATATATCAATTTTTACTCAAGTTAGAGCTTGCACAGACGGTTGGACGGACGGACGGACAGACAGTCACCCGGATTTCAACTCGTGTCTTCATCCTGATCATTTATATATATTTATATAACCCTATATCTAACTCTATTAGTTTTAGGTGATACAAACGACCTTTAGGTGAACAAAATTATTATACTCTGTAGCAACAGGTTGCGAGAGTATAATAATCGATTTGTTTATTAGTGCTTAGGTTGCTTTTTATACTTCGAGATTTGGCAACCCTAATGTTAAAATTTGGCAACTCACCACTTTATAGTACAGTTTGACATTTTTGATGTTATACATACTGAGAACGTTAAACCATACGAGCACTATTTGTGTTGTTAACAGTAACTTAAAATATTCACCTCAGCAAAAAAAAATGGAATTTAATCGCGAACATTTTCTCGCGATTATTTTTTGCAACTTTCGACGTGGATAAACTGAGCAACACTGAATCGATGAACTTAATTGAATTTGTGGCGAGGAAGCTCCATCAAGAACCAGTGTTTACCGATGATACGATCGAGGTCGTAGATCACTCCAAGACAAATTGCGTGAAGGTCGTCCAAAATCAGCTGTTGTTCCGGAAACCACTGATGCTGTGCGCAAACTGATAATGCAAAATGGTCAAGTGATCTATCGTGAGATTGAAATAAATATACGCATTAGTGGGACCAGCATACATTTAATATTGTATGAACATTTGACTGAAACAATAATTAGTTCACTTTGGATTCTACACAATTTGGTAATCGCTAAAATAAAGGGCTCGTCTCGACTGTTCAATAAAAATATTTAAAAAAATTTGATAGCGGTGCTTCGAAACAGGTCTATGACATCGTGACAGGTAATGAATCGTGGATACACGCGTATGTGCCCAAAAGTCGGCTATGTGAGTGTTTCCAGATGAGCCAAATCCAACAAAAGTTGTTCGCGTACAAAGCACTCCCTTGTCCAAGCAAATGGTTGCCTGTTTTTTTTTTTTGGAAAACTGGACATTGGCAACCATACCACTAGAACAACGCAGAAAGTAAATTCTGAGTAGCACACAACCATTTGTCTTTGCAGATTTGTAGATTACAAAATTATTTATTTTTCGCTTCTGAATGCTTTACTAAAAATTCTTCATAAGATCACATGGGTAGCAACTTTCACGTGTGTTCTAAATGTTTGAAATCAAATCTAGTCTTTTTGATCAAAAATATATAAATTTTTCCGTAGACCTTTGAACGTTTCTACAACATTGACCTGATTATTAGGTAGTCTATCATTGGCCTGCATTTTCTTGATGCAAAATTGCCATATCAGCAGATAACCGTATCTTAAACACTTCATACTACCTTCTGCCACTTGTGAGCTTACACATTTTCATCATACAGTGGAAGCTTCGACAGTTCCTAAAGCAAGTGCTCATTTCTTGCTTACCACAATTTTAACTAGTACAAAAGAGATGTATAACGCGATAGTTCAGGGATAGTTTTGAGGAACTATCATAATTAACGGTTTAAGCCTTAATTATATGTAAGGCATAAAATGTATTCATTTTAGTGATCAACTAATATCTATGTACATATGTACTTATATATGCCAAATAAATACAGGCCTGGTTTTTTAAATGAGCATGAATTTTTTCTCTTTTTTTTTGTTTACAGTACAATATACCGATCCCTCAGCAATATGTATAAAATCCCATTTATACCTCTGGGTCTAAGTATGAACATAAGCGCTTTAAAGAGATTTAAGATACCGACTTGTGTGTCTATCTATTTTCCCATCGTCGGTGAATTGAGATATTCCGCAAATTGCCTTTGAACATATACACATTTACATACATATATGCATTTTTATTCCGTGTGCAGATATTTCAAGTGGATTCGTAAACATATTCAACAACAATAAAAATCAATAAACCATAGCAAAGTAAAAACATCGAAAACACAAAAAAAATACTCAAAGAAAATGCGCATATAATATACACACATATATGTGGCTATATACATATTTACATACATACATATGCACGTGTATGTCCATATAAATATAAATAACACTATAAAGACGATTTTAAATAGTATAAACACTTGTTTAGTTGGTTAAGGGAGGAAATGATAATAAACATATAAACTTGTACGTTTACACGTAAATGAATATACAAATATATTTATATATGTAAAATTTTTTATACATACATATATGTATGTATATATATTTTTGTACAGGCACTTGCAAATGTTTGCTTTCTTCTCTTATTAAATGTAAATAGTGCTTAAACCTTCACTACTTTGGTATATTTATTCTCATATTGAGTAAATAACAGTCACTTAATGTTGCAGTCGCGTATTTCTCTACTATCCACTCAATAATATTACTAATTTGTATTATTTACCACTTCACCTGTCACTATATGTGTACTCTGATATCTACTGTCTTAAATACATATATTTTTTTACTTTGTTTCAGGTTTCCATATGACACCGAAATTACATCTTATTTTCCCTGAGTCTTGCTTGCTAATCGTTGTTGGTGTTATTATTGGTTTTGTATTGTATTTCTGCACGGATGTCGCCGTCTCACCGCTCACGCCCAATACATTCTTCTTCTACATGCTGCCGCCGATTATCCTGGATGCGGGCTACTTTATGCCAAATCGATTATTTTTCGATAACCTAGGCACAATTCTATTGATGGCTGGCATCGGCACTGTTTTCAATACAGCAACCATTGGTAAGTGTTAAAGCTAAATATTCTATTATACCAACTGTCTGAATAATTATGCATATTATACCTTGTATAGGGTATATAAAGTTTGCACGTAGTTTGTAACACCCAGAAGCAAACGTCGGAGACCCTATTTAATATTATATATGTATATGTACTTATGTATATAAATAATCAGCGTGATGAGCCGAGTCGTTTAGTGTCTGAAATTTTGAGATATCAATCTGAAATTTTTCACACATTTTTTTCTCCCAAAAAAGCTGCTCATTTGTCGGAGCTGCAGATATCGCATCAGTATAGCATATAGTTGTCATACATACTGAAATATCAAAACGTCAGAAAAGCATCTACATATAATCATGAATAGTTTATGATTTTGTTCAATTATTGGCTTATGAGTTATGGAAAAATTACTGCTTCATCTTAACTGTGATCACTGTTGCTGCGTATGCTTTATTCCATTTTTATTGTGTGTCGGCATCCATTCACTTCAATTCAATTAATTGCGGTGCATGCCAACAAATTGCTTAATGTGATTGTGAAATATGAAGCGTCGTCGCCGTCGCCATACATGTGCCGCTAGCAGTCAGACGGTCCACAATACTTGTACTTATTTGTTTATTTGCTTTTTTATTATGTCAGCGGTTCCATATTATGCATGTGCAATATGAATGCACTTTGCCATAGTATTTATAGTTTTATAGTTTTATTTGTTTTTCCCAAGCAAACGCGTACGCTGAAAGTGTGTGTTGACGTAGACATGTAGCTGACCAACTGCAGCGCGTGTTTCTAGCTGGAAATCAGCAACTTCCCAGCCGAAGAGGCTTGGTTTGTTTGTTTGTTGATTTTTCATTCTGTTTATTAAGTAATTTTTACGTAAGTCTCTCGAGAGCAAAGTAACTAAGGAAATGGGACGTTATGATATAAATAGACGCATTACACTTTGTTGTTATTATAAAGAAAAACGAAATAGCTTACCGATTCTAAAAAAATTTTAAAGTACAAACACAAATATTTAATTAAAAATTCAATGGAACCCTCCATGATATAATTTTTAATATTTTATAATATCGCTTAATAGAAATTTAGTTTTTCGATTCGGCAATAATAGCTAATTGTATCTAATTTTTTAAACGTTAAACATAACACGGACGTTGTGAAGATTTAAACTAAATTTTCTCTATGAGAGAATTTAATTTTGTCAAGAGACTTCTTTCGCAAGTATTCCAACTAAAATTTTGTCAAATTAACTAGTTTAGATAAACCACAGAAAAATTGAATGGCTTATCTGCTGAGAGTTATCTGATATTGAAAAATTTTCTTTTGATGTTGATCGAAACCGGGTAGTTAGATCCGGCGTAGTAATTGTGCGCTCTTCTAAACAATTTTATTACTAATTAAAATCATAATAACATTATCTTCGATTCTTTGACTTTGAAATAATTGCTTAAAATTAATAAGTGGAATTATTTGCTCTTCATGTCTTAGCGAGAATCAATTATGTTTGCAACGAGTAATAGCTCAAACAGTCATCGACATTCCTCCCTTCCGTACGTCAGCTAATACGACATATCTTATGAGAACGCAATGTAAATGAACACTCACCACCGCCTTTACCGTCCGCTTCAACAGACCATATGGTAGGATATCCGCGAAAATTGGATTTTTCCCGTAAAACTGAGTGAGCTGAGTGTGAGAGAGCAATCTCTTGCAACGCAGGATTGTCAATATCGATATTTTGTAGTAATTAAAGAATAAACTTGAACATATTTGAAATATTCTCAAAATAACTCAAAGTTACAGTCAAATACATTTATTTATAAATATGTAGACTGTTTTCAATAGTTGGATTTGAAATTATTATGAAAAAGTATAACTAAAAAACTAAATGTGTGAAAATTCGTGTATACAATTAGAATAATGGCAACATTGGTGAAATGAAAACAAAAGAGAACAACTGATTTCTGCGTTGCAACTACGGGCATAACTTTTGACAAATTTGGTTCGATACGGGCGGTAAGTAAGGAAAGGTGGAAGGAATTTCGGTGACTGTTTGAGCTATAAGAGCGAAAATATCAAAAAAAAACACAAAAAGTTCGAAATTGCACTCAATACCGGCACGTGCGGCTTGGTGCCTTTGTGGTGAGCAGCCAGAAAATTGTTTGCTTTAGTGCAGCAACATTTTCTTTATACATTACGTGTTATTTTCAACATTTGTTTATAAATGTATAATACTTTATATGCATAAGAAATATGTATGTATGTATGTACTATATTCGTTAGGAGAACTAAAGCAATAATTCTTCAAATGACATTATTTATTCCCTGAACAGGGTATATTAAGTTTTCCACGAAGTTTGTAACACTCAGAGGTTAACGTTGGGCACCCTATAAAATGTAAATATTATATGTATTATATATATAAATGATCTGAGTCGACTTAGCCATGTCCGTCTGTCTGTATATACGCGAACTAGTCCTTCAGTTTTTGAAATCTGAAATTTGCCCACATCCTTTTCACCCCAAAAAGCTGCTTATTTGTCGGAACCGCAGATATCGGACCACTATAGCATATATCTGCCATACAAACTGAACGATCGGAATCAAGGGCTTGTAAGGAAAGCTTTTCATTTAAAAAGATATTTTCAAAAAACCGAACTGAGGCTAATTTTTCTTGAAATTAATCGGTTCAGAACATATGTTATTTTTAATGAAATTAGATTTTTTACGTGTTATTTAAATTAGAAACTTTCAATGCTCACCGACATCCTTTAGAATTAAATTTAAAATCTTGCCTTTTAGGGATATTGTGTTTCTGTATAAAGATACATTTTAACGCATAAATTTGATATTACTTTTGTTTTTAGCTCATCATAATGTACAATACATACAAATTTGTGTGTCAGCTCATAATTTCATTACATTATACCTTTTAACCGTCCATCAGCAGCTGCTCGGTGACAAAATTGATTGGTCAGCAATTTCATTTTCATGGGCAAGCCAACGCAGTTTCATTGGCAAAACGCTCTTGTCAAACCAGTTTTTTTTTCAATTAAAATATCGCTATTATAATGTAATGATTAATAATGAAAACGGAAAAGGCCAGCAGTTATTCGATGCGCTGACGTTGGTGCTGCTTTTGACTGACGTTGAATGGGAAATTGTTACCGGCTCCATTCATCCCTTCATCTCACATGTTGCAAATGAAAGCGGAAAATAGTTTTAAACTTTTGAGCAACAAATAAATAAATTACAGTAGTACAATATGAACACAATGCATTTTTCTCTCCATTATAAAAAATTTTCGTGACTCGTTTGTGTCATTCGCTAACTGCAGTAAGTTACACGATTCAGTTTTCTACCAGAGTTTTTGCTACTTGGCATAAATTTATCTCATACAATATTAGTTATAGAGGTTATAGGTAAAACATTTTTGAAAGCAAATTATAGGGATGGAACAGAGAGAAAAAATAACAAAATTAAAAGGGAATACAATTTGCGGGCGATCTGAGATCAAGAAGAGGAAGTGGAGGATCGTGGTTGAATTTTTAAGGGTTGCAAATGATTTATCTCGATTTTCGGCAAAGTTGTAGGTAAAGAAAATATCTACAATTATTGTACCAATACCTTTTTCACAAATAATCAAGTTTATGGGTTTTTAATTCTCATCTTGTACAAACAAATTTTCCTTCGCGAAATTTGCTGTAATCATACCTTCTTATGTTCTAAATACACAGCTGTTTGTTTATTAAAATATTAATTTTTCTCCTTATTTTGACTTCATATCGAAAAAAACTCTAATTTTCTATCAAAAATTCTCACATCAAAATATCAGACCTTTTTAAAAAGTCAGTAAGCTTTATGTTTGTTGAAATCTCTTCTTTCGGTTGATATATGCATTACTATAGCAAATTTTCTCAAAATATACAGAAAATAGCCCACTATTTTTATTATTTCGTAGTAGCAGCTGTTTAAGCTTCTACACGGGTCTATTATGTATTTCTGAAGCAATGAGTTGCCTTAGCAGTGATCTCTATGTAATTTACGTTGAACTCGTTAATAATCCCTAATTGATTGTGTGTACTTACATATATCATTTATGAATTCAAGTATCTACATCTGCGCAGATGTGCTTTCACTTAAGTAATCGGTGGCGCTTAACAATAACAAACTATTAATGAATCAGTAAATATTATATTTATTATTAACGTGTATGTACTTTGCCAGTACAGTATTGTTGACTAGCTATTCATAATTGCTTAAATAAGTAAGAAACTTGAAAAGCATTACAATTGCGATTAGTAATGCAATCGTTGCAGCAATTCATTGTCGAATTTGTTTGAATTTGTACTTGTATATGTGCATTTATGCATAACTTTAAAAATGTTCACATTCCTTTGCAGTTAGTAAACATTTAATATTATAGCCATATTAGTATACAATACTTTTTATACCCTAAACAGAGTGTATTTAGTTTGCCACGAAGTTTGTAACCCAGAAGGAAATGTCGGAAAGTCTATACCAGTCCATTAAACCATGTCCGTTTGCCTATATTTACACGAATCAGTCCCTCAATTTTTGAGATATCGATCTGAAATTTCTCCTTCGTCCTTTTCTCACTAAGAAACTGCTCATTTGTCGAAATCGTTACTCTCGTAAAGTGTAATATTGAATTACCATTTATAAAAAGTTGAAGAAATACGTTTCTAAGTTGTCTATATTTAAATATAGTCTGAACATACTTTATCCATCAACATGCTTAGCCTTCGTGTTTTATATCTGAGCTGCTCTTATTACAAATCTATAACTGTCAGTGACAGTAGAAGAATGCTTGGAAAAGTGAACAAAAATAAATAGAAATCACACTATGTACAATATGTTTTTACAAGTGTTTATCAAATGCATAAGCACTCACGTTGCATCCGGAATATGGCACTTGACTGTTCTGTGACCTCTTGGCATCAATACAAAAATGCACTGACATTCGCTCATTTCATTTTGAAGTTATCGCACGTGCGTCAAAAGCATAAAATATCGCAGCTAACATGATTTCCATTTGCATATGTACATTTTTACGTACATATGTGCGTGTATGTTCGCAATTTGTGAAAGCTGCGCAGGAAAATAGAAGAAGCATAGAAGGAAAGCAGATTGTAGTTTTTGAAAGAATATTTTCGTATATTGTTGACAGTTACAGTGCTCTGAAAAACTGGCAGTTGTTGCTATTTGTTATAAAAAATTATTGGGTTTTCACATCTAACGGGTTTCCAATGAATTTATGTATGAATGCGAATATAAATCTACACACGCATAAACGTGTGTTCGTTTTACTATTAGGTTAGATTAGGTTAAGAGGTCGATCCTAAGAGGGAACTCACTTGGACAGCTTAGAACGTTGGCCTGTTGTGGTACCTAAAAACTCCTATATAATGGATCATAAGATTATTACAGCTCGACAAAGCGCTTTGACGCTAGCACAAATTCGTTGCGACGGCTAATATCAGTTTCGGCTATGTCTTCGGTAATATTACCGAGTTGCTTTAGCCTCAGTCTTGCTAAGGCTGGACAATGGAGGAGAAAGTGTCTGGCTGTTTTGTTTTACTATTATTATACTGTTGCTATATGATTACAAAGTAGCTAAATTAACTTTGAATCATAAATTTTGTATGCCTCTATAAAAATTATTTATTTAAAGGTCTATCACTTTGGGGCTGCGGTCTGACTGGTCTTTTTGGACCAGAAGTGCCACGGTTTTTGGACACTTTCCTTTTCGCTGCGCTTATTTCTGCCGTTGATCCTGTTGCTGTTTTGGCAGTTTTCGAAGAGATCCATGTTAACGAGGTGCTGTATATAGTGGTGTTTGGCGAATCGTTGTTGAACGATGCTGTGACAGTAAGTAGTTGAAACTTTTTGATTGCTTATTATATGTAAAAGCTTCTATTATCAATATATAATATAATTATATTGTTGGATAAATTTTATATTTATATAAAATAATGAATATTTGGTATTTTAATTATCTAATCACTAAGTAATGTCGTTGAAATCCATTTACAATGTAATTTAAAAATATATTAACATTTAAGGTCGTTATGTACCATATGATGGAAGTATACAACGAAATCGGCATATCAAATATAATAGCTCAAGATATTGCAAGTGGTGTAGGTTCATTCTTTGTTGTTGCCATTGGCGGTACTGTTATTGGTGAGTTTATTATATAATATTAAATTTCCGTATATGTTAATAACTGTATATTAGTTAGTTCAAGCTTTATATTAACTTCTCTCTTCTTCCAGGCATCATTTGGGGCTTCCTTACTGGTTTGGTGACGCGTTTCACCGATCATGTGCGCGTGATTGAACCGATATTCATCTTCGTAATGGCATACTTGGCATACCTCAATGCGGAAATATTCCATATGAGCGGTATTCTAGCGTAAGTAAAAACCGTTTCATTACGTACCGTTAACATTACACACAAGTAAATGTAAATTTAATTGTCCCTCAGCATTACCTTCTGTGGCATCACAATGAAAAACTATGTTGAAGCGAATATTTCACAAAAATCACATACAACAATAAAATACGCACTCAAAATGTTGTCCAGTTCATCTGAAACAATCATATTCATGTTCCTTGGTGTAGCAACAGTCAATAATAATCACGTGTGGAATACTGCCTTTGTGCTGTTGACTATCACATTTTGTTCGGTGTATCGTGTGTTCGGTAAGAATTCCCATTATCCTTTAAACTAATGTTTAAATGTATTGATTTACCATATATCGTATGTGTATATACATATGTATATTGTATTCACCATTTATGTTCTGCAGGCGTTGTGATATTATCTGCATTAGCGAATCGTTTCCGATTGCACAAGTTGTCACGTGTCGATCAGTTTGTTATGTCCTATGGCGGCTTACGTGGTGCGGTCGCCTTTGCATTAGTGTTGCTGGTTGATGAGCGAATTGTCAAGCAGAAGGATATGTATGTGACAACTACAATTGCAGTGATTTATTTTACCGTTTTCCTGCAAGGCATAACGATAAAGCCGCTGGTAAAGATGTTAAATGTGAAGCGAGCAAGCAAGCGAAAGCCGACAATGAATGAACGCATACACGAACGCGTAAGTTTCATATACACTACAATCAAAAATATAAATTTGCGTAACTAAACGAATAAAAAATGCATTATTTAGCAAAAAGTGCAAAGAAAAAAGTCTTATCTTAATGTGTAAAAATTATATTTCTTCAAACGCGCACAGTTCATGGACCATTTAATGGCTGGAATTGAAGATATTATTGGCAAGACTGGCAATTATAATGTGCGTGATAAATTCAAGCGTTTTGATAACCGCTTTATCCGGCCACTGGTAATCAGAGACTTAAAGGTAAAAAAAAACACGTTTGATATTGTGTTATTTGTAGGAAAATTAATAAATTAATTAACTATAAACTAATAAACTGTTTATATAGGGTGCTGAACCTAAAATCATTGAAACCTATTCGAAACTGACAATGCGTGATGCTATGGAAGTAATGCGTCGTAATCCATCTACCATTGGACAAATAACGGCCACCGAATCGATGAGTGCATTGTTTCGAAATTACACCAGTAATTGTATTGGTGGAAGGTGGGCACCACCAACTATTTACACAACATGGTAAACGAATTTTGGAACAATTCACAGAAAAGAAAAACAAAAAACAGAAATATGTGCATGTGTAACTATCGTGATAAAAAAAAAATTTGAAAATATATAATTTGTGAGATGGATTTAACTTTAATTACAATTAAAATTGCTTTCAGTTTTTATTTGGATTTTTAAATACTATTTCCCGTAGAAATTTAATACTTTCATTTTAATTATATTTGGTTGTAGTGACATTACTGTTAGCTGGCATGTGTCTCTGGTGCTATAGAAATTAGCAATTCAGTTTGTTAATTTTGAAATTAATTTATAATTTATGTGTAGTAAACAAAATTTAATTCAATTACAATAGCGTGCGTAAGCTTAGTGTTGAGTTTTTACAGCTCCCCTGGTATTGTATTTCTAAATTATCATTACCCCTCTTTGATTATTTAAAATCACAAGCTTAAGTTACCGTTAGTTATTATCTCATTGAAAGCAGCGTATTTCCACTCACAGCAAAACAAACAATTTGAGCGTTTGTAATGATTTATATTAACCTTGGCTTAATCTACATACTATATTAGCTGCCTTCGATTCGCCGAAAACTTGTGCAAATACGCATTGAGTCAACAACTGTTAGCTAGATTTGCTGTTTTCAGAAGTAAATTCATTGATAAGAAAGGAGTGCTCCAGTTGCGTATCGAAAGCGGCTAATAGCCGACATTAGCATGCTGCTATTGTGTATTATGCTTCCAAAATTTTCTCGAATGAAAATACCTTTTACGCCTTTTAAATATTTACAACCAAAATAGTGGTAGGTAGTAAATCTTTCCTCTTACCTTTTGAAAAGTGAAATATGTACGCTTTCACAAAGAAAATTGCAGCTATGTTGCGTTAATTGTTTCTGAATAATTGCCTTTAAAACAATAACTTAATTAACAGTAGTTAAATTTAATAGTTTTACCTTATGTAAAAAGCTTTAGTCGTGAGCCAAAACTTTTTCTTTTGTTGATCTTTCTTTCAATAAAAAATGTAAACAAGAAAATTATAACAAAAAATCATAAAAAATAAATAAATCCTTAAACACAGAAATATGTTTATAAAAAATTTCCATAAAATATGCACTGTAACTAAAATTCGTTTACTTTATTATGTTTTTGAATAAATATTGTATGAACTACTTGAACTTTAACTTTACGTTGAACACTTAAGATATCCTTTCACCTCACACATTGCCTATTGGTTGTCTATATTATTTACCTACTTATGTCAAATTCATCTCATTAAAACTATGGATTTTCAAAAGGCATGGTTTAGGTACGAGTGCAATAAGCATATATTACTAAATTTAAACAATTTTCAATAACGGTAACACTTATCTATTACGCTTTTGTAAGTTAAGTCATTAAAAATGATTATATAATAAATAATTTTTTTTAAAAATAAATTAATATTTTACACAATTTTAATACAGGTTTTGAAAACAAAATACATATTGAGTGCCTTTTCCATGCTTTTGAAACATTCAAAATATTAATTTTTGATAACTTAAAACAAATTTTGAAATTTTTGTTCGTTCTCTATAAATTAGTCCAAGCCTTACCAATCTGGACAATAGTTGCTCACGAAATCTTGATATGCATGAGTTGGACTACAATCCGTCGAAGAAGGATCTTACAGATGCAAAAATACACCATCTGCTTGCCGAGGAGCTGAAACCATATAGAAGGGTTTGTATTATATTTTTAAACAATTTCATATTTTATATATTTTCTTTTTTAAAGTTTTGTAGTATAGCGTATACCTGAAGTTAGTACAAACTACACCGATTTACAATACAATACTCGTATATACGTGTAAACATACAAACATATTATTCAATATAGACTTATTAATTATGCATTATTGCTTCACATACATACATTTTCTTCACACCACTCTTTTACTCGTCATATACAGCTTTTATTATTTATGTACATATATTATTTTTATATACATACCATACATACTATGCATACTTGTATATGTACTACTTAAATTTAAAAATAGCAAGTGTATTAATATTGCTCTAATTTATGCGCCGAAATTGAAATGTTTTCTTTTCTCTTTTTATGTTTCAACGAATCGCTATTGGCGAAATTATAAAAAAATATATATATATTTATATATTTACGAATTTGTCTGAAAATAATCGGGAAATCGAAACTAAAATGCTGAAAAATCTAACTATCTTCAATGTCAATTATAAAAATTGAAAAATACCTTACAAACAGGCATCGATGCAAATGGTATGGCTAAAATTGGTCATTTTACTATTTACAAACAATTTGCATCCATTTACTATTGCTACTTTCTCTGTTGGTTGTTAATTGTTGTCAGTTTTTTTTTAACATCTTATCCAAAGCTCCTATAAAAATTATCAATAAACAAATAAATTGTCTATAATATAATTTTAATAAAATATATGCTAAACAAATATTAAAATATTTAGTAAAAATTTTTAATTTAATGTGTTGAACTAAATAAAAAATAATTTAAAAATATCTTATTAATTAACAGCTAATTTATAAAATTGTGTTTATGTGTAATTTTTTTCAAAACTTTTAACTATATTTATCTGTAAAATATATATATTTTAATAAGTGTATTTATCACCATTTCTTGCATACATATTATAAATAAAGTGCAAACGACGATAACAATAGGACATTTTATTCTACTTGTAAACAAAAAACTGTATTAAAAAATTATTTTTGACTTTTCGCTACCACTTTGGCTGAACCAATGTTTGTTCATATTTCTTAAAAAAACATAAATCGTTAACGGTGTTACAACGTTGCACATAAAAAGTTGAAAACTTTCTGAGACTAAAACGTTCGAGCAGCGGTTCAGTCGATTGGTAATTATCAAAGCATCAAGAAAATCGATTTAGCATCAGTATCAGTGTCACTGCAAAAATATGTTCTTCACTTGTGTTATTTTTTGTATTTGGAGTCTTCTTATTAAATTTGCACCAACACTGTTAGATCACATATAAATCAAAGCTTTCATATGCACAATATTATTTCACACAATTTCTCAGTTTAATTTAATTGTTTCTATAAAAACCTAGAAAAAAAAATAATAACATCTAGATCAGTTTCAAATGTCAATGGTAATAATTTCAAATTATTTAAATAAAGACGGCTATTATAATTTATTTATATATATACATGGCCAAACTTTTTCAAAAACTGAGCTGTTTTTAGTTTACATGTATTGTTTCAGTAACACAACTTTCGAATAACTAGTATTTTAATTGCTATATACCAGTTATATGTTGTTATTGTTATATACGAATATAATTGCGTTGAAAAATGCTTATTAAAATCATTTAAAATGGTTATTTTTTGAATACGTAAAGTTAAAAAAAAATAATAATATAAATAAAATATCAGTGAAAGTTTGGTAATATTAATAATTATTAATATTTAATAATATTTTTGGTATTTTATTACATGTATAGCAAAATTTTTTCTCCTGCTACTTTTTTCCTTTGAATACTCGTAGGAGCTTAGTTGTTGCAAGCTAAAACTAATTTTTGAATTCTTAGTGTAAGCCTAGTGTTTTCCCTACAAAGCAAAATACCGAAACTCAAACCAAAAACGTGTCGTTAATACCTTGTAAATTGCATTTTTATTTTACAGCACCGCCGCCTTAGTTATAGCCGACACGCAGTAGACGACAGAGATTTGTCTACGCAGGTAAGTCACCAAATAAAAGTAGAAGTTTAACCCAAACTCCAAAAAAACAAAAAACGCAATTTGACAAATCTCTGCAAATGTTAACTTGCACCACTGCATAACAAAAATTCATGTGCTAATTGTACAAATTGTAGAAAAAAGATATCCGTATACCTATAAATATCGTTCACAAGCGTTGCAACAAAATGCATTCACTTGGAAAATATTGCATAGCTATTTTCTCATAATAATTTAAATTCACTTCTAATTAAAACACATTACAGGTAAATTACAAAATGCAAATGAACTTCCGACGAATGTTCAATGATCGGAAACATCACAAGCGCAGCAAACGAGGCACGAGTAAGGTATGCCGCTACTTTATAAATATTCAACTATGTACTACAAAATATACATATATATGTAGTTATGTACATATATGAGTAGCTATTTAAAATACGAGTATGACTAACGAAGCGTTATATTTACAGCAACCAGACGGTGTTAAACAGAATCACGTCTCATTCCACGACTTCCAACAGAATGGCACAACGAAACAATTTACGCATGGTACGAACAAAACGAAACATCAATTTCGCAAAATTCTAATCAGAAAACATAATCACAATTCACTTAACAAATATCGTAGATTAGAAATAGGTAAATGTGCCAAAAAGTAAATTAAATACAAAAAAAAATCGATTTTCAAGTGATTATAAACTTTAAAGGGTAGTGGAATTAAATTAGAACTCAGCCTTTTTGAATAATATAAAAAGTATATATAAATATTAAATGCTGCAAGCAGTTATTTGTTAGAGGAATAAAATATTCTGAAAATCTCTGTTGTAATCTTTATGAAAATTAGGGGCATTTCGTAAAGCAAAAAACAATTTTTTTTTGTTATAATGAATTTATTTTCGCACCGTTTGCGCTTCAAATTTAGTTCAAACTAAAGCCAATAATACTACAGTACTTTTATAATATAATATTATATATAATAATATTTATACTACTTTCTACTGCAACATCATAGGGCTGCATGCATATTAAAATAGCCCATAATGGATTAAATATTAAACTATATATATTTTTTTAAATATTTAAGATTAAATAAGTTTCAAAGTTTTCAAAAAAATGTATAGGCTTTAAGTAAAACAATTATTGCATTTCAATTCAGGCACTGCTTTTTCCTTAAAAAAAACTTACTGCACGTTGCCTTCTTCAATTTGCACACAACGTTTCCAATTTAATAAAATTTACCTTAGCAAAGAGTACTTTTTATAAATTTCCTTTAGCTAGCATAAAATGTATATACTCAAATGATTTAAAAAATTGCGGCCCAAGAGTTTTCACTACAAATCAGTTTTACTTTAATTTTAACCATTGCAATTTTCCCTACCCAGTTAATTTTCAAATATATTTTCTCAAAATATTTTATATATTATATAAAATAAATTAAAAAAAAAAATATTAAAAAAAAAATTAATACTTAGCATATTTAATTGGCATTTATCCAAAAATTTAGAACTTCACTACATATTGGCGACATTTTCTCTCTCCCTATATTTGCTTTCCTTTTTACTTGCACGCCTTTGCGGACATATCGGATGCCCATTAACTCTCAAACACATATAAAATCATGTATCATAAATTTTTAATATTCTTGCATATATAAAGATTATATTAACGATGTTCTCAATGAATCAGGAGAAGAAAATCTGAGTAAACTGAACGAGGTGACAGTGGTGAGCGGCGAAGATTGGGATGACGGTTTGACATTTACAGCAAAGTCTTCGCGTAAGTACACACTCACTTACATATGTACATATGCAATGAATGCATTTTTGTTTAGTAACATTTTTGTTATACTATTAAAGAATAGTTTTGTAAAATACATTTTATGATTTGATTTAAATAATGTATTTGCTAGTGTACACGCATACACACGCACCAACTTGCTGATGAATCGTTGACATATATTTGTTGGCGGTGTAAACTGTGTGTGTGTGTGTGTGTGTGCGTATGTAGCAATTTGTTGATCAAATTTATGTACCCTCTACTACTACAATAAACAGCATAAACGCTAATATTCTACTATAACTTTGTTAAACTTTTACCCAACATCAACGCTTATTGTTGCTCTTAATTTACGAAATTTTATCTACCCAGTTTCGTTTTAGTTTGCTAAATTAAACATTTTTAAATATTAAATTATATTAATTAAGATTTTGCTTAGTACAAGTACTCGTACATAATGCAATTATCATTTGTCCAAATTAGTTGAATAATTATGATTTTCCAAATTTTTCATCAGAAAATATATTTGCATCTTGTACGCATATGCCATTACAAGTATATTTGAAAAATGAATAATTTTATATAATAGATTTTAATATTAGTCCGATCGAATTAGCCAAAAAAATAAGAGCGAAGTTACAGAAATTTACAACAAGCGAAAAGTTAGTAAATATTTTCATAACAAGATTAAAAATATCTTACTAAAACTCCTCATCGCTCCGATATGTGGAAAAAATGCTCGAGTTCAACGGTCAATATTTGTTTTAAATTCGCGATTTTCAACTAAACGGTAGTGTTATCAAAAAAGTATTGACATATATTTTATTGATAATTTTAGGGTCTACTATCTCTACTTTTGTCTGCATTAATTCTTGATACAACTTACCGTTTTATTGAAAGTCGCGAAAATATTCGTTTGACCTTTGACTTCAATTTTTTTTTCCACATATCAGAACGCTGAGCAATTGTAGTTTGTTATTTTAAATTATGAAATTATGTTTTGAACATATTCACTAACCTTTAGCTTGTTCTAAATTTATGTTACCTTGAATGATTATATATATAGATATTTTGAGCGGATTATATTTATTTTTATTATAAAATTAAACAAATCACATAGTATATGGCATATCTACAATGTGCACCTATATATACATAAGTAATATATATGTTTTCATAGCTTGATTTTTATTAGCATTTTCTTTTACACAAAAATGCCACTTTCATTCGAACTCGCATATCGTTAAAGTAACAGTTCGGAAATAATTTCAAATAAATGCTGTGAAGACTCCTGTCTCAGTTTTAATAGGCAATAAATTAAATAACACGATAACGAAAATTTTAGCAATTCCCAAAAAAAAGATTTTTAAACAAAAACGAATAATAGTATACCAATTAGTAACTAAAATTTAAGTTATATTCAGACCATTTCCAGATTTAGAGGCATAAATTGTATCAAGTACACAAAATCACGCTGTTTTTTTTTTAATATTTGTAGATAAATTCGAGACTAGGATCGGAGCTCAAATAACATGTATAAAAATAAATTTAATTAACATTTAACATTTAAATTAATTTTTTTCTATTTTGTAATGTCGAAAATTTTATTATAAAATTATTTTTTAAATTTTTAATGCCAAACACAAGTTAAAAAAAAAAATTTTAAAACAAATGCCGCATTGAAAAATTAAAAATTTTGAATACCAAGTTTGTAATTAGCAATTTAAAAAAAAAAAAAAAAAACAATTTTATTTTGAATATATATTTTTTCGCGCTTGCGTACTTTGCGTTGTACCATTATGAACTTAATCACGCGCAGTGCCTTCGTATTAAATACTTTAGAGCAGTGCTTCGTTATACTTTTTCAATTTTTAACACTGATTTTGACATTATAAATTGAAGATTGTAGATTAAAAATTTCGGATTAAAAACTAGATTTTCAACTTTGTTTGTAGCAGTTCTTTCTTCTTGTGATTCTGTCACAATAAATGTACTTCTCACTGATTACCACAATATATTCACTTTTTAATTCACTTTTAATTGTTATTAGACGAATACACATTTCTTGTTGCTTAACACAAAAATTTAAAAACCTTTAACATTTTTTATATTTTTGAAAATTAATAAATTAAAAAACTTAAAATTTTTTATTATTTTTGTTTTTGTATTTCACATATTTATTTAATATAATTCTGTAGCCACAAATTCTTGTATAACTGGAAATGGCCTGTTTTGAAATTTGATATGAGTTCATAGTTTCTTTATAAATTTTTACTAACCCTTCTATTACAAAAGTAACAGTATTAAAAATCTAACAAAAATATTCTTTTTTTTTCACAAACACTTCTCTATATTTTTCATTTGTTTCTAAAATTAAAAAAAAAAAAAAAAAAAATTGCAACAAACGCTACCACGTACTACTTAAAAAATATTGATATTAATCTAACGATTTGAGATGTTGCAAAATACTGTAAATATATCAATTCAATTGGCAACCGCAATGAATGTTTTTAAACACGCATACAAATTCAAACACAATAAAAATTAATCACTTTGGGAAACTTATGATAACCACATAACAACAAATACAAATGCCAACCTAAACCAATTGGACTTAAAAAAAAAAAACACGTTTGACATAAAACATATAAAATAAACATTTGGAAACATATACAGCGGACTCGGATCTAGCCAATAATAATTCACTTATAGCGCACATACAGAATTTACCCGGTTTCGATGCATCAAAGGCGCGCATTGTACAACATTATTCTACATCAAAGAGTGAGAATGGCAGCCCTGAGAAATTGTTAACACCCGACGTGGGTCCGACAGCGGCCGAATCGATTTTGCCTTGGCGACGGGATCGTTCCTACCAGTGTATTGGTAAAGGCTTATAACAACTACAGCTACCACCTGTAGCCACTGCTACAGATAAACAAATTAAACTATGTAGATTTCGCCTTTGCAATTTAGTGTAAAAATACATACATATGTTTTCGAAAACGCGTCGAAACTACCGCCAGCCAAAAGCACGCATTGTGTAAACTGTTGCTCAAAAACGTTTGGCGTTACTGGCTGTTTTTTCAAAAACTATTCTTTTGATAAAGTTTATTCTTGTTCAAAAAATTATTTGGCTTTGTATAATTTCCGAAACATAAACATATTCTTTCATTACCAAATTTCCGTTCATTTCTCCATTTTTATTTATATTGTATATACAAAAAATATACAACTCACGGTTATGTATTTGCTTTAGGCGCAAATATTTAGCAGCACTAATTGTTTTTCTGCGTCCTAAATATTTGAGTTTATTGTAATTACTTATACGGTTTCACAGAAAATCCATGTTTGTTGTAATCAAAAGCATTCATTCCATCTATACTTTAATAAGAAATTCAAGTTGTGGTGCCTATAGAACGAAGAATCGTTTGTAACTAATGTCATTTAATATCATGTGTCATAAATAGATATTTTTACAATTAATATCATCAAAAAAGGTGTATTACACAATTGGACTTAAAATTAATAAAAAAAATACAAAAACGATCAGTTTCCCAAACATCAATACGAAATTTGTAAAAAAAACATCTTCGACTTTAATTGTATACATTTTGGTTATTGCGCATGCGCCCATTTTCTACAAAGCGCATTTAGTGAATTATGCAATGGCAATATGACTTTGGATTTTCAAGTAGTTTGTACGAATATTTGCATAGCTGGCTTATAAAATAATTTAAATTTATGCATTGTTCTTTAGAGTAGACACTGCCATACAACACAAATAAAATTTCCATTACTGTTATAACTTCATATATATATTTACGGGTCGACGCATTTGAAAACATAATCATTCACTAAAATCTTTCTCGACTTGAATCCAAAATTTGTATATAACCTAAAAGTCTTTAATTTTTCATTTGTCAATAATGTAAACTGTGGTTATCCCACAAGATAGTTAAGAAGTTCGCGAAGCCTCATGAAAAATATCTTCTGTGTAGTATTGAAAACAATGTTCTACTATAGAACTGGCATTTTTAATATTAGATAACAGATATAACTAGCATACTTATTATGCCGCATGGAATTGTGGTATTCAAATTTTATGGAAAACTAAAAACTTGAAACTTTAATTTTGAGTTTTGTTTTGAAACTAAAAGACGCTAGATGAACTTTTTTCTAATAAACTAAATTATAAATAAATAACTAGTAACCTCAATGTTAGCTGAAGTCAAGAATATAATTCTTACTTGAACTAATTTTAAAATATCAAAAATAAACAAGTTTCTCAACTAGTGTTGTACAGTTAGGACTGCGAAAAATATAATAACAAGAAAAAACGTTAAACTCGGTTGCACCGAAGCTATAATACCCTTCATAAATACAAAATTTTCCTTACAATAACTTTGATCGCTCAGCTTGTATGACAGCTATGTATACGCTATATTGACTCGATCTAAACAATTTCGTCGGAAATTGACCGTTGCTTTGGAAAATAACCCATGTTAAATTTCGTGAAAATATCTCATCAATTAAAATGTTTGCCATACAAGCACTTTATTGCGGTTGTTCAGTTTGTATGTCAGCTATATGCTATAGTATTTCGATAGCGGCCGTTCTGACAAATGGGCAGCTTCTTGGTGAGAAGAGGACGGGTGGAAAATTTGCGATGAAGCTGACAAGTTCATATATATATACAGACGAACATGACTAAGTCGACTTAGCTCATCACGCTGATCATTTTTATATACACTTTATAGGGTCTCCGACGTTACTGAGTTTTACAAACATCGTAGCAACTGAATATACCTTGTACAGGGTATAATGTATTGTAGAAGCAGTTGATCTCAGTGTTCAGACCAAGAATTGCAAAGGCAGCCTTGAATATATTTTATATACATTATTTGCCAATACTAATACTTGCCTCATATTTCATATAATACCATTCGAATTTGACCTTAATTGTATATTAATATACTAATAAATGGATGAAATAATCATTCAGTCATTACTTTAGAATTTTAAAGAAATTAGCAACATACACCAAAATTATGCCCATCGTCTATTTTTGCCAATGTAAAAACGATAATTATCCAAATCGCGTTTGTATTTAAAAATCCAATCGGTTTGATGAATGATTCAGTAATTATGCCAAACACATCAATTACTACGAGCATGGCATTTTTGTGCATGGCTATAAGTTAGCGTTTCAATTATGTTTTGTTTTTTTTCGTGTTTTGATTTTTGGTTCACAAAATGTTTCGTATTTTATATTTTTGTTTGCAGCAATAACAAAATTAACATACTAACTAAAATAAGTAATGTTATACTGGCTGTCAAGTGACAAAACTCATGTAACTAAACGAAAAATTTATGAAAAAATTAGCAAATTAATCTTTTGTTGCCGATCTCGCATGCAATTTGCCAACTGCCTTATTAACTTATGAATATTATTAAGCTTAAGCTTATCTAACCAAAATAACTGTACAAATATTTATTGGTATGCTTAGATTCAATTAGTTTATGTAAATAAGGTGCTGTTCCATTTACAAATTCAAAAGTTCAAATATTGCAAATTTTACTCAAACTAGTTGCCGAAAATCCTATACCCGAGGAGGATCACAATATCTCACGTGATTCAGATGGTGAACGCCGTGTAGCAACACCTACCGCTACAGAATCGCAGTTGCCGTGGAAACGGCAGGGAGACGAACTGACAGATGCAGTGCAGCAGAACGAATTCCCCGCTTGGGCTTCGAATAAGGAGTATTTGGCTTACAATTCCCCCAGCGCCACATTTTTAGGTATGTTCTGCTTTATTTTTGATAATATAGGTACAACTGCTAGTCATGAAATTAAATACAAATATATATAAATTAATGTTTTATTTATAAAAAAAATAGACGGCATGTATGTGCATAGCCTTTAAGTAGAATATTAATCTGATACTCAAAAATCTATACTTTTTATTGTTAGATGTGAAAGTTAAAAGAGAGAGATAATATTATATATTATAGGTATAAAGTAAGAGATAACATTGTATTATACTCGATAGTTTTCTGTGGGATTAGCGAAAAATATTTGCTAAATTTGCCACAGAATGTGTACATAAAATATGAAACCAATGTGTTGAGTTTTGAGAAGCCAATGACTAAAATTTCCACGTACTTCAATATGTTCATCCCTCCGGTACAAAATTGTACCATATGCACATTAATACAAAAAAAGTAATATAGTATTACCAAGCATAAATTATTGGATCATTATACGTAGATTGCCTTTTATATTTCGGGATTTGACAACCCCGGTGTTGCAATCTGGCAACTCACAACTTTATCGTACAGTTTGACAAATTTGATGTTATACACATTTGTGTTGTTTACAGTAACTTAAAATATTCATCTGGGCCAAAAAATGGAATTATGGAATTAAATCGCGAGCATTTTTGCGCGATTATTTTTTATTACAACTTTCAACATGGATTAATGTGCACGATGAACTTAATTTGCCGATGAAGCTGGATCAAAGGCCAGTGTTTGTCGATGATATGGTGAATTCAATCAAGGTTGTAGAAACAGTGCGCAAACTGATATTGCAAGATTGAGACAACTATAGGCATTAGTGGGACTAGCACACATTTAATATGAACATTTGATTATAAAAGAAATTGTTTATGTTGTATCCCACACAATTGGTCAATCGTTAAAAAAAAGACTCGTGTCGATTGGTCGAGAGAAATGTTAAGAAATGCGATAACGGTGCTTCGACACACGTCTATGACACCGTGACAGGTAATGAATCGTGTCGACTCTATGGGTATTTCCAGATGAGCCAAATCCAACAAAAGTTATTCGCGTACAAAGCACTTTCAAGCAATGTTTTTAAAAACAAGAAAGCGATTTATGATAATTAACATTTTTTGTTGTTCTATAAACCAGAAATATAAAAGGCAACCTTGGTATGATAAGAAAAAATAGTATATGTATATTGTTATTTAGCTGTTGAGCTAAATTTCATAATTTGGGTGTTCTTATTAATAGATTTACATATATAAAATACAATAAAGAAATGAAAGTAGTGCACCACGCTAATCTGTATTTTGAGTAATGAGCGGCGTTCGTTGCCAGAAAAATGAGATCCGTCTTAAATTTATATAGTACAAACTCCGCCCCTACCTATGTACATATATGGTTCCGTAACTCCAGCTTAGCAAAAAAATTACTTTAAGTATGATCTTTAATAATAAAAGTAGCAAGTATGCATATACAAATATACATGTTTAACACGAGTAGCCATTAAAAGCAAAATGTTGCATGCATTTTATATACTCCCGATTTAAGTTATTTATTATTATTTGCGCTTTCAGTTTACTCTCTTAACTAAAACTATCTAGTCGCTCTAAAAGAAATATTGGAAAAGTGTATATATGCAGCAATGTGTGTGAGAAAAATTATATGCAAATAATATGATAAATTAGAGAGTAGCTTGGAAATATTACGTATGAAATTATTCTTATGTATTACAGCACCAATTGTCAAAATTCTGTAAACACCCGCTAATGTTGTGTTTTATTTTATTTTAACTTTCTTTTTTACCTTTTTCGATTTCCTCTATGTTCTTCTCTTCCACGTAAACTGCGTTGAATGTGTGTTATGCAAACAAACAAAAAACCAAATATAAAATAATAATGGCAATAATGTTAATGCAACTGTCTACCCCTGACATGTTATGTTTCGAAACTTAACACCTTAACCATACTAAAAATGATAACTAAAAAAATGAAATAATATATATTAAAACAAAAACCGAAATAATATTACTCGAACGCCAACACTCTCATGAAATATGAATATCGAACAAATAAAAAACAAACTCCATTCGTATGCACAACCCATCATCAAACCCCTTCACAATGTAACACAAAAAGGTGGTATAAACAAACCTAAACAGCCTAAGTCTGTCATAGGTTTATTCCGACGTGAGAGTTGCGGCTCGAGGGGCGGCAGCAGTCTGGGCGATCATACAGATGGCGCTAGTTCAGTACGTGGCTCAGATCCCACATTGGCAAATGCATTGATTAGTGGCCTACCCCTGATACCGTTAATACAGCCGCCGCATTCGAATCCTCGTCTTGATAAGCGCTCACAATCGATTTCGGTCGGCACATCTGGCGGCCATAGTGGCATCGGTATTAATATAGGCGATTTAGCGCATTCGGGACCCTTCCCGGTTACGGCCAGCCATCGGCGTAATGTGCGGCGTGGCTCAATGTTGGAGTTAAGTGGGTAAGTATAGAATATAAGTTGCGACGCACAATTCTTTGTGTGTTATTTAGTTGCTCCACTTTCGCCAAACACACTCTTACACACATTTTAATGTTTGTTTTTACTTTAGTCCTTTAGTCATGTTATTAGTAAATATTTTTCCATACAATTTGCTTGTATAAACTTCAAATTAGTTTTTAGTTTAGTTTAATTTGCTGATCATTTTACATTTCACTAAGATAGTAGCTTGATTATTGCATAATATTTGTGTGTTATTAATAATTGTTTGTGTGTGTTTATCATTATTATTGTAAAATATAGCACTACTTTTTATTTAATACAATTAAAAACATTTTAAAATGCTCAAAGCTCAACTATATTATTGATGATTCATAATAAATTTTCATAAATAAAACCGCAATTAATTAAAAGAATTTATGCCAATTAATCATAATCATAGTCTGATTTCATCTGTTACTAACGCAAATAGCGCCAGCAAGTTTTGTATATTTCATATTATTTTAATATGAGTGTTCAGGATTACTTATTATTTATATTATATTATCAGCACAGTTTTAATTTTCTTTTTTTTTTGCTACACAGGTTCAAGAAACCATTTATTAAAGCTTTTTTTGAGCCATACAAGTACATTGAAAATATCATCACCGCTTTCAAAAATTCTTTGGCTATATAGGAAAACCAAATAATCCATTAAAAACTTTTTTAGAGCATATTAAATAAATTGATTGTTTTTTTTTGAAGATACATTTCTTATATAACTACTTTTATTTACAGTCATACTAAATAGTTTTTACCCTCTTCAGAACTAACATACTTGTATGAATAAATTAGTTGAATTGCTTAGATTAACTGATAAATTCCATAAACATTCCTTTAAAAGCATCTTGCGATTAGTTGTGCTTAAGATTTGTGTTAATTACTTATATGGCGAACTATTCTGTACTATTTAAGGTTAAGATTGAATGTAGTAGTATTAACCATATTAAATTTGGATTGGTTAGTTTATAAAAATTTATACTGATGTACCTAACACACAAAATTGACCTATCCATATAAACATAAATATTTTTTCGTTTTTCTTTTATGTTCGTGTGAACTTTGATCTTCATATAACAATTAGTGTGTGTTTGGCAGCTGTTTGTTTACAATGTGAACAGTTCGTCTAGCAATATTTATTGGCGCAATAGAACCATGACGCGCTCTCCGGAGCGGATTTTTAGTTTCGAAAACAGAAAAAAACCACTAGAAGCCAAAACTGGTGAACACAGCAGCAGAGCGATGACTCTCGTTTCATCTTTGGCCAAAAAGTCCGTCATAATATAGCTTGAATGAAACGGCACTTTTTGGTTTTTGGGTACGACACTAGCATTGACACGCTTCATACCCAAAACATTAACCAAAATCTGTTGACTCGTTCCATAAAGATTTTGAGATTCTCTGCTAATTCTTTGATGCCAATACCCCGATGTCCAAGCACTGTTTCTATAATATATTGATATTCTCGCCATTAACAGAAGAGGATGAACGACTCGTATGACGCAAGTTTTAAATGACTGCACGACCTACACTGAATGCTTTATGCCACTCAAATGCTTGTGTTGGTGATCAAGTATACTCTCGAAAATACTTCTGCAACATTTTCGTTGATTTCCATAGCTGTGATTCCATTGGAAACACAAAATGTCAAACAAACTTCCTTGTTCAATGTTTTTTTTTTTCATAGTAAAAATCACCTGATGCACTCCGGGACATAAACAAACAGCTGTCAAGCACACACTAATCGACATATGGAGATCAAACTTCATACGTTTATATAAAAAGGTTGTACCAATTTAAGCAAACAATATTTAACAATTCGCTTAACACGTACAGTATAAATGGACCAGTCCGTGTCAAATTTGATCTTAATTATTATATATTATACAGAATGACTTCAATGTTCTGGACATAATCTGGTGTATTAAATTAGTTGCAATCATTTTCAAAAAATATAAATTGTCACATATTTAAAGTATTGATACTTTAATTGATTGGATACTCTAGCGTCTAGAAAATATAGACTATAAATAGTTAAACTTCAACACAACACGCTTAAAATTCGCACACGTGCCACATAGACACACACACCTCTACGTGCAAACATTACTAAGTTTACACTGTAAAATGATTTTGTGGCATTTCGATAATATTTTCATTCTAATCTGCATTAAAGAAAACAACAGCAACCTACATGTGTATTATTTCTAATTTTTTTCGATAATCAAACTTTAGCTGAGTGCGTTAAAATGCAATAAATAACGGTAAATTTGTGTGTTGTTTGGTATGTATTGTATTGTATTTACAGACTAATTGTAACTGGACGCAGGCCAAGTAGAGTTTTGCAATTTAATTCAACATTACAAGACATTGCAACCGCATTAACTACCACAACCACTTCTAATAATACTACCACTAAATCCACTGCTATAAATACAACTATATGTAAAACTACAACTACAACGACCACTGCTACGACCACTCCGACTAACAATGCAACTACTCTAATAGATAATTATATTACTTCCAGTTTAGCTACTAAAAGTTCTGATAATGCTTCCAACACCATCATTACTGCTACTATCAATACTACCACAACAACAACAACAACTACTACTACTACAGCTACTACTAATAATTCCCCCATAAAGGCTCCTGCTACTCCAACAACCATTTGTTTTGCCACCCCAGACTCTTCGAACGCTACAACACCCTCAACAATAATTGACAATAGCCATATCAGCTATTAGTACTTGTAGTTGCTCTTCTTCTTTAAGGTTCATGCAAATGCTTTTAATAAACGATTTCATAAAAGTTGTAAATGTTTACAGCCAGCTGTATGAGTAAATCGCTTACCCGTTATAAAATGCATAAAATGCTAATTTAAGTAAAACATGTACATACATACATACATTACATACGAAGACATAATATGCATAATATGTAAATAAAATAAGCGTGGAAGAAGTTTGGTGAATTTACACATAGGTTTTAGTACTTTTATAGGAAATGCGTATACTTTGCGTACATAAGTATTTACATGTACGAGTAGTATGTAGCTGCAAATATCAATTAAAGTTACCTAAACATTTGCGATTTTAATTTAAGAACTGAGGTTATGTTATTTGCCTACTAATGAATTTACTTTAGAAATTATTATTTTTTTTTAAGAAGGTAAGAAATGTTATGTTGTTAAGATTTATTTAATACGTAGGACTTATTGTATATTTTATTGTAGTGAAAGTATAATATTAGAATCAGAAATTATATTATATTAATTATTCACTTTCATAAGCAAATATTCTTATAATGAAAATATATAATTTAAGTATATAACGATGTAAGTTTTTTTTTATATACACATTAGAATGTTCAGTATTTTACAAGTGGATTTTTTTTGTAGACGTCGCCTGAAATTTCAGTTTTTGTCCGAAATAAATATTTTTAAATTTCGCATAGAGCAAATAAACCTACAACTTTAAAAAAATGATATTCTAATACAAAATTTTTCGCTCTACCATAAAGGTTTTACAGGTTTATTCAATAAAAACATAATAAAGTATACATCAAATGACCTAAGCATTTTTTAGATAAATTGAAAATAGAAGCTTGTTTACGTTGAATAATGTTTTTCAAGGGTTAACACGGGTTTGCTCGAGCAAAAAACGAAAACAAAAATTTTTTTTAAATTTTTTATTATATCAAAGATACATATTTTACAAATATTTTTTGAAATTTTCAAAGGAAAATATACTAAAACTTAGCCATTATGACGTCATTTCCGGCAGTCCCTCAGAAAAAAGTTGCCTCCGCGTTGACAGCAGAACTACTTACAGGATCATCAAAAGTAAAAAAGAAAAAATACGTGTATTAACTAAGACCATTAACTAGGTACTGGACGAAGGAAAAATAAAAAAAGTGAAAATTGTGTTTTTGCAAGAAAATGTAAATTTTGGTGAAAATTTCTCGATGTTATTTTTTACATATAATATATATATATATCTAGTTGTAATTGAAATTAAAAAAATTCTTCGTTTAAGACCTTGTAAAATATATGGTAATTTTATTAAAATCGGTTGAGTAGTAGTAAAAATCTAGATAACCGACTTTAAAAACACTGTCTCGAGAAAAACGCGTTTAAAGTTTTAAGTGACTATACCTATAGCTGACATCGAGCGCGCAACTTTTCACGGCTGTATCTCCAAAACTATTCTTCGGATCAAATTGAGCATGTTGGACAATGTTCTAGAATTGTTATAGAATTAAATAAGATAATAAAAAAATCTGTTTTTTGAAGCCGTGAAATTCATGTAACCTCTTAAGGCAAAAACTGAAACTACAGGGTGTGTTTGCATGAAAAAAAGGACCAAAAAACAAAAATCAACTTGGAGAAATAACGGGCATCTTAATACCTATGTCGGTAGATAATTTAAATTGATTGATTAATTGAAAATTAATTTAGGCAATTTTACAATTCGTGCTTTATGACAGCGTCTCTTAATTAAAATTTATTCAAAAGTTGATTACAAATACTATTATACTGACTAGAGTACCATAATAAAATTCATAGCAGGACTTTAAAAATAATAAACAAAATATATTGAAAAAAATTAATAATTTTTTTTTGCTAATTTTCTAAATACATTTTTTTTTTATTACTTAAAGTACTTGTCATACTTGTTTATTAAAATATGATTTAATGTGTCTTTATATGTACTAATACAATATAATATACTAATATAAAAAATAATTATTGCGTAATGTTAAATTAACTTAAAAAAAAAATATTAGATGGTAATAAGAATATAAATTTTTGTTGCATGATCGTTCTGATTTAGGAGGATTAAGAGGAGCGTACCTTTAACACACAACTTAACTTATCAATGGAAATTAGTTTAACAAATAATTTAACAGCAATTCATAACACTTTGACAGCTAACACAAAATAAGTGGTTATTGTAATTTATACAAAAACTCTCGTATGTGACTAACCATTCTTAAAAACTACAATCCTTATATTTTTGCAGCATAAATTTACAATATCAACGTGTCTAACACTACACCATCAATCAAACTTACTCAAAAAACTTATTGGCTTTACCTTACCGAAGCCACATGAAACCTACAAATATGAGTTTCAACGAATATATATACACCCAAACATATATGTAAATTTTTCATTTATTAAATGCGAAAAATTCAAAGTTTATGAAATTGTTTAGCATCTCTATGATAATATGAATATAAAAAATAAATAAAAATTAACAATAAAACACAAACTGCATTGCACAAACATATGCTTTTATACATCTTTACATAAAAACAACAAAACATAAATATTAGATTTATCAATAAATTAAAAAATGAGGAAGCTGTGGCATACAAACAACACAAAAGAATTGCAAATTACCAGAAATTCGCTTACATAACACTGAGTTCCTCCTATTTTAGTTTTTAAAAAGTAAGTAATTTAAGTAAAATTTATAAAAAAAAAACATTTATTTTTTAATATTAGTATTTGTATTCTAATTTAATAAGCAACCAATATAAGTTTACTAATATATGTATATTATGTATGGATACTCGTATTTTTATAATATATACAATTTTGATTTGTAAAAATATAATATCTAATATATTTTAGTAGTAGTACCTATTGGTATTACCTATTTAGCTTAAGAAGGTCATTTCATTCAACACAATCAAATTTTTTAATTTTTTATTTTTTTGCTCAGCTATGCGACAACGAATTTTGTTCGCTCTATTTATCAATGATTTTGCAAAAAATCCAAGGCTATAACTAGGTATTCACAGAGCTATAAAGTTGTTTGTTAAATTTTAATTTAAAAAAGAGTCCGTTAGTGATATTTGGTCTCACAAGCCGAACAGTATTATGTAATATTTAAATACAGCTGGTTTCTACACATTTATGCTACAACAACATTTTTAGGTTTTATGAACGTTTATAGGCTAAATAACGCTTACGACGTTTACTAAGTTGTAAATCAAGTTTTACTAAGTTTTTAGAATATAGTATATATTCAGTATTAAAAGCTCGAAAATGTTTTTTTTTTTTTAATGAATAAAAAACTTAATTAAAACAATTAAAAGATTTCAATGCATATGCTATTTAGACATAAGTTTTATGTGCTTAGCTGCTCAAAATGTATATTGTTTGACTTAATATGTTTTATTCCAATATTTTTATTATTATTGTAAATTTAGTCTTAAGTTTTGAAAGGGTTTTATTTTATAGTGAGTTGTAATAAAGTGTACTTTTGTAAATATACATGTTTATATATTTAATTATTTATGCAAATAGGTTATAACTCTTTTTAATGCATGATAATATATATATATTTACATAAACTGTATATACTATATTCAACTCTATGCGCTTTATTAAATTTTTATTCTAACTTGCTGCTGGTCTTGTTTTTCTTCTCACTTGTGCTTTTCACGTCTATAACTTTTATTTGTATGTGTGTACATATAAAATACATAAGAAATATATTACAACTTTCAATATTTCATCCACTTATGGTACTACTTTTTGTAATATTTTCAATAAGTTTCACATGTAATTTCAAATGCTTCTTATATTTTTCGTAAATTTTTTTTTGCTTTTACCAATAAATTGTATACACGAAAAATTGGTATGAAAATGGTATAAAAAAAAAACTTTTTTTAAATATTATTATTCATGGCTTGCTTTGCTTTCATAGCTGCTGCTAAGCATTGTACACTTGTGTTCTTACGGACTAAAGCTTATGATTTTGTCGGCTTTTCACCACTTGATGTAGAAAAAAATTGCTTTTACTCGCATGAGCGCTTGGTTCTTGTGCTTATAAAAAGTTCTCATTCATATAAGCTTAAACATTTTATAAAAAGGCATATTCATACATATTGTTAATTAATATTTTCTACATACATATGTACATATATGAATACGTATTTCGATATCATGCTATAAATTCGACATTACCAAAAATAACTATAATGAAAATTTTCTTTCATTGCACCCATTAACCATGTCGCCTCTAAACCCAAAAAATCACCAATACATCACTGTGACACATACATATAGAGACACTATCCCCGAGGAGACTTACCAGCACGGTCATTCGAAGTCCTTGTGCGAACCGACCGGCGAAGATTGGGAAAATACCGCTTTGGCCACACGCGAACGTACCATAAGCGGCAGCAGCAATAGCACCGGGCGTGAGCCACTTCTACCCAAATTAACGCCACGTGCACAAATCCGCCGTATGGGTGGCAGCAGTGGTGGTGTTGGCGGTGCTATTAGCACGCTCGGTGGCTTGCGTAATCAAGTGACGACCGCCCTACTCTCCACATCGAACTCCGAATATGATGATGATGAGGATGAAGATATTGATTTGTATGACGATGAGAGTATTGTCGTAACCACTTTGACTAGCGGCAGTGGTGGTAGTGGTAGTGGCGCTCTAAATCGTAGCGGTAGCAGTGGGAGTGGCGGCGGCAATGGTAGTAGCGGTGCCAGCAGTAGCAGTAACAATACAACAACTACAATTCGGCTGACACGCAACAATGATGAGAGCATCATTTGAGATTGTCGCCGGAAGCAACTATAGCGGCGACTTTTAGGCGAAGGCAGCAGCGGTAAGCAGCAACAGCAACGTCGCCTAAATCGTTGGGCTTTCAAGTATGAAATGTTACAATGATTAGATTAAAATTATGGGTGGGTAAGTCTAAGGTTATAAGCGAAAATTCAATGAAATACTAGTTGCCAATAATGCCTGTTAATTGAAAAAAAACTTTGTGTATGTATTAGAATTTAGTATAAGTTTTGAAAAGTGAAATGGTTTAGTTAAATTATACAAGTATGTCACACGATTATACTTAAGTTGGTGATTAATAGATTAAGTGAAATAGTTTTCATTTATTTTTTATTATTTTGTTTAATTTCGAAAAACAGTATTTTTTTATGATTTTAATTAATTTCTAAATTTCGAAAATAGCATTCTTATTATTTTAATTATTTTAAACTTGAAAAATAGTATTTTTTTTATTATTTTAATTAAATACGAAATTTTTAAAAATAGTATTTTTTTATTTTGTTTAAATTCGAAAAATAGTATTTATTTAAATTATATTTATTAATTCCTAAATTTCGCAAAATAGCATTTTTTTTTTATTTTCATTAGTTTCGAAATTAAAAATAGTATTTTTTCATTATTTTTATTAAATACGAATTTTTTAAAAATACTAGTTCTTTATTACAGCCAGCGAGTATAATTAATTTCGAAAAATAACAAACAACTGCAATAGTTTTTCTGCTTATTTAAAGAAAAAATTAATATAATAAAAAAATATTATTTCGACTAGTCCTTTGTTTTCACCATTATGCCATTATTTAATAAATATGTTGACTATTTTTCTAATTTCGAAGCAGACTTAATACGCAAGTACCATCATATTTTGAATCTTTTTCCACAATTTCATTATAGCTTCGTATATTGTTTAAAATATCAATAGCAACAAAAATTAAAATTCTTTAAAATGCATTGTAACAAGGTAAATGTGTGACTGCAATAAAATAACTAAAAATAACCACCAAGACTATAGAACAGCAATGTAATTATAGCGCAAACCAATACACTTCTACTTTGTGCTGCATTTTATGCAGTACTTAAACACTGTGCACCTAAAATTATGCTTCGATAGAAAAATAGACAGAAAAAACGAGACGTCACCTACTTAGCAACACTGGGCTGTGTTTGAATAAAATAAGAAACTACTACTATAAAAATTGTGCTAAATAGTTTCCAGAAAAATAGCAAAAAACTTCTAGCAATTCCAATGCCATAATTTCATGTCTATTCAAGTGTTTCTCGTTTTAATTTTAATTTGCAATTTATTTAGTAAATTTTTTAGAGGCTTTCATTTGTTAACAAAATGTATATATACCGAGCAAACAATAGAAAAATGTTAAGGTTTTTTAACGTACAATTTCGTTTTAACTGAGAACTTGTGTAAACATTTTATAAGTATGTAACTGTCAACTGTCAACTGTACGTGACTGTAGTAAAAAAAAAACATGTAAAAATAGTATGTATAAAAAGCTAAGCTGCTGCTTAGGGCGTAAAATAAACATGTCATAGCAATGAGAATCCTAACGATAAACTTGTAAATGTGTGTAAAATATATATATATATATATATTTAGTATAGTGCGTAGTTGAAAATGTATTGAAACGCGTGTCGATAAGACAATTAAGGCTACGGCGTGAATGATTGGAGTTTTAATAATTTTTATAACATTTTAACAGTTGAACTCTATACTAGTAATAATTAAAAACCAAAAAAAAAAAATGAAATAAAATCACTTAAAAAAATATTCTTAAAATTGGTACACTAAAATTTGAACAATTCTTATAAACAACTTGACTTTGAAATTGATAACATTGTAATATTAGGCATAGTATATGTTAATGTATATAAAATATTATTTATTTGCAGTGTTACCAATTTCTTGCTAACACACTTAATTTGGCAAACGTTTGTACTTAAACTTTTGTTTTAACTTAAATTCTATAATGTACACGAGCGCTTAGAAAAGCATAATATTTTTGAAAACGTGCATATGTCCAGGGTTGCGAAATTTTTAATTCCTAATTTTTGGGTTAAAAATTAAATTTTTATTTTTTAATCACAATGTTGCGATTAAAAATTAGATTTTCATTCTTTAATCCAAGATGTTTGGTATTAAAAATTGAAAATATTATTTTTTTGATTTGAATGAACGCGAAACAAACAAATTATTTTTTTAATTCTTTATTATATGCTTGAGATTAAAATTAAAATTTTTCTTTTTCAATCCCATAGTTGGCATTAAAAATTAAAAACAATTTTTTTATACGGTTTTTAGAATTAAATTTTTTTATTTTATTTTTAAATTCGGTTGTGGGATTAGACCTTTTTAATGGTGTAATTAAATTTTATTTTTATTTTTTAAAACCGGTATGTGGAATCAAAGATTTTTTTTTAAACACGTAATTAAATTTTTATTTTAATACCGTAATAGGGATTAAAAAAAAAAGTTTTAATTCAGATGCTAATTAAATTTTTTTCAATGCATTACTGTCAAACTATATATTTGAATTTCGAATATTCGAATATTATAAACTGTGGTTGACTTTTTATGTGCAGAGATTGAGCAAATATATATGAACTTTAAAATATTAATATTTTAATATTATTTGCATTTGCGTCTTGCAAATTAAATCGAGAAAATTAATTTATTTTATTATACTTTATATATTTGTAAAGAAGTGCTGCAAAGATCTTCTTGAATTAGCAGAATACGTAATGTTTGAAACGTACTTAAACTTAGAGGTGTTCTTTATTTTGAAAGCAGTTTAAAATTTCTTTCGATAAAAATAATTTATAGCAAAAGCAGCATAGGTATAAAAAATTCTATAAAAAAATTCGACTATTATTATTTAGCTGTTTTTGTTTTATACAATAATGACAATTGTTCATTACTACTATTTTTATTTTAATTTATGATAAATCTATTTAATATTTTTTACGAAAGCAGAAAATTCATTTATAATTAAATCGCCTTTATTTAGTGTTCAAAAAAAAATTCATTATAGACACAAGACAAATACTTGTGTTCTAATTTGTTTCGTTTTCATTTACAATTTTTAGAGACAATAACTGTATAAACGAAGAAAGTATTTAAAACATCAATTATTAAAAAATATAAATATGAAATAATTTATTTCATAATAAACGTTGTCAAAGTTCATTGATATATAATAATCAGCGAAATTTAAATATAAAATTTAAAAAATATGTGCAAATACCAGAGTTAATTAATTTGAAATTACCAAAATAGGCTTTTAATTAGTACTAAAAAGAATTTTAAATAGCGCTAAACTTAAGCAAAAAAAAATATACATATACACACATATACTATATAGGATCGCTAACAATACACGTCTATTTTTTGCCACACGTGTACATAAACATGTACTAAACTACAAAAAAAAATTATAGATTGAGCAAACATATTAGACGATTACGAAATTGGCACAACTTTCAACTCAACGCCTTACTTATGTTATATTCATAATATGTACTTACATAATTACCCATACATGTGTAAGTTCAATACATTAGCAGTAGTTAATGAAAAACAATTGCACCAACACAGATGCTAACTACATGGAATAATATGAGTACTAACCAATTTGTATGTATATAACTTTGTGAAAACGGCTGCGAAATACAGTATGTATGTACTGTAAACATGAGAACCACATAATAACTTCGTAAGAACTTTCATTGAATAAAAAGCTTTACAACAAATATTACAAAAATTATTTTGATTTTAATATATTGTACGATTAAAGGTGAGTTCTTACTTAAAAGTCGAGTTTATTTTGCATATATATACATATATCGAATGTACATAAGTATTTATATTTGAGAATATTCTCCGAAAATTTGAAGTAGATTCGGCAAATAGTTTCGGAGATATGATCGTATTTAACGTCAAACGTGTCAAAACTTTAAACACGTTTTTCTCGAAACGATGTTTTCAGAGCCTATTAGGAATATTGCTTGAAATTTTTAAACGACCTTCTTAGTTATATTTGTCAGCTCATAATTGAAGGTATACATTTTTTTTAAATTATTATGATTTTTTTAGCGATTCTGTAGTGTAAATTTTTTAAAAACAGGAAAAAACGAAATTTTTGGGAAGTTGCCATTTATCAGAAATCAAAATTTGGACTATTTCTCCGTTCATTATCTCTATTCATCTATAATAATAATAAATTATTTTTGATTTTTGAATTTCGGGTGTAACCGAACATTTAATTGTTGCAAGTGTCAAAGCAGTGGAAATACCTTCAGGTGTAACAAAACCTTACATTAAACTAGAAAAAGCGTTAACTGCAGCCGTACTTAAGCTTTAATAACCTTCATAGTAGCATTTCTTATAGCATAAAGTGGCATAAAAAATTGGTCCTATCTGAACAATATATTCATAGATTGTAGGGATGGCTTGAAAAATAATCCATGTCAAATTTCGTGAAGATATCTTGCCAAAGAAAAAAGTACATAAAAGAACTCGATTTAGACCGATCACTTTCTATGACAGCTATACCTTTTAGTGGTTCGCTATCGGCGGTTCCGAGTGATGAGCAATTTTTTTTGATAAAAAAGAAGTGTGCATCTTTGTTGAAACTTTAAGCGGTCAATTACTTAATTGTTCCTATTTTTTACATCTTATGGGGTCAATGACCCCTTTGTTTACATTATGAGGTCAATGACCTTATTGTTCACATTTTGCCGAGGTCGATGACAATTTTGTTTACATTTTATGGTGCAAACCAAATCGCATCGCGGCGTGAGAGTCACCTAAGCAATGGCCAGGCTTAACTAGGCTACTTAAATGCAACCAGCTGGCAACTCTACTTTACTGAAATGAGAATAGAGTGAAATTTTATCCAGATAATAGCGTTCCTTTCGCCGATCTAACCCTGTTTGTAGCGCTAAGTAAGTAACGGATGTATGTCATTTTTGTCAGGCCTCAAAAGTAACAATTTTGTATACCTTAAATAAAACACAAAATAATTTCTTGAATTCAATAATTTATTTATACTTGTACATTTATTGCATCAAATAAATTGATATATGTATGTAGCTAAATGAATGAACTTGTTTATTACATATATGTATGTATATATATATATATATATATTTATTTTTTATTCCTTATATGCTTGTATGTAGGTGTCTATATGTAGTTTCATTCATAAATTTATTATTGGAATTTCGGTTCAGCTTTATACACCTTTAACTGAATGACTGAATGCGATGGCATTTATTATATGTAATATATATTTTTTTTCATTTACGTGAATATTATAATTGCTTTTGTATTATCTTTATGAATGCCAAAAGCAATAGCGAGGCGCATTCAGGTGCTGTACAACATGCAATCATTGTCATGGATTGATTTAACATAGCAAACACCCTTTAACCTTCTGACGACACTGAAGCTACCATGACAACGTAGAAATTGTCTGGTAACTGTTATGCACTGCATTAGCTTATGTGTTTATATACATATGCTATTTGCGCGCGTAATTTAAATGGACTAATCTGAGTCAAATTTGATCTGGAGTAGTATATATCAAATGCACGTATATAAATTTGTATGCAAAGCAAATTATTTGTAACATTGTAAATCATACTCCAATTGACAATTAAAAGAATATGATATCTAGAGTACACAACTTTATTGTGGGCGTGTTTCCTCTTTCCCTACACTTTTGCAAGCGTTCATGCTGAAGCGAAGTTATATAACGTTGCATATTTCCAGGCGTTTTTCCCAAGTAAACTCAAAATATTATTTTATTGTTGCAGAATTTAAACGCTTACGGAAACGTTGCAGCATTATTTTTTATATATTATTTTTATGTACTTGTCTAAATGTATTTCGTTACCGCCTATTACATATTGTTGCATTTTTTCATTAACGCAAATTGTTACAATAATATTTTCACTAAACATTTGTATATATTTAGAATATACTAGTATGTAATGGAACGACTCAACATCAGGCTAATATACTTACAGTTTTACAGTTTATAATTGCATTAATTATTAATTATTGATTAACAAGATGAAGAAGATTCATTTAACTTCTTGTAAAGGCATTAAAGTTGAATGCATCATAAGTCATAACATATAGGAAGGTTTGATATACATATATATATATAGGTAATTTCTTGTTCTAGTATTACTAACTTAATTTCACATATACATATGTACATAGATTTGTATGTAATATGTATATATGCATGTTGGTTGAAAGTTGAGATCTTCAGATATTGGGCTATAGTTTATATGTTCAATATATATATTTATGTGTGTATATAAATACATGTAGCGTTATATAAATTTAACAAATTCTAGTATTCTTTGGTTTAGTAGTAAATATTAAAGCAACATATTTCATTCTTTCATGTATATTCGTATAATATGCATATAATTCTATGAATGCCTTCGCCCAAATATTATTTAATGTCAGTTAATGAAGCAGCTACATAGTGTAATCGTTTATAAGAGTGGAATTCGATTTGAATATGTATATTAGTGTATTCGTTATTTCTCAGGTTGATAGTTTTTTTTGTAAACGCCAACGAAAGTTTCAGTTTTTTCCCGAAAAAACATTATACAACTTAAATAAGTCAAAGTTATGCATAAAATGTACTGTATTCATACAGTACACCATGGCGTATGAGCAACACGGAATGTATAAATAACTTGTATAATTGCTCAGTACATTTGATATGATGTACCATGTAACTGTAATTGCGTATAACTTTTAAAACAATATGTTTATGAAAAAACAAGAAAAACATTTAACTTCCGTTGCATTGTAGCTATAATTCCATCCACAAATACAACACGTTTCTTACAAGAACTTGATCCTGATCGTTCAGTTTGTATGGCAGCTATATGCTATAGTGGTCTGATATCGGCAGCTCCGACAAATAAGCAGCTTCTTGCTGAGAAAAGAACGTGTGCAAAATTTCTGATCGATATCTGAAAAACTGAGGGACTAGTTCGAGTATAAACAGACCGACATACATGCCTGCATCAACTCAGCTCATCATGCTGATAATTTATTTATCTATATATTTTATAGGGTCCGCGACGTCATTCTCTTCAAGTTGTAAGTTCAATTGCTTTGGGGATAAAAAAAAATATTATAAAAGTTCAAAAAATTCCATTTTTATTACGAGTATATGGAAAAAGTAAATATTCAAAGTGCTTGTTTTCGTAGAATCCTTTTTTTAGGAAAAAACGAAACTTCAATGGGCGTTTGCCTAAAAAAACAACTTAAGAAATAACGGACACGCTTATGTATAAACTTATATACTTGAATGTCGGCTTGCATGCATATATGTATATAAGTATTACATATGAACACAAGGATGAGCAAAAATTTAGAAAATTTAAAATTAAAGTGCAAATCACTTTATAAAATATAATATAAATATATATAAAAATGTACTATATACATAAATAAAAAATCAACTTTTAGTTGTAATACATATGCACAGTTTTTTTGGTGCCTTTAAACATAAAATTATAATTAGTGGATTTATCTAGAACAATAAAAGTGGAGTCGTAACAAATGTGCTTTTGCATTATATTTTTTATTCAAGTTTATGCATGTAATTCGTTTTTATGCAATACACTTAATAAATATGATCTACTGCTTTTGACGATTTTGTTGGTAAGTTGATAGTTTTTAAGAGATGTTTATATCATTCCTAACGCATGATACATGACTTTTTCCCGCCGCTGGTTAGACATTAGTAAGTATGCATTATTGTTTTAAGTAATTATTGCATGCATTTTAACACTTTTATTAATAAATTTTTTAATTTATAAATATTTGTATATATTTAATTGTGATTGCAATGTTTTTTATTAATGTTATATGTCTATAATGTATGTATGTATATGCAACAGTTAACATTCAGATTATTTGTAGAGCGTAAGCATACTTACAAATACATATAAATGTTGTGTATATACAAATAATGTTTATATGTTTAATGTGTGAATATATGTGTAAATGTTAGTATATATGTATATAGCCGACAACTATTTTTTTTAATTTTTCCATACATTTGTATGTATTGTAAATATGTATATTTCCGTTCATTTTTAATAGTTGGAAATTTGTAAAACACTTTCGAAACAACAATTTTAGATATTTATATACATGTATGTGAGTATGTATGTATGTTGTTATTATTTTCATGCCATCGAACATTTGTAACTCTTTATAATTATATACTATATGTATTAATGTTTGTTCTATTTTGTTTGGAACTTGAGCCAAATCCACAAAAAGCTTCTTATACCTATATTTTATTATAGGTGAACGTATATATTTTGTATATTTGCTGCTAAATATGTTCTTGGAAGTACAAGCTGTTTGTATAAATTTACAAATGTTTATTGACTTGCATAGTTAATTAAATACATGAAATTAAATTAAATTGAAGATACAGTTTTCAGATTTGATATCAACAAAATTATAGATTTCAATCATTTATAGATTCACTTAAAGGTTAGTTTGTAATTCATCAAAAAAAAAATAATAATAAAAATAAAATTTCCCATTCAAATATCTTATATAGTTAATTGTATTTTTATGACCACCTTCTGCTAACATAAGTTGAGATTGTTTGCAAAATTGTTTAAAATACGGTAATACTACAAGTAGGTAGCTGTTATTTAGATTACCAAGTAGTTATTATTCAGATATTAAATTAAAATACAAACACTTGGTATTAAACATTTAAGAGAATATTTTTTGTTATGTATTGTTATGAGAAAAGAAATTAAATTAAATTAAATGCTTAATATTATCAAAAATAAAACAATCTTAAAGAATAAAAAAAAATTTTAATAAAAAAAAAATTAAATAAACAAAAAAAGTTAAGATAAACATAAAAATTAATAAAAAAAAGGTATAGAAGTAAAAAATTATTAAAAACAAGGTATAACCAATTTTTTTAAAAACAAAAAAAAGTTTAAGAAAAAAGAGTAAAAAAAATTACTTTAAAAAAATTAAAAAAAAAAAATATATGTATATAAAAAAAATCTATTAAAAGTTAAAAGAAATGTATTAAAGGTAAAAAAAATTATTAAGAGTAAAAAAATTAATAAAAATAAAAAAGTGTTAAACATAAAAGGAAATGTTTTTATAGTAATATTGTTAATTTGTTTCGTCATTAGGGATTTCGAAAAAAAATTATTAAAAGTAAAAAACAAAGTTAATAATAAAATAATATATTAAAAGTAAAAAGAAAAATATTAAAAATACCAAAAAAAATTTATAAAAATGAAAAAGAAGTGTTAAACATAAAAGAAAATGTTTTTATAGTAGTATTATAAAAAGAGTTTTTATAGTAATATTGTTAATTTGTTTAAACATTTCGAATTTCGAAAAAAAAATATTAAAAATAAAAAAGAAATATTAAGCATAAAAGATAAGTTTTTGATATTCAAATTGTTAATTTATTTTTTTAACGAATTTCGAAAAAAAAATTATTAAAATAAAAAATAATAATAAATAAAAAATGTATTTAAAGCAAAAAAAAATTTTTAAGTACAAAAAATTAATAAAAATAAAAAAGATGTGTAAAACATAAAAAGAAAGGTTTTGTAGTAATATTGTTAATTTGTTTTGACATTTCGAATTTCAAATTTCGAAAAACAGAATTATTAAAATTAAAATCAAATCTTTAAAATAAAAAGAAATATAATAAAAATATAAGAGAAATACTAAGCATAATAGAAAAACTAGTAATATTGTTAATTGGTTTTGTCATTTCGAATATGAGTATTTTTCTAAATTTTGAAACTATCGTTGTTTACATTATTTTATGGAAAATATGTGAACTTTAGTTTTATAACTTCGTAGCAGCACTATATTAATATAGTAAATATTTCACTGCAAGCGAAATACATTGCAAACTGTTGCATATTGTCTCCAACTTTATCATAATTATTTTAATGTGTGGATGGTTAGGAAACTTTTTTTGTATAGTTCACATAGTTACATAAAACATTTAAATAATTTAGAAACATATTTTTTTGCTAAAGTTTAAACTATGTAAACATCTATAGAACGATAAAGAAATTGTAAAAAAAAAGTATACATTTTTGGAAATAGGAAATTAGAAAAATATTTTTAAAAAACTTTGAATTTGGCGATTTACAACTTATTAACAATTTAGTTGAGAGTAAAAATTACTTATATAATTCACAAGTGTTTCGTAAGCTTAAATTTAAAAAATAGCCTTTATTTAGTCAACACAATATAACGAATTTATGCACTTTTCATTACTTTTGCTTAGTAAAATCAAAATAAATCTCATATTTGCAAACATTGTCAAGAGAAAATTAGTAATTGAGAACAAAAATTGCATTGTTCTTGCCGAGTATATAGTTCACAAATATTCATTTTTTTATATCTTAGACAAAAAATAACGAATAACATATGCTACAGCGAATGCGTCTAGTACATAACATAATTTTATAAATTTTCTTTATATATTTATGTCTTTATAATTCTAAAGTACCGTGTTACAGTAGTAATACTTTTTATTTAAATTTTTTTTTTTTTTGTTTTTCTAAACTTTAACCAAAACATTGTTGACATTTAAATTTGTTTCGTTTCTCTTTTTTAATTAAATTTTTGTTTTTTAACTTGCAATTTTCTTTTCTTTCTAATTACTACTTTTTTTGTCCTTTATCGGCTTACGCTTACATTTCAAGGCCTAATACTCGTTACACGTTTCCTGTAAAAACAAGGATGGAAATATACAACACAATGTTCAGCCATTCTTTGTAATAGGAATGCAATCAACTTTATTAAATTCAAAGGGTGAACCAAAAAAGAAATAACTCAAATAAGCGTTAACTTTTGAAAGAAACATAAACAATTTATTAAAGGATATATATGTGAGTTTATTGTATTATAGAATGCAAATAGCGCTAGTACAAACGATAACATTAATAGAAGATTACGTAAAGTTTATGAAAATTAATTTATAATGACTACATGTGTATAGCAAATACTATGTTGATTGATAATTATTTTTTTTTTTTTATTAAATATAAAGTATAAACGTTGTTTCAAAAGAAAACAATAACAAAAACCAAAGTATAACACAATTATATAAGCATTTTAAACTATATCATTGCATAATGGAAATTAATTTACAACGCTTAGCGCGCACATTCAGCACTCAAAGTGTAATCACTGTATATTACGGCAGTGAGCATTCAATAGATACTAAAAAATTATACTCAACCCTGTACACGCAAAATAACAGCACAGCAAAAAACTTATCATGAAATGACGTACATTCGAAAAGAAAACAAAAATAACTTGTTTCAAGATATCACTAACATATACATATAAAATAGAAAAATCTATAAAATTAAACCTAAGCATTAATTGACACGTTGTGGCGTTATAAATTGTTTACAATGCAAAATATTGGAATGTACGCGTCAATTTACAATGGAAATAATAATATGATATATTAATGAGAACAAACAACAGTCTGGCACATAGACTGCTTAGCAATTGTACTTAATTAAGGCCATATGCCGTAAAGAGTGGAAAAGTAGTAACACTAGCAATGAGTTTTTGCTTTTAATACATTTTCACCTTAAGTAAGCACAAATGCTATGTAAAAGAGAGCGCAAAAGCAACGATAGATAACTTATGCTACTTTGAGAGTATTCAACTTAATATTTTAAATTAATTAATTAAACCCATAATAAATAAATAAATATAATATTTTACAGTATGGTGGCAAATTATTTGAAACTCTGCATTATTTAACATTATTCGCCTTCTTACCGGAGGTTACAAATGGCCCCACATAATTGCTAGGAAATAGACCCGATAAACCATTTAGTTCGCCACGCCACCATTCGGGTTCGTCGCGTCCCAACACGCTGATAATATCATCCTTCTCAAACGAAAGTTCATCGTCGTTTTGTGCCTTATATGGATACAAGGCAATGACTTTGTCTACAAATAAGCGGATATATATGGAAATTAAAAACTATATTAATATATAATTATATATATATATATTTTTTATTGGAGTGTATGTTATTTCGTAAGTTAATATTTTATTTGCAAATGCAAATTTAAATTTTTGTCCAATACAGTACACCATGTCGTATGAGCAACACAAAATGTATAAATCACATGTATGAACATGCACATTTGATGTATAACTTTGACTGCGTATAACTTTTAAAGGAATATTTTTTATGGAAAAAATCAGCCAGACCTTTTTTGTAGAGCGGATAATTGTGTATTAAAATACACTTTTTAATGCAAACTATAAAAAAAATTCCACATGAGTAAAGAAATATGATTTTGGCAGGGTTTAAATTGAAAATAAAGCGCTTGCTTGCATTGGATAATTTTTTTTACAGCAGAAACTGAAACTTCAGGGCGTGATTACAAAAAAAAAAAGTCAAGTGGGAAAATAACGGGAACCTTAAGGGGTTACATAAGTTTCACGGCTTCAAAAAACAAAAAAAAAATTGTATTGTCTTATTTAATACTAAAACATCTCTAGAATATTGCCATAAATTGTCAAGTTGATCCCAGTAATAGTTTTGGAGGTACAGCTTTGAAAAGTTGAGCGCTCGAAGTCAGCTATATAGTTACTTAAAACTTTAAACGTGTTTTTCTCGAAACTGTGTTTTCAAAGTAAGTTGTCAAAATTTTACACAGCTCTTCAAGACTTAATTTACAAGGACTTGAACGAAGTATTTTCTTGTTCAATTTAAACTATTAAAAAAAAAAAAGTCGAGAAATTTACACCACAATTTGCATTTTTGTGTAAAAACGTCTGTCAAAAATACAATTTTCACTTTTTTTTTTTATTTTTCCTTCATCCAATACCTAGTTTATGGTCTTAATTAAAACACGTATTTTTTTCTTTTTACTTCGGAAGATCCTGTTAGAAGTTCTGTGGTCAATGCGGAGGCAGCTTTTTCTGCCTGGGCTGTCGGAAATGACGTCATAATGAGCGAGTTTTGAATATTTTCCTTTGAAAATTTCACAACATCTTTATAATATAAGTATCTTTGGAATAATAAAACGTTTGAATAAAATATTTCATTTTTTATATGAAGAAAAAAAAAGGATTGAAAATAGGGCGTTTTTTGCTCGACGAAACCCATGTAACCGCTTCATATACTAGTACATGTGCATATATAATGGAAGTGCTTACCTAGAATTTGCTCTGTCATCTCGATACGACTACCCGAAACAGGCGTATTGCGACCACTATTACGTCCACCCTGCAAAACTTTCACATAAGTGGCTGGGAACCAACCGATTTGGCGACGTCGGCCTTTCGCCTGCAGTTCTCCCTCCCACCAGCCAGAGTCGGTCTTTTTACGTATCATAATTAATTGTCCACGGGTCAACGAAAGTTGTTCAGTACTCGTAGCCTCGTATGGTGCAATAACTTGTGCAATTTCAGAGCGTTTTGCGCGCATACCCTATTGTAGAATAAATTTGTCATTATTAGTAAATGGCAGCTAATATAAAAGCATTTAATATAATAGTTCAACAATTGTTGTAGTTAAAATGTTAATTTTCGTACAATACTACTTGTAATATAAATAACATCATAAGAATTCAACCTGTTGATGTAACTACAAATGTAGGTATATAATATAGGATAAAGGATGTTATCAAATTATTTACAGGCGTCATGGAAGAGGTGCGTGACATTGGGCGACTAAACGATTCCGCTGTTTCATTCTGACTCTTTGATTGTGTATTGATTTGTGAGACTTCTGTGTCCAAGTCTTCATTTGTACGCGTCTCTTCCGCAGCTGCAGCCGCTGCTGAATTTTCAATTACGTTATCTGCGCTTATGCCGCTATTGAATTTCTGTTGTTGTTGTTGTTGTTGTTGTGTTGCTGTTGCAGTTGCTATTGCGGCTATAGTGGTGTCATTGCTTGTAAATTGATCGTGTGGTGTTGTGGCTGCTATGGCGATACTAGCGTTCGTATCGGCGTTGCCATTTTCCTGTGAAATGTTACAAAAGGCGGCAATGGAGCAGCATTTGAAGGAAATGTGGAAAAGCAATTTGTATCAATTGTTAGTAGTATTACAAAATACAACAATATGCATGTATGTAGAAAATGCAAATATATTCGCAATATGTGAAAATGCGCAATGAGTGAATGATTTGGAGCAACAGGAAACTAGTATACGTGTCACAAACCGTTTCAACACTAATGACAGCTACTAGTCCTTCAACGAAAACATAACCAAACAAACAAATATATATAAAACAACTACTTACCTTTTGATCGTCAAAGGCACCGGCAATGTCCAGCGCTGTATCTGCCGACGCTGTGCCAACATCCGCTTTTTGCACATAATTTGACGGGAACATACCTGTTCGTGTGCCAATTGTGCCTGTCCACCAATCGCCCTCTTTCTTAATAACCATTACCATTTCACCGGCATTAAAACTCAAATCGCCCACTTCAGCGGACTGATATGGATATGCCGCAATGTAATACTCCACCTCACCGTTGTGTGCGTCCGCGCCAAGACTGAAAAAGCAGATTTTTATAAAAAAAAAAAAAAATAATAATAATAATAAAAATGAGATATATGAAGCTGCAAGAAAATATTGTGTCTCTAATTTTACCTTTGGCTGTTGTCGTTGAAGGCGTCTTGTGCTGCATAACCACTTATCTGTTCACTTGTGTCAGGCTCGGCTGTAATGGCTTCAGTCGTTGTAGCAGTTGTATATTCATCTTCTAATTTTTCCACATAAGTTTCCGGAAACCAACCAGTGTGTCCATTTATCTCACCAGCTAACCAACCAGGTTCTGCATTTTGTTCCAACGGCACCAGTATTATATCACCTGGCACAAAAGTAATTTCATCCTGATTTCGTGCGGTAAACTCATAAATCGCGCGATATTTTACAAAACCTTCAGGTGCGGGCCCTGAGGTATCTACCGGTGCAGCGGCATTTGTAGTTGTCTCTGTCAGCGCGGCAGTATCATTTGAAAGTGCATACTGATCGACGCTGGTACCCCAAGCAGTCGATCCCGTGTCCCAGGCGGTTGTTGCTGAAACATTATCATTCTTCTTGTTATACTTTAGTTCGAGCACTTGCGTGCGTTGCGTATCATAATCAGCATATAATTCTTCGCATTTAGCAATTAATGCCGATAGCTCGCCTTTCACCTCAGCCACTTGTACATCGTTGGAATTGATATCTTCTTTTTTGGATTCAATTTCTTTTCGTATATTCTCCACTTTGTCTTTCAATTGCTTTATGAGTAACTGGAGGCATAAATTGTGCGCAATTTTAGCAGTAATTACGTAACGTAACCGTGTGTACTTACCTGTTTGTTGGCAAAAGCAGCATTTAATTGCTCTTGTTGTGCTGTATCGCTTGTTCCACTCTGAGCTATACTCTTACTCTTCGCATCCCATTTGGCGCGCTCCTGTGTAAGATGTAGCAACTTTGCATTTTGCTCTTTTATGCGCGCTTTAAGTTGCGACATATCGGTCATTGAGGTGTCCCGCTGCGAGCGCATGCCATCGATTATAGTTTTAACGTTGGTCACACCTGCGCGTGTGTCGCAAATCTTCTGAGACAAATCTTTAATCTAAACATAACATTAGTCTATAGTTTTTGCATATTTAATTGTTGATAGTGTGCATTTACCTTCTCATTTAGTGTGCTTAGTTCAACATTAAGTTGTGTATTGTGCGCTTTTTGTTTCAGAACACGTTCCTGCTCACGTTGCTTTTGAGCGTTCATCTCTGCTATGCGTGACTGTTCCCATTCCATTTGTCTCTGCTTTTCCAACTCCCTGCAAAAAAAAAAAGAAGATTTTGGTTTCGCCTCAAAGAGTTTTATATATTATATTCACTTTCTGGCCATTTCTTTAGCTTCAAGTTCTCGTTTTCGTTGTTCTTCCTTTTCCATTTCTAATTCGCGTTGCTTTTGCAATTGTCGTTCTAATTCCTCTTGTTGTTTGCGCTCGGCCTCTAGCCGTGCTTTTTCACGTTTTTCCGCCTCCTCACGTTCCTTGCGCTCGCGTTCTTCCTTTTCTTTACGCTGTTGATCCTGTAGTAATTTACGTCTTCGATCCAATTCTGCCTGGCCTTTATCAAAGTTTTCTTTGCGTTTGTCTTCAAACGTTGCTGCAGGGATAATAAATAAAAATTTATTATTATGCATCTTTAATGTATTTTTTTATAGTTTACTTTGAGGTAAGCCTGCAGCTGGATCTGCATCAACGGCTCCTTGCGATGACACTGATGCATGACGAGATGCTGTTGTAGATCCAGCGCGTGAACCCGATCCTGAAATAGATCCTTGACGTGATTTGGTTTTCCGAAAACTGGGCGGAATCCAGTCGAGTGGCAATGTAACGGGTACTTTTTCCCCATTCATGGCTTTATCACAAAGGAACATGGCCAAAATGAATTCATCACAACTTAGTCTTCCATCGGAGTCCAAGTCGGAGAGTGTCCAAATCTGCGCGAGTGTAGCTTGTGGCAATTTGCTTTGTACGAGTATGCTGCGAGCCTGTGCGCCGGTCAAATAACCAGAACGCGTACGATCAGTTGCATTGAAGACTTGTGTGTACTTACGCTTCGCTGGACCCTTGATGGCCCACTCACTTTGCCTATTAAATTGAAACAAAATTAATTTCCGTTAAACATTAAACCATAAAATAAATTTGTACAAATGAACTAATACTTACGGTGATTCGATAGAAGGCGCACGCTCTGATATTGACATATGTCGACTGGGTGGATTGCTTTGTGGTGGAGTTGGTGTGGCTGGTAATTTGGAAACTTCACTACTGTTAGGTGGTGAAACAATTTTCCCAGGTGGTAACACACCACTGGGCACAGCTGGAATACCGGGTATTATGGCTGGTTGAACCACACCACCGCTTGCAGCTACTGACATTGGCACCATTCCAGGAATTGGAACTCCACCTGCTACTGGAGGAACAATGCCAGCTGGCATTATACCAGCCGTATTAACGCCAGATATGGTGCCTACTCCAGGTACACCAGGTACACCTGGAATACCCGAAGCACTTACTGGCATTACTCCAGTTGGTATTACACTGCCAGGTAGAACCATTGCGGCCGTGCCAGCAGCATTAATTGGCATTTGCATGGGCAATCCTGTTGGTGGAATACTCGAGACAACACCGGTGGTCATTGCAGCTGGTATAGTTTGTGGTAACACACCCGGTAATGTACCCGGAACAATACCTGGTACAGCGGGTACAGCCCCAGGCAATGTTGCTCCTGATATCGGTACACTGGGTGCAACTCCAGGTACACTTGCCGACATTGATTTCAACGGATCTAGAGGACTCATACTTCCCGTGGTGGTGGGCGTCATTGTTGGCGTACCTCCCACTGTAGATAGTGAAGCAAGTAATGTGGGTGGTAAAACCTTCGGTATTTCCATTCCACGGAGCTTCAAATTAATCAATTTGCATGCAATACTAAACTCATTGATGTTCATTTTTCCATCGGAATCTGTGTCTGCCAAAGCCCTAAAATATTAACGGAGAAAATAATCTTTTAATCATACAATTAAAAAATTTATACATACTCGTACTAATAATATACACTTTTTTTATCATCACATTGCTGGGTTTGACAATTTGTATGTGTGGGTAAGCTCGTTCACGTAATATTCGTATTTAACAATTTATATTTCAATGCTGACTCACCATATTTGTCCGAGGATAAGCGGTGGCAATTGTGATTGTAAAAAGAAGCCTTTCGCTTGTGCGCCAGTTACAAAGCCACCTTGTGGTTGTAGTGCTTTGAATTGCTCCTGATACTTGAGCTTCTCTCTTTGGGTTATTACCCACGGATCAACTGCAGCGTTCATTGCGAAAACAATCCAAACGTTCACTCAGTAATAATTATTCTACTTTCGTTGAAGTCCAATCAATGATCGAAGAAACTGTGTGTTAAAGCTAAGTGTTCTTTCAGATGTGCAGCCACAACACTGTTGGTTAATGACTTCAATCGTCACACAATATTACAGCTTTCTTTCTAATTTTATTGGTTAGTAACAAATTTTAACACTTTCTAAGTAGAGCTCAGCGTTTTATTGTTATTCTGTTATCGTATGTATTCCTTAACGCCCCCTCTTAGTACCTTGGCCTTATCAGCTATTTCCCCTATTGCCTGCCCCCTCGTTTATTGTGTACACCGAATTGTGTGAGGCTAATTTTATTGTGAATGCAGAGGGGAGGTGTAAAAATCTAAAAGTTGAAAAAATCAATTTAGCATTTTTTTACGAAAAACATATTTTTCTCTAACATAAAGATTATTCACTGCACTATTTAGCTACGATTAAATATTTTCCGATTATAGCATGTATGAAAAGTTAAATGGCAATGGTCTACTTAAACGAAAGCTATGTTTAGCACATAATTTCTAAAAGTAATTAATTATTGTTTTGTAACAATTTTCACATAATTATTACTTTATATCGCTATTAAACTGCACAGAAAATTTTATTTCTCCCAAACTTTTTCGCGACACTTAACTTTTTCACGAATGCAATAAACGTCACACAGAATCAATAAATCGAATTGGAACGGTGATGCCAGTCTTAAAAATCGTTTCTAGCTATCGTCAAACTAATGATCGAAAAGTTCTAGCAGAGAATGTAGATTATATATAGAGATATATTGGACCGTCTCTATAATCTACATTCTCTGCTTCTAATTTTGAAATACTGAGAAATTGAGAATGAATAAAGAGTTAAATAGAAAAGATAATTTCATTTTGATACTACATATTGTTTATGATTATATTCTAATCACGATTAAATTATATAAGGTTGTGCTGATATTAATTAATGTTGTCATGATATTATCATTCACACACTGATTTTGATGATTTTGTGTGATTTATGATTTATTCGTATTCAGTTATCATCAAATATCGCATTCTCATCGTTTGAAATATTTGAACAAATAATTAAACTATTTTTGAATCATGAAAACAAAGCAAAACGGCTGATACTGACACTATGAATTCAAACACTTATTACGAGTTGTTGTTTTTGGGCTATTGACACAACCTTATATAATTGAATCATGATTCTAATGTTTTACTTTCATCCTAAACATTTTATTTTTGTTGTTGTTGCTATAATTTACTTCTGTGTGGTTATGACGTTATGTTAAAGTGAGATGAAACTATATTGATTAACCGAGGTCGATTTCTCGCATGCCTAGACGTACGATTAGGTTGTAAAATGATTTAGTACATTCAATTACATCCCTAACGTAGATTGAGGTTACGTTTAGCAGCATGGTATTTCGTTCACTTTTAATTTAGCTGGCGCAGCGTGTATTTGCTAAAATAATTCATCTCTGGTAAATTTTGAAATTACTGCGCCAATCACTTATTTTATTAATAAAAAATAAACAAATGGGTACTTCAGAAGAGGACGAAAATTCTTCAAATGCAAGTGATGAAGGGCAGGAAATCGGCGAGGAAAATTCCGTGGATGAAGAAAACGATGAAGATGCGGAGGACACTGGGAGTATAGGAAATGATATAGCAGCGAACGTCGAAAGTTCTGTCACATGGAAAGACCTCGTAAGTAATCAATAATATTTTTATACATTAAATAGTATTGATTATGGTTTTTAATAGGGTTTAACGGATGCGTTATGCCAGGCATGTGAAGAATTGAAATGGAAAGCTCCATCTAAGATACAAAAGGAGGCTATACCAGTAGCATTGCAAGGAAAAGACATTATCGGTTTGGCCGAAACAGGTTCCGGCAAGACAGGTGCTTTTGCTTTACCAATATTGCACGCTTTGCTGGAGAACCCCCAGAGATATTTCGCATTGGTTCTAACACCCACACGTGAATTGGCTTTTCAGATATCGGAACAGTTTGAAGCACTAGGTGAGTTTAAAAAATGCAAAGTTTGCTTGACTGTATGGATAATTTTCTTTCCCCGCTATCCTGCAGTATTTTTATTTAAGCTTGCAATGATGTAAAAATTTATTTTGATTTTGTTATGTGAAATCATTTATTTTAGTTTCGTCACTACCTCTGAGTATTAGCTTATTTTTTGTATATTTAATATGTTGTGTGAGATGTACTGAATAAAAGTTATCTTTCAGGCAGTTCGATAGGCGTGAAATGTTGCGTTGTTGTTGGCGGTATGGATATGGTTTCTCAAGCGCTACAGCTTGCTAAGAAACCCCACATAATCATTGCTACTCCCGGCCGTTTAGTTGATCACCTTGAAAACATGAAGGGATTCAATCTGAAAGCTATTAAGTATTTGGTTATGGATGAAGCAGATCGAATTTTAAATATGGATTTTGAGGTGGAACTGGATAAAATATTGAAAGTCTTACCCCGCGAACGTCGCACTTTTTTATTCAGTGCAACTATGACAAAAAAAGTAAAGAAATTGCAACGTGCTTCGTTAAAGGATCCAGTAAAGGTGGAAGTTTCTAACAAGTATCAAACAGTTGAGCAACTTCAACAATACTACGTATTTATTCCTGTTAAATACAAAGATGTTTATTTGGTACACATAATCAATGAACTGGCTGGAAATAGTTTTATGATATTTTGTAGTACCTGTGCAAATACTGTCCGCACAGCATTAATGCTGCGTGCCTTAGGTTTGGCAGCCATACCTCTACACGGTCAAATGTCTCAGAATAAACGTTTAGCTGCATTAAATAAGTTTAAAGCGAAAAATCGCTCAATACTTATTTCTACAGATGTAGCATCGCGTGGTCTGGATATACCGCACGTTGATGTAGTATTAAACTTTGACATACCAACGCATAGTAAAGATTATATTCACCGTGTTGGTCGTACGGCTCGAGCTGGTCGTTCTGGCAAAGCCGTTACTTTTGTTACACAATACGACGTGGAATTGTACCAACGAATTGAACATCTACTTGGCAAACAGTTACCATTATACCCTTGCGAAGAGGATGAAGTTATGGCGCTACAAGAAAGAGTGAGTGAAGCGCAACGCACCGCGAAGTTAGAGCTTAAAGACTTGGAGGATAATAAGGGTGGCAAAAAGGGAAAATTTAAGAAAGCGGGAGATGATTATGATGATTCCGAACATTTTTCTGGAGCTCGGAAGCGTATGAAACCTCAAGGTGGCGCTGGTGGCAAGAAAAATTGGAAAAAGGCGAAAAGGAAGTAATCGCTTGAAACAAGTTCATAGCTCATAGAATTTCATTGTAAGATAGTTATTGCTCATAATTTTGAAAATAAATATTTTAAGCATATATTTTATATTTATATGTTTTACTTTTCATTTTGTTAAAACTTATTCGATCAAAAAATATCTGATTTGCTTTCTATGGTTACTAAAAAATCGAAGTTATTATACAGATGTTGTTTTAGTTTCATAATTTTTACGGATCAGGTTTGAAGTGATTTGGCTTTAAAGATTATAGTTTCAAAAGTGTATATCAAATTAAATTTTTATTAAAATTTTGTGGAAGTCTTTAATTTTCTTAATTAAGTGTATACAATATAATTTTCGCTAATTTATTAATTACATCGATATTAACTAAAATTGCAAATTTATTTTTTGCTTTTACATCTTGTCTATTTGCAGTTTTACGTGCTGACCTTTATTTTACATAAATTATACTATACAACCCACGATAACCTATTTTGCAACAGATAGGGTTTTTCATATGTCTACATATTTATCATACAAGAACTAATTAAAGATCAAAAGATTTTAGAAGGAATTTAAGGCGTAATCTCAATATGTATTGCACTGTATATCAAAAAGTTCACATACACCCTCGTCTTTCGTTAACACAAAATTGTAATCTTCATGGGGGGGATTTAACTGAATTAGTGGAGCATTTTCTGAAATTAATACAAAAATTATTGTAGAATTATGAGTAAACGAAAATATTTACCTAAATTGGGATCATCTGGAAAAAATCTGCGCAATGAGTGTTGTGCTAAAGAATTTTTAAAAATTATTCGAGCAGCAAGTTGATTTTCTAATTCATCTTGTTCTTTCTTATGTTCGGGATTACAAAAGTACGTATGCTCATTAGTGACTAGAGTTGGTTTATTTGAAGTACTTGATTCTGAACAATTAGATGAAGATGGTGATGGTGTTTCTAAGCGGGTAATTAGCGGAGAAGTTTCCAGTTTAGGTGCTACACAGGTGCCTTGTTGTGTAACTAGGCGTACATCTACTTTCCCTCCATTATCCAGCGATACGTATAACGAGTTCTGCAATAAAATATATATACATATTTTTAGATCGTATAAAAGTTCTTATAAACATATGTATTCTTACATGTGAAGGTTCTATTTTCACTTCATCGTCATGATTAGGTATTACCAATACAACATTTTGGCCATATATCGAAATCAAGTCATCACGAGTTACATATGCGTAAGATTTGTTTACTTCATCTTGTTTAATGTATTTTAAATTACGTCGAGCGTATTCTAATTGGAGATCTACATCGGCTTCAAGCGCTTTTAAATGCTTGGCTCGCGCATGCGCTGCTCTTAAACTTTGGTGCCCCGTACTAGTATTTAGTGCGCCACTGCAAAATTTATACATACAGAAAGTCAAAGTAAAAAAGTAATCCAATAATTTGAAAAGTATTACCGCCATCGTACTGTGCTGCTGTGTCTTGTCTTTTCAATTAATCCAACCCCCTCTAAAACATTTGTTATATCGTATATTCGGCGCTTCTGGACATCCAACAGTTCAGTTGCCTAGAAATAATCAATCTATATATGTACATATATATCACACATCAATGTGAACATATACTTTATACTATATATGCTCATAGAATTAACTACATTACCGTCGAGCAATTTTATATCCAATGAGCTAGTATCCAAAATATATTTTTTTCTAAACTTGAACTAAAACAACTCCAAACTTGAATCGTATAGAAATTATTGCGAAAGCGCCAAATAGTTTGGGCGGTATCACTACCACATTTCTAAAAAAACAAACGTGAATTTCCAAGGCGCACTTCTACGAAATTACCTCTTTGAGATCTATCCGTCCATTGTTCCATTTCATCAACTGGACGAATTTTTGTGTAAGTGCCACTAGAGAACCGACCGCTCGCTGTTGTTGTTCTTGCCTTGTTGGGGTGGGCGCGGAATCGTTCACCACCATTCGTTTGCTCATCATGGTATCTTTTACAATGTTCACATCTACGTAGCGAATTCGTATACTAAAGTTTCACTCCTTGCAAAGTATAGTAGAGCTTTATAATAATTAATTTCTTCTATGTTAAATATCTTTTAACGAAATACTTTAATATAGCGCGAATATTTATGATAAATATAATAACTAAACTTTCAACACTGCCGCCATTTCGTCTTCTTCTTCTTGGCAATGTCATTGAAGTTCTCTTAAGATCACAATAGCTTAATTTATATATATGGTTTATGTAGGTCACATCGGCTTTGATATTCCATGAAGTATTTTAAGTTTTTTTATGATTGCGTTGCAGAAACCCAATACAAAAACAAAATAATATTTTATTTTCTTACAGCCGATACAATGGTTTTAATAATTATAAATATACGCATGGCATCATCTTTAGCAACAAACGGACATCTATCGGGAAATACAGCTTATCAATTGAGTTGAACCTTCTTCCCATATTTCATCAATTTTGTGTTTTTCTCGTGATTTTCGTCAGCGTGCTTCAAAGAACGTTGTATTAATTTATATATTTTCCAATTACTACTTAAATCATAATGTCTGCAAAAAAAGTACGTCCACGCCTTTCAAAAGGTATCTTAGAGATGAAGTTCATGCAACGTACTAAAGCGAAAGTGGATAAAGAGATCGAAGAAGCAGAAGGCCGCGAAATGTATTCTCAAGAAATTACGCAAAAAATGTTGAATAGCAATTCAAACTATATTATGGAGCCGAGTTTTGTGCACTGCGAAAATCTTATTGAGGGGCGACTTAGTTTTCGAGGCATGAATCCGGAAATTGAACGTCTTTTAGAGTTAGAACAAGCGGAGCGGGTGGCCAATACACGGCATGAGCAACCCACTGAGGTGTCTGACAAGGATATGACCTCCTTTTATAATGCACAGCAAGTGACAATGCAAAAGAAATTCCAAACAAAAGCTCAATTCAAAGCAAAGCGCAACCACGTTGAGAAAACAACATGGCAAGGTAAAAAGGCGAGGTTTCATAAGCCGCAAGAGGACGATGTTTAAGATAACAATAAATTGAAAACAATTTAAACATATGTAAATTTATATACCATACACATGTAAAAATTCGTAACATGAATAAAAAAAAAACTCTAAACATTAAAAAACGTTATAAATATTATTTTTCTAGTTGACACCTACTATCATTACGAAAAGTAATCACATTTGAAATTTAGGAAGTCATAAATTTTTTAACAGTATATTAATTTTATTATTTTTTTAACTTTGTGTTTGAGGCATCATAGAAATAACACTAATAATAAAAATTGACCACTAATTTATGCAACCTTAATAGCTTGTAGTGCATAGCACATTAAGTTAGAATTAATCCACCGCCAGCGTCTACGACAAACATCGTATGTGAAGCCATTTATCAATACAGTTTGACAATCCACTGAAATCAACGGGTGCAAAAAACTGGCAATTAAAATAAATGTGAGTTTTCAATTGAAGAAAAAACTTACATGCAGATAGAATACGTTGCACATCTAGTGGTGATGCTAATTTTTCCCAGTGATGAGTATTTTTCGGTGCGATACCAAATACATTTTCAGCAAGAAAAATTCCTCCTATCCATAGTGGAATAGTTTTGTTCATGGTAGTAATGAATATTGATCCTCCTGGCTGAAAATATACCAAATATATAGAATTTTTGTATATAATACTCTTCGTACCTTCAGTGTTTGAACACAATGTGTTAAAAACCCGGCTTTATCGTCAATATGTTCCAACACTTCTGAGCAGACAACAGCATCGTAGTGGTTTAAATTGGTTTTCGCATGTACCTCAATTGGCTCAATTTTGTAAGTTATATTATGTTTCAAATCTGTACTATGTTCCTCCAAATGTTCTCTTGCAGTTCTTATTACGTCTTCGCCCAAGTCAACACCCGTTACTTTTGCACTAAGGCGTGCTAATGCCTCAGTTAATATACCGCCCCCACAACCTACTTCCAATATAGTCTTATCCTGTAAGACTTTGGTTGTATTTATTAACTTTGGATCTACGTTACCGCGCGCTGTGATACCGTCTCGTATAAAAGGCACTCTAAATTCAAAATTTAAGTTAATGTTAAGAATGTAATTCAATCAAAAATACAATTGGTTACCTAAGTTCGTTTAGTTTATGCAAACTTTGCATCGGTCCATTTAAATTCCACCAGTTTGCTGATAATTTGGCATGATGATCAATTTCTTTTTGTGTACTAGCGGTATGTGTGTGCGTTCTCTGCGTTTGGCCATTAGCTATCGAATTGTTAATCTTATTGGCAGCTATTTGTGCATATCGGGGATAATGAGTACCAACCAATAAATGCCTGTAAAAATTTAATTAGTTTTTCGAAGTATGATGGTTTTTGTTTTAAACCTTTGAATTTTTAATAAAGGGGACAACATTTTGACTTCTTATTGACACTTATTTAAAATAAACTTAAATATTACACCTCAAACCAATCAAATTCAAGTTTTATATTTAATACACTTAATATAGTTTTAAATAAATAAATAGAGATCATATGGAAATGACAGCAAATCGTGCTGCCAGCTGGTTATTTTTGCAGCACAAATGCGAATATGTAAAACCGTTGGGTTCCTATGGCCCTTTAAATTATATATCTGGAATATATTTATAGAACCAGTTTCATTTCTATCTTGTTTTATTTATTATTTTTAATTAAATTACAAAATTAATTTATCTGTTGATATATGAATATATGTAAATATACTGCAGATAATTTTTTTTTTTGAAATATATTGTGTTGCCTGTGTTTGTTTGTTATTATTTCCGGTTGTGGTAGAACTCCACGCTCAAATAATAATTCAAATCCAACAAAATTACGAAAAATAAAGCTTTTTACAACGTTTTAACAAATAGTATGGCCAAAGTGAAAAAAACGCTTCCTGATTGCTTCCACAATGCTTCAAAACGTTTCGTTTGTGTTTATTATGTAAATATAACATTGAGTATTAGAAATAAATAGTTTATGGTTTTGTAAAAAGATTAAATAAATTTATACGAAATTATTTATACAGCTTTAACAGCGTGGAGAGCATAGCACAGTTTGGTAGTATCAGTCCACCGCCAACGCTTATAGAAAATATCGTAAGTGCAGCCATACAGCGATACCGTCTGACAATTTACTATAACGCATGGATGTATTAAAAAAGGTTGGTATGTATTAGTAAGTAATATTATGCTTACATGCAGTTAGAATGCGTTTCACATCTTGTGGTGCTATCAGTTTACTCCAGTGATGTGTGTTTTTTGGTGCAACCCCAAATATATATTCTCCGAGAATAATTCCTATGAACCATTGTAGAACCGTTTTGTTCAAGGTCGTTATAAATATTGAACCGCCTGGCTGATGTTTCGTAAATAAATACGCGAAATAATTGATTTTAAAGTAGTTTATATACTTAAAATAAAACACTACTATTTAAAAGTATACCTTTATAGCCCTAACGCAATCTTTTAAGAAAATTTCTTTCTCGTCAATATGTTCCAACACTTCTGAGCAGACAATTGCATCATAATGATTTGTATATTTATTTGCATGTTCCGCTATTGACTCGGTTTTATAAGTTATACGCTCGACTAGTTCGGGACTATTTTCCTTTAAATGTTTCTCAGCCGTCATTATTACGTCTGCGCCCAAGTCAACGCCAGTTACATTAGCATTTAGACGTGCCAACGCTTCCGTTAATATGCCGCCACCACAACCTACTTCCAATATATTTTTACCTTGAAGTACCTCAACTGTATTGCTCAAACACATGTCGACGGTACTTTGCGCCATCAAACCATGGCTTACGAAAGGAACTCTGTGTATACATACATTTGTACGTACATAGTGAAATGCAAAATATTATTTAATCTTTTTATAAAATACTCATCCATTATACATATATGTACGTATTTGCGCACCTTATTTCGTTCAGCTTGTGTAAACCATGTAACGGACCATTTAAATCCCACCAAGTCGCTGATAAACGCGCGTGATGATCAATTTCTTTTTGTGTGCTGTCGTTAAATTCTTGTAATTCCTTATTTTTGCTGGCTGTGCGTGCATTCGGTGTTGAAGTGTAAGTTGTATTTGAAGATGTTTGTTTGTGTCGAGAATTGCCAAATGTATTTTGCAAGAAATATCTGCTGCAAAAAGTTATTGATAATTTTGTGTATAAATTGTTTAAAGAACAAAACCTTTGCTTTTGCAGTAAAGATGGCACAGCTTTGACTGTTCTCAGCGCCATATTTCTTTCGAATGAGCTGAGTTCTTAATCCTGACATCACTTAAAAAGTTAAATGAACGCTTATAATAGTTATGGCATAGCGGAAGTAACGAAGAGTACTCGTTTATTAATCTTAAATCTGTTAATTAAAAGAGCAACCAACAAAAAGTGGCATAAGATTAAGTGCCCACAACTCTAGCCATAAAAACTCTTAATTATACTTACCAATTAGCTTATCAGTGAAATGTTGTTACAACAATAAACAACAATTTATTATTTAAGTCTTATTTACTTTATTTTTTGTTTTATTTATATACGTAGTTCAGTGGAAAATAAAAATAAAATTACATACTTAACAATATCACCGATTTACGCGGACCTAATTGAATAACTTTCGTTTCGAGAAAATATATATGTATGTATATGTATGTATGTTCTAAAGCTAATCAATACACTAACGGGTGTGATCATGTGCCAAAGGTATGCATGTCAACTATACATATTAATACTCGTATGTATTGTACTCGTATATAATTTACATATTCTGCAACATTAATTATTATGGTTTTAATTGATTTAAAATTGGAATTGTAAATCGAGCAAAAATTATGTACATGAAATTGTGTGATAATTATGACGTTACTATCATAACAGTTTTATAAGCGCAAACAAGTAATATGGAATCGCATTTTTATTTTATATTCTTTGCTTGAGAACTTAGTTTTCATTCAGTTTTGTAAGGTGCATTCCTATTATGAACTGTTAGTTTGGCTAAGTATGTATATTGTGAAATTTTTTCGCATGCAGATTCTTGTTATTAACATTGAATATTGTTTTTTTTTTATTAGTTAGTGATATCGTTTATGTTACTGTTCGATTGCTTACATCGTTAAGGTAACAAGTTCATTTTGTTGAGTAATTTTGTTGAATAACTATGTGTTTATTAATTTTCGCATTTTTGTTGCGCTCTAAACGTTTTTTATTTGCAATATTTTTGGATTTTTGCTATTTTTCAATATAGTTTTTGTTGAACTCCAAAATATTATATATTTCTATTGCAAAATATTTACTTACATAACAAAAAAAAATTAAGCATTAAGTGCTAATAATTTTTAATTAATTTTTAATTTTATTTTTATTATTAATTTATTTTTTTTCTATTTCTATTTTTATTTTTTTATTTTTATTTTTTATTATATTTTTAAATTTAATCACTAAAATAATATATAAAACGCTCATTTGTTCTGTCGTATAATAAATACATATGCATATACGAGAACAGCCTACTAACTTTCGTTTCTCTGGCTTCAACTATGACCTACGCTATAATGCAACGCTTCAAGTACGCCACTTTTTAGTAATGCAACTTGAAATAAAACTTTTTGAGGCCTTTTTTTCGTTTTTCCTTTTATTATTTTCAGTTAAATGTGCTGAGAGCATATGCATACATATAAGTACATATATGCATTTTAAAGCTAATTTACTACCATTAAGTTGAGATTTTACGAAGTCTGTATCTACCACTAAGTGCGTCTATAATTACACCATTTACCTTAGATGTAAAAGAACTAAATTCAACACTAATTGCGGCGTCATCTAAACTTTCCGAAAAAATGCTGAGAAATTGAGAAAGAATTCACAATGCATTTAAATTTAAATTTAAATTTATTTATTTATTTTTTTTTTGAAAGCTCAATGCGTTTGCTGTTTAGTATATGAGTCAAATGTTCACTAACTTCAACTAGTACAACAAATATTATCTATGAGTTTTTTTTTCATATATTTTTTGGGAATTTTTAACGTTGCTAGTAATTTCGGTGATGTCAAAATGACACAAAAAGTTTAGCTGTTACGGCAAAGTTAATATTTTCATTTAGTTAAAAGTTCGCATATTCGTATATACATATATTTGTACATATGTATAGGTGTATATATTATTTTTCTCTACCTTAAGAAATTAGGTTTGTCAGAATTTTCAAGCAAATAACGTTTTCCCTAAACATTACGTCATATTGTATATGCGGTATAATTATATTTTTTTAAGATTTTTTAAATCATTTGCTATTATTTATTTAAGTTTTTATTTGTTTTAAAATTGTGTAACGTCTTAGCATACGAAATATGACTTACTTAAATTCATATATATACTCGTATAACTATATAAATATATTTAGTGTAACGCTTTCATTTAATTCTTAAAATTATCATAAGGATGGTAGTTGCTGTTGTAATGCAGATAGTTGAATGAGATTTGCAATATATATATGTATATTTTTTATGCCGTTATATTTTTAAATAAAATTTGTTGCTTTCATTATACAAATATGTCTAGCTTTTCTTGCTTGGAGTATATTTAAATCGTACATAAATTTGTAAAGGTGTGTACAGTATCGCAAGGAAATATTATTTAAATTTTTATTTAATTAAATGTGTGTAATAAAATAAATAATTTTTTTATCATGAAAGAGAAACATTGCTTAACTTCAATATATTTTTAAAAAAAGTCGACAATCCTTGCAACTTTCATGCATGCACTTTGTTATTGCGCGCAAAGCACCGTTACCGTTACAGTTTTCTAAGCAAATTTCGCTTGAGTTTACTTTTATATTATATATTTTATTTATTTTTAGTTATTCGTGATTTATTTGTTTAGAGTGTGTGTGTGTGTATTTACTGAAATTTAGTATATCACATTTTTTCGCCGTTGGTCGAATCCTCCGCCTCAGTTGGACTGATTGGCGACATCTCAACGCTGTCTAGCAGCGGGGTCTTCTCCTCACTGCACTGGCTGCTTTGTGCGTCGTGCATTGCGAAAATCTTTGAGAGTTCGGCGCCGCTCAGCGTCTGGTGTGTTGGCGAATCGTCGGGGGAACTGTTGTCGTCGGTGGCTGTGCCGTTGCTACTGCCGCTGCCGCCACTGCCAGTAGCACCATCGTTGCTGCAGCTCTTATCTGTAAAGTTGACAAAGTGATCAACCGACTTGAAAATAGCGCTGCGTGAGACATGTGGCAATGCGTCTATCGTGCCGACAGCAGTAGTGTTGGAAGCGTTGGACGAGGGGGATTGTGCTGTAGCGGTGGAGGTAAAATTTTGATGGCAGGATAGTGTAGCCAATGAGGTGGTCTTTATATTGGTTGTGCGGAGGCGATTTATGGAGCAACTGCTCCAGCTAAGTTGATTTGGGTTCGCACGTTTAGACTGTTGTTGTTGCTGCTGATATTTCTGCTGTTGTTGGTGATTGTGTTGCATTTGTTGTTGTGGTTTTGCTTGTTTTGCTGTCGGGTGTGAATTGTAGTGTGTACGGCGCTGTTGCGCTTGTTGAGATTGTTGCTGCTGCTGTCGCTGCTGCTGTTTCGCGTGTTGGTGAGTGTGATGATGTTGTTGCTGTTGCTGTTGTTTTTCATTATAATACATATAACCGTAAACATTATTGTCATCATAGAAGCTCATTTCGTCCTCGGAGAAGCAGCATTGCTCACTTCCGCTCATTGTATTATTGATTGCTGTTTGTTTCAGTTTCGTTAGTGTAACCAGATGTCGCTCCGAATATGATTTTCGCGCATCCATAACACGTAAATAATCATTTGTATCACCAAGATCTTCACTCTTCGAACTGCAGTAGCGACGCCCAGCACCGCTTACGCTAGCATTGCCACAAAAGCTGGTGGTCACTGCCAAACCTTGAGCACCACCAGCGCCGCCACCACCGAATGCCTGATTCAGTCCAGATATTTCATTAATGGAACTACCACGGTTTAACGATTGTCGACTTTGGCTGCGACTGCCGTAAGAGGAACTGCTGTCGTAGTGATTGTCGCGCAACGAAGACGGTGACAGACGCGCCGAGTGATTGGGTGATGTTTCCAACAGCGAGTCATTGGATTTAGCTATGCGATTTTTCCGATAAAACTTACTATCACGCCACATTGTTTGACGCGTGCTAACCGAACCCGATGCCGTAGCTGGACGCTGCATCTCAACACTGGCTATGATGCTTTTATTGCTCATTGGTGACGTGCTCGTCATTTGATTGGGCGTGTTGTCGTAGACTACTACCTGACTTGACGTCTTGCTGATGCGGAACGAGGCATGTGTAAGTTTCTTGTATTTCTCATCTCGCTGCATATTGACGCGATTTTCAGAGTTTGTGCGATCCGCAATCGGCATAAAAGCACTATCAATGCGACGCTCCTCTTCGAGTGAACGAAATGCCATGCGATTAACATTCTTTAAGAGCTTATCCGCGGATGAGCGCTTATTTGGTGACATATCCTCAAACGAACTGACGCGATATTTTTGTGAGAATACCTCAATTGTACCGATACGTTTCGATGGTAAAGTTGTATAAATAGAGTTTTGATCGTTAACTAGAATCTTGGGTGGGTCGAATTGTTGTGCTTGTGGTAGTGCGGCGCTAGACGAGGATAGTGACGAATTGCTAGAGTTAGTAGTGGCAGTGACGAGTATTTTAGGCGAAAGCGAGACGGGAAATTGTTGTGGACGTATGTTGCCTGTAGAGCCGGACGAAGTGGATGCGCCCGAATATGAGCCGGACATGCAATCGTCTATGTTTAAAAAGTTACTTGGCGACGTTTCACGACAAGGTGATGATATGGCTGAATCTTGCGAAACCATACTTCTCGGTATAGTGGCTAATTCTAAACAAGTTTCCTTTCCACCTGTTGTTGTTGCTATTATAATATCCTCTACACCCTCATCAATCGGCGAAGATATCGACTGAAAACTACTTATGCGAAAACTGGACGAACCAACCGAAAGATCATTGTCGGTTAGCGATCCAAAAGCTGAATCTTGCGAAGGATTACTGCGTCCATATTTCAAACACTTGAGTGAGTATTCGAGTCGACGACTCTTCGAATTCTTATAGTTGCACATATCAGTCGTTAGTTGGTGGTTGAATGAACCACCGGCGGTAACACCATTTGTTGCGGCAGCCGCTGCTGACGTCGATGCTTTTGCATCATCGTTCACATGACTTTGGCTATTTGCGTCAACTTGGTGCGCTGATGAATCACTGCTAGCCGGGCTGTCATTGTTTGATGTACTGTCATCAGCTTCAAGCTCCAATTGACCTGACTGTATTGTTGCATTTTTGCCGATGCTCTTATCTTCTTCTACAATAAAGGCTGCAGCTGGCGTTGCGGCTGCAACAGCACCGGCGGTTGTTGAAGCAATACTTGTGCTACTACCCGATGAGCGACCAACACTTGAACCCAATGTTGGTGCATTCAAATTATTGCTGGAGCTACAACGTATTGTTGGCAAATGTGTTGGAGGTGGCGGAGAAGACGGTGACTCTATGTACCTTTGTTGTTGTCGTGACTGTTGTGTTGACTTTTGATTTTCTTGAGTACTATAGATATTGTCATCGGATTGGGTGGTGGTATTCTCACAATAATGTAGGGGTGATGATTCAATTGCGTCATAGTCCAGTGGTTTGTTCTCACTGAAGTGATGATTTTGGGTGTGATATTGGCGTTGGTGCGATAATGTTGTGAACTGGTCGTAATAGTGTTGCGGATAGGAATGATGCTGTCGTTGGTGATAGTTTTGCATGCGTTGCAGCTGTTGTAAGCGTTGTTGGTGGTAATTGCCATCGACGAGAATTTCATCAAGTAATCCTTCCTCCGAGTCGCTAGATATATCGAAAGAGTCCATTGTTCGACTATAGCTGTCAGGTGTTTTCGTTCGTTTACCGCAAGACGTTAAGTAATTGAATGTAGAATCGAAAGAGAGAATTTTTATTAAAGTAATGGCGATTTGTAGGTATTAAGTAACATATGTACATATATAATGCATAAATAGTACTTTAATAAGCATCAGTTAGTTGTTCACTCGCTCAATATTGAATGAGTTGGAGATGCTGTGTGAGGGTGTGAGTATGTGAGTGCGAACATTGAAAGAAGAGAATGAGCAATGTGATACGCCAATACATTTAAGCAAGCAAAGAACATAACTCAGAAAGCAAAATACATACTACTAAACAACAAGAAAAAAGTGCAAGTAAATATTTTCAAATTACTATTAGTATATTATTAAACAAATATACAAGCTACATATATTTCAAATTGTAATAAAGAAAAAATGTTAACGCTATTTTACTGAGTTGGAAAATTAAGATTTCAGAAAATGTTTTTACTAGGCTTCTAGTTTAAGAAAACGCTAAGAAAAATTTGAATTGTAGTCCCAACTTATTTTTTCATACTCATCAGAAAGATGATTGACATTTTACCATATACAATTTTTATACTCTTGCAACATGTTGCCACAGAGAGTATAATAGTTTTGTTCAACTAACGGTTGTTTGAATTACTTACAATATCTCAACTTTAATCAAATTTGTTGTGGAAGGTTACCCAAATATTCCTATTATACGGCATGAACAAAATCAGATGACAACCAAGCCTACTTCCCATATAACAAATTTTAAAATTCAAACTAAATTTTTTACTTCACTGTATACAAATCAAACATCAATGAAGTTATCAGAATAAAACTTTGCACAAATAGTGCTGTCAAGGTATTTTATCTTGTCGAAATTGGACTATAACTTTTCAAACATAGGCCCATACAGCGAATAGGCGGACCCCGGTGCCTTTGGCTGATTTTTTGTCAAACATATCGGTGAATCTGTGAGGGCTAGTGTTGAAATACAAGGAGAATATTTTTGTGATGACAGCATGCCTCTGTGCCAAAAATGGATAAAATCGGGTCCAATACTTCCCATACCTATATACCTAATATAAATATTTTGAAACTTCCGGTTGATTTTATACCGCAGCTATCGGTCAATATGTAAAAATTGTCCTGAAATTCAGAAAGAATCTTTTTCTAATAATAGCGTATATTTTTGTTAATATTCGTGTTTTTAAACATCCGCTTGACTTCAAACCTTATATATTGGTTAATCTGTGAGGTTTCTTAAGTTGCAAATTGCTTGAATATAAAATGTGCGGTTATAACCGAACTTTGCCCGTCTTCACTTGTTTTGAATAAAAAAGCTTAATAAGCTTTGAATAGGATAAGCTAGCTACACCGAAATTATTTACAAATAAATTATAAATATAAAAATAAACATATGCAGACATATATACATAATTCAAGCTTTACAAAATGCTGCTTTGCTTTGTTGAAGGCAGTTGATTCTGTTATTAAGTCCAAATAGCAACAAAAAAAAAACATACTTGTACAAGTACAAACATTCAACACTGTTTCGGCTCAAAAAAAGTGTAACTCACACATTATTAATTTATATACATACATACATGACATTCAAATATAAAACAAAAAGTGCCAAACAGAAACTTATCAAAATCAACTAATTGAGCAACAAATTAGATTTACACAATTTATATAAAAATAAACACAAGTTTACATATAAAAATCATAAACGAAATCGATTAAAAGATTAGTAGTTGAAACATTTTACTGTACTTTACTACTCTCTTACACACTGGCTGCAATTGCATGTTGCATATATAATTTTTGCGAGTAAAATTTTGGCATTGTGTGTTACTGTTTGTTTTTGGTGTTGTTGTGTTAACGTTTACTTTTCTTATTGCGTGTTGTTTATATAAAAATATTAATAATATATAAAATAAATCACACTTACCACTTCGACTAATATTTGCACATTAAATTTATATGTAGTAGTAGTAGTAGTAGTAGTAGTAGAAGATTTAATTAGTAGTAGGTAGGTGGAGGTACATAGGCTGTTGGGTTGTTTTGTCAGTTGTTGTTATGAAGGTACGAGTAGGTACTGTATCCAGTTTTTAATTTGATTGTGGTAAACAAAACCGCAAAATAGGCAATTTAGTAATATATTTTGCATCCATAAGTAGTAGTAGTAGTAGTACAAGTAGTAGAGATTGTTGTATTTTTATTTTTGAGCTTAATTGTATGCATTTCTAAAAATGTTAGTACATACGAAAGACTTCATAGGGCGCAGTTGGAACACTATATATATTTTGGTAACATATAATTATCTGAATTAATTGTAAAATGTGGCTACAATGTTTGAACATAGGCAAAATATAATAAAAAAAAATATGATCTAATAACACATATGCTTGTAAATAATAAGAAAAATTTACAGCAAAATACATACAAAACATAAAATCTTTAATATAATTATTGAATTAGTAAATATAAGTAATAAAAAATTAATTATTGAGTCACTAAGTGTTAATGGTTTTTATTTGTTTTTTAAGCAAAGTTCATTTTCTAAACATAACAAACATTTAATATGAACAAATATTATTTAATTTTAGTAAAGTAGAAAACAATTAAACATGCTCACGTATTTTCAACGTTACAGCTAATTTGAGCGTATTAATATTTATCAATTTGTTTTCAACCCATTAAAAAACGTGGGACTTAAGAAATTTTGAACGTGGTGTCCTGCAGCAAATAAAGTGGCAAAGTGGTGCGAAGACATAAGCAAAGGCGGTTTCGACAGCTTTAATTAAGCTTTGTCGGCTCAATTATTTTCTATGCTTAGTCTATTTTGTTACTTCACGTCGGCGTAATTTTACTTTTTTTCAAGTTTACTCGAAATATGTTTAAAACCAAATTAATTTTGCTTTTTTATTTATTTTTGCCAAACTACTTGGCTACGATGATTTCAACTGTGTAAACAGAATGATTTTTAAAACATTTTATAAATGGTGTTATTAGAGGTGTTAAACTTTCAGTAAGGATATAATATGGAAACATTTTTTGGCTTCGAAAATTTTTAAGGGGTTATATCATCTTGCATTCGAAAAAAAACGCGCGAAATGTCAGAGACCCTATTAAGTATATGTATAAATGATCAACGTGACTAGTAGAGTCGATTTATCCATGTTCCTCTGTCTGTATGTATGTTTGTATATATTCGTACTAGTCCTTTAGTTTTTGACATATCTTTCTGAAATTATACACACGTCCTTTTCTCCCCAAGAAACTACTCATTGGAACAGCCAATATCAGACCACTATAACATATAGCTGTCATACAAACTGAACGGTCGGTATAAGGCGAATGCATGGAAATTTTTATTCATTTTTCGGCTTGGGTTATTACCAAAGGTAATGATGCAATCTCGGAAAAAATTGTTCAGTTCGGATCACGATAGTGTTGTATATAGCTGGCAAACGATCGGTATTAAGTGTTTGTATGGCAAACTTTTCATTTGAGTAGATACTTTCATGCAGTTTTTTTACAGGGTTACTGTTTCAGGCAATGGTGCAATTTTCGAAGAAATTGTTCAGAGCGAGTCACTATAGCATATAGCTGCCAGACAAATTGACTGATTGAAGTTTTTGAAATACATTATTCGTATTTGTTAAAGGTACTATAGCTTCGTTGCAACTGAACCGAACCGAAGTTAACATTTATGTGCATTGAAGATGCATTTTATTAAATAAATAAATAAAATAATGTAAATTTACATAACTTCATTAACTTTATGACGGATTATCGCCATGCATTTTGAACAATTTTGCATACCCTTGATCCCGTAACCGATTTTCAGGAGTTCCTCGGAAAAAAGGTGTCTGACGTTGAAAAAAATGTTTCAATTTAAAATTATCTAAAATACAAAAAAAAAACAAATATATATATATGTATATATTTATATTGTTGCTATAGATGTATACAGGTAACAGGCGAAAGACTAGTAAAAATTTCGATTTTTGTCGAAATGTTGGCTTCCCAAAAAAAATTTTACATTTCGGAGTGGCTAAAAAATTCGAAACCATTATCAAAAATCTTATTCCTTCAATCATTACGTGACAAATACTCGTATATCAAGAAAATACTATCAAAACTTCAAGTCGTTGGATAAGGCCGTTACGACACTGAAAACAGCCAATCCTTTCAATTATGTACAATCGATGTAGGTATATGCAAAAAAAAAAAATAATAATAATTCACAAGCAGATATAACCCCTTCAGTGATATGAGTGACCTTATATCATCAATAACGTGACGAATAAAGTGACAACCACTAAATTCATATTTTTAATGATAATGGATTAAGCGGTTTTATACGCCACCAATTTTCCGTAAGTAAATATGCAAAATTAGAGCGGTCGAGCGCGCTTAATTTTGCTTTATGCCAGAGTTAGCGCTCATAAACTTTTTCATTTTGCTGTTAATTAAGTGAGCTGCTAATTAAGTGCGCTGCTCAGTCGAGTACTTGTATAGCTGAGATAAGGAGAGTGTGTATAGCACCGCTCTGCCAATTTACACCGAGGGCGCGCCAAAAACCGTTGCTTTTCACACTTTGTTTGCTGGGACACACCACAGGTTTATGCGAGTAATCAGCAAACACCAAATAAAAAATTTACACTGACAAAACACAAAGAAATTACTATAAATATGTGATGAAAATGTGTGTATGTATGTATTAGGATGAGGAGAGAATGTCGCTGTTGGTAACAATAGTGATGACGATGACTACACGCACACAAAAGAACTTACAAATAGATGTGATGAAAGGCGAATACAACGAGGCATTTCAGCAGAGATCAAACAATGATATTACAGGAGAATTTCGTGTGTGACAGTGACAGAAATATGAAAAATTGCAGAAGAGAACTAGTAAATAGTTATGCATAAGATATGCCAGTCAGACGAACGATGTGTGTATATGATTCTAAAACATTGAATTGGTGCTTGGGGTGTGAAATGCAACATAAAACTGATATACATTACATTTCATTGTTAAGATTTTAATAATGAAAATTGATATTTGGCGCTAGATATCTAGGCTATTTTTTATGTTTGCGCTTAAATATGGCATTGTGTGTGTGTTTGTGTTTGTATGTCTATTTAAATAAACACTTACCCGCGTCGACCGTCACGTGGCGTTGATGGCGGTGTGCTCGGTGAGCTCATTTCGCTAAGTGAACTACCGAGCGATGCACATTGTCGCTTCTTAACGGCATACAAGAGATTGAGAGTGGATCTGCTTAGGCTCGGTTTGATTGTCTACACAACACATATATACATACATTTATTTGAAATACATGGCAGGCATAAATTTGTACGTCTTCATTGTCAGCTTTTTTTTTTTTAGATACTTACGCTAAAGCAAGGGCCACGTAATTCACGCAAATCGATGCTTCTGAAGAGATCACATAAGACTAGGTCTTCGACGGAGGGGCATACACCGCTTGGCGGTTCGAATATTAAGCCAAGTACATCTAAAATCTGTTGTGATTATGGAGAGAAAGTTAATAAATTAATTACAACTTTCAAAAAAATAAAATTTAAAAAAAAATTGTGGTTGAGGCTGTACTTGGCGAGACTTTGTTAAAATCGGGAATTTTAAAATTTTCCTGGAATATTTTTTTTAACTTTTCTATTTTTCAAATTTTTTTTTAAATTAATAAAACTGAGAATAAAATTACTAAAAATTAACTTGAAATATGAATATGCAGCTCTTCAGAATGTTTAACTTTTAATAGCAATTGAATAACATAAAATAATTCTCTTATATTTGCTTAAACTCACCTGTGGGTAATGCTCTAATTCCATTTCGAGCACCCGCATGGACGGTTTGGGTGTGGTCATTTCTTGACCGGTACACATTTCATATAACAAATGACCGAAGCAAATGATATCGACATTTTCGATTTCCGTTGTACTGCGCGACCACATGACAGCGTTTATGCGCGAACTAAGGCCGAGCAGGCCGTTCTCGAGGCCGGACAGTCTATGAAAGCATAAGAATAGAGTGTTTTAAGTATATAAAAGCTCTATTTTTTTGTACAAAATTGTTTTTGAAATTATATAAATTATTATTTTATATAGCATGCACGATTAGGCTGTTGCGCATACACCCTGTTAAGTCAAATATAGTGCACTTAGTAAAAAAAAAATATTTTCCAGCAGAGTACATATATATGTACATATGTATGTATGTAAGAAAAAAAGCATTATTTTAATAAAATACTAATTAGGTATTAAAGAGGTTTCAACAAGTGATTTAAAAGTTATGCATTTTTTTTTGTCAGTCGTATATTTATATTTCAAGAGCGCACAAAACAAATTAAAAAATACAAGAAAAAACTTTCACTTCGGCTGGAATACCCTTCGCAAATTAAAAGGTTTCCATACAAGTACTTCGTTTTGATCGTTCAGTATGTACAGCAGCTATATGCTGTAGTAAGATCGGTCTGTAAAATTTATTCAAATATTGTAGCGTTACTTTGGAATTCCAAATTTCGTGCAGATATCTTGTCAAGTAAAAAGTTTTCAATATAAGAACTTAAATTTGATCATTGAGTTTGTATAGCCGCTTTATGCTATAGTGGTTCAATATCGGCGGATTCAACAAACGAGCAGCTTCTTGGGGAGAAACGAACGTTTGCAAAATTTCAGAGTGGTATCTCAAAAACTGAGTTACTAGTTTCCGTATAGATACTTGTGGCCTTTTAAAAAAATAATGAAGTATTCTTGATTACTGAAAATGTCATTATCGTATAAAGCATCAAAACTAAAAAAAAGTGAATTAAATTGTGCCTACTAAAATTCAAAGATCATTTGTTTTACTATTTTTTTTTAATTTTTCAAATTTTGTAGAACTATTACATTTAAGAAATTTTCAGTTTTTGTTGATTCATAGGAAAGAGAGATATTTAAAATGTGATCGTGACAAATTTCAACTAAATTGACTGATTAAAGGTTTCGAGAAAAATACGTTTGAAGTTTCGTAATCCGCCCAAACTGGTTTGGTTGCACTATAATTTTGAAAATCTTTTGAATTTTGAAAAATTCTCTAAGTAAAATATTTTTAAATATAGAAACTGACGAAATTTTATTTCTATGTTTTCAATTTTTTTTTTTTTAGCTAGAATATAATTTAAGCTATATAATTTGAACGTGCATGAAATTGGAAATGAACGCTGTTAGTTAGCATAGCCGCAACATACCGCCCACAACTGCCTACCTTAATTAATTTCATTTGTTAACAAACTGTTGTGAAAAAGCGAAAACTCAAATGAAATTGCATATTCATACTTGTACTTAGAATTTGCATTTTGCATCTAGTTGTGTCTTTGTTTGTTAGTTGGAGTGGCTTAACCTACTTTTGTGACACACTCGGCAAGTTAAAGTGCTCTAATATTTGGTTAACAGGGTGAACGTCAGCATCAGAATTTGTAGCACATTTCTATATTCAAACGTGGTGAATGTCGAAAAGCGGACTCATAGCACAAATATAATATATTTAGTATAGGGATATTATGTGATTTGGACAACATTGTAGAGAATATATGATCAAAGGCAGTTATCGAGATTAGATGGCTAGACAGGTAGAAAAATAAGAGAAATTGTGTTGTCAACTTCAGTTTATCTCTGCTTGAAGCAGTAAAAAACTCTTTTTGCGAACTAATTTTCATTATTAAAATATTAAAATTTAATTAAAAATTTTTTTTTGTATTTTTAGATATTTTTTTAGGAATTTTTAAAAATGTGCAATTGTGCTTTCTACTGTTACCCATTTTACTTTAAATGCTTATTTATTGAAGCTTATAGCTTTATTTTCAACCAATCTGCTTTTTAACTCATAATTTATGCACTTTGACAACATGTGCGACATATGTGAAAGCGCCCATATGAGAGCAATTAATTTATTTTGTGAAGTGTACCCACCTGGCGGCGCCATTTTGTAGAATCACATTTCCACTATGCAAATGTCCGTGCAGTGGGAAGCCGCGCTCTTTCAGAAACAGCAACGCCTCCAAGATTTGTCGACCCAGCCGCTGAACTTGTGAGACGGGCAAACCGTTAGGTTTGCGTGTATATTTGCGTGCCCATGGTTCGTTCCATTGCGCCTAGAGCAGCGGCATGCAATTAAAGGGGATTTAAAAGAAAATATATAAAAATAAAAAATAAATGAAAATGAAAATGCAAAAGTAAACTGTATGAAATAGTGGCGAAGCAAAGTAATTGCTGCAAAGCGAACTTAAATAAACGAAGTACACTTGAGGCCAATGCCATTTCAACATACATGTGTATGTATGTATGTTAAGTCACATATGTGGGAACACATGCATATACGAGTACTATACTTAAATACAATATATGCATATGTATGTATGTGTCGGCATGTAGGCAAACACCTGTGCGTGTAAACAGTAGTGTGTTGAAAGGAATTTGCGTATGTCTTACCCTATAAATTAAATCCTTTAAGCTACCACGTGAATTGAATGGCGTCACCAGACAGGCAAAATTGCTTGAGCCAAGCTGCAGAAAACCCAAATCCAATATCGGATATATATAAGGATGATGCAGTGAGCCGAGTAATTCCATTAGCATCGGCTTCGGATTCTCATTGGCGGGCAAATCCTCGAAAGCGACACAGTCCGGTGGGAGTGGCAATAGTGTCAGTAGACGATCCGTGCGTACCTGTCAATTACGGTAGTTACAAGTAGTATACAAAACGTTTGTTTTGTTATATTACGACACAATCATGTGCGAATGAGCATGTTAGACGCTACTTACCGTCGCATCGGTCACGAGAAACCAATTCTTGCCATGACGTGAGCCAATTTCGTCCAAATGTGCGATTATCTCGTAACGACCATTCGAATTCTGCACCCACTCCTGCAATGCGTTAAGTGCCCGCTCACGTTGGGCACGCTCACGTGGACTGCGCTCCACAATGCCATTGCCGCTATCCAGCGCCGAGTATTGATATTTCAGATTTGGCCTGAAAGTTGAATAAAATGTTCGAAAATGCGGCAAATTCTGGCTTAAATGATAGAGGTGGTTACTATAAAGCCGGTGGTGGGATCAAAAGGAGGGATGGGGTGGCGGCGATGGATAAAATAATATAAATACAGGTATAACGCTAGATTTAATTGATTTTGAGGGAGCGGTGTTGAGGGGCGTGTTTTTAAAAATATAGATATTTTAGCTGTATAATTTCGATAACTAATTTCAATAACATATTATACATAACAATAAAATTTTTGCAGTTTTTTGATTTTATTTTTGTTTTTTAATTTTTATAAAATATAATTATTTACTAAATCTAAGAAAAACTTAATTTAATAATGTTTTGTAAAAAAAATTTGTATGCTGTATTCGGCAAATGCTGCTCACTGACATTTCTAATTATGACGAGGAAGTGTGCGAGGGTTGCGTTTCTCAAAACTTAGCAAAATACATTAAACGCTAGTTGCTTACTTTTTTGTGAATAATTATTATTTTGTTTAAAATTTGTTTAAAATAAATTTCTGATCATGTTTTGTTTTTAAAATTATGAACATTTTTTAAAATAATGTAAAACTTTTTTCTTTAAAATAAATGAAAATAACTTAGGAGCTTGGGAACATAAAGGAACTAATTTTTGAAATATGTCCAAAATGCATTTTTGATTTATAGCTAGGGATAATAATTTGTGTTTAGGTATGTAATTTTCAGATTTATTTGAAAAATTTGAAATTTTTAAAAACATTAAAATTCTGCAATTAGTTTAACATAACGCTGTTAAAATCGAATATTTTTCAAAATATGTACTTAATATAATAATTCACGAAATTATATTCTATAATCGCACACAGATTACTCGGCCACGTATAAACGCACACACTTCCTGCGTATAATAGAAATCAACAGTTTTATTAGACAACACACGGGCAAAGTGTGTGCTTGCATACATATGTGTGTATACTGTTATTTTATACTGTAATGAGAAAAATGCTGTAACACACATACGTATTTTCTTGCACGTGCATTTGTTATACATATACATACATAGAAGCATATGCCATGCAATGTGCTGCCTCTGGACACACACGACGGACAACCGGATTGCCGAGCATAAGTGGCAGTGACAGCACAGTACAGCATAGCACAACAAGACAGCGTAGCACAACAGCTGACAAATGATGGCACACAGCGGCGGCATGGCACAGCGGAAACGGAAGAGGAAAAAGATCAACCATTTGCGGTGAATAACCACAAAATGCGTCAGCAAACTTTCGTTAGTTGTTCGATTAACTTATTAAAATAAAAAATGCCTGCAAATTGAGAAGTCTGCAACACTTTCATTTTCTACACTGACATTTACATACACGTAAGTGGCACTAAGTTAAATGATATGTAGTTGTCTATTTTCAAGAAATTGGCGAAATTTACTTTGTTTTTAATAGAAAAGTTGATGCGAAAATTTTTTAATTCATTCTTACATTAATTATGAGTAAACATATTAAGTTTTCATAGAGTTGAAACATATATTATTAAGAAAACATAGAGCAACAAAACACATATGTATTTAGGCAAAGTAGTTGCAATAGAGAAAATGAGTAAATATTTGGTAGAAAAGAATTTGTGTGTTAATTTTATGTCTTATAAAGTGAAGAGTCTGTGTGGAGTGAACATTTATTGTTTAAAAATCGTTTTTCTCTGTGCGAATTTTCAGCAAACTTAAATAGAAAACGAGCTGTAAAAAAATTGGCGAGTGAAAAAAGCGAGCGACAACAAAAGCCATTAGAATGAGAATTATTTATGTTATATTATGCTTTGTAATACATTTATTTAGTTTAATAAAAATATATTTTTTTTGTTTGTGAATTTTATTTACCATATGTTAAGTTGTCTGATTATTATTATGGAATTTAATTTAAAAAATAATTGTGATTTTTATCAATTTTTAAAATTTTAGAAAGTCTAAAGTTTTTATCGTATACGCTAACTAGAATTGCTCTAACTTTTTCATTGCCTTTGTCGTGTATTCAGGTGCTTAATTAAACATATTCCGCTCTTGATGAACAAAATAGAAGATTTACTATTCTGAATATCTATTTTAAAGGTAGTAAAATTTAATTTCGTATGTTCTCAAGAATTGAAAAATACTTGATTGCAGTAGCTTGTGCTTTAGACAAATGTTTAACTTTGGTGTAAATTCATTACACACACTTTTACACTCAAGATCACAGAAAACATTTTTTTTAATGGTTCGGCTTGCGCTTGCTGTTTATATGCAACTGTTCGCACCAAATTTGAGCTTGAATATATGTAATTGACCAACCCGGTAAATTGTAGATACACTGTGAAAAGAATTAACTGTATTCGAATTTCAGTAAGATAAAAAAAACGTTAATTTCTGCAGGAAAAGCTTGTACTGATTTTCAATAATTAATTTCAGGTCAGTTTTTATGGTAGCTATATGCTATAGTAGTCTGATCTGAGCAATATATTCAAAGATAGTAGCGTTGCCTTGAACAATAATCCATGTCAAGTTCCGTCAAGATATCTTGTCAAATAAAAAAGTTTTCCATGTAAGCACTGGATTTTGATCGGTAATTTTGTATGACAGCTATATGCTATAGTGATCCGATATCCATGGTTCCGACAAATGAGCAGCTTCCTATATCATCATATATCCTAAAAACTGACTTAGCTCGTCATACTGATCATTTATATATATATATATATATATATATTTTATAGAGTCTCCGATGTTTTCTTTTGGATACAGCAAACTTCGTGGCGAACTTAATATACCCTGTTCAGGGTACAAAAACATTGAGGAGGCCAGCCAACTATTTTTACTGGCGGCTTAATACACTGCTCTAGTCGCCTGTTAAGTGTGAAAGTCCTTGGCGGCTTTGCGAGCCACAAACACATTGCGGAGGAGAGTGGTGCGTATATTTATATACTGTTTAAATGCAGCCGGATGTATATATAAGTATATATATAATTTTTAAAAATAAATGAAAAATTATATACATATATATATACATATGTTTGTGTTTACATGCAGTGTGCGATTGTGTTGGCAAATCAACCAAAAGCGCCTTTGGCAGCGCCACATTAACTGCAAACAATATCCGAACAAAAACCAAGTCGCATAGAAGCAGCCAAGCAGGAATGGCGATAGGCGCATTTTCTTTCAAGCATGAATAGTGAATAACTTTAAATTATTCATATGAATGACTAACAGCCTTGAACTCGCTGGCTGAAGAAATGTGCACTTGATAAAAATGTACACACAACTGCATACACACCTACATGCATGTATAAGGAAGAGAAAATAACCATTATGCCCAGTAAAATGCCAATTTTTGGCTGCGCATTCAGTTGCGTACAAAGGTTCATAAATTTTTTACTGAATTCGCTAACGCGCAGTTATCTTTGTGATATACACGTGTATATGTTATATAAGTAAACATTTCGGTATTTGTATGTATGTTGATTGTAGTGGGCATTTAAAATGTTGCTTGTGTCTGAGAAATAACGGAAAAGACAGTCGACAGCTGGCAGAGACAGTACGAAATTATATAACTAACTGTGAGTGGTAAATTTTGCAACAGAAATAATAGAGAAAAAAATTATGAAAAAAGTTAAATTTTTTGTAAAAATGTAATTCAACAACAAAAACGTTAATTATGACTGCACCGAAGCTATAATACCCTTCACAGGTGCATTTTTATATAGCATACAAATATTTAAAATTATTTTTATCCTGATTTTGATCGATTAGTTGGAATGACAGCTATTTGATATAATGGTCCGACAAATTATTTAGATATTTTATAGCTCTCTTGTACAAAAATCTAAGCAAAATTTCGTGAAGATATCTTGTCAAATCAAAAAGTTTTCAATGCAAGGACTTGAGCTCAATCGTTCAGTTTGTATGACAGCTATACGCTACAGTAGTCCGATATCGACGGTTCCGACAAATTAGCAGCTTATTGAGAAGGAAAGGATGTGTGTAAAATTTCAGATCGATATCTCAAAAACTGATAGCCTAGTTCGGTTAAATACAGACAGACCGCTATGGCTAAATCGACTCAGCTCGACATGCTGACCATTAATGTAAATATGTATACCTTATAGGGTTTCCGAAGTTTTATTTCAGGTGCTGCAAACTTCGTGGCAATCTTAATATACACTGATCAGGGTATACTAAAACTGTAAAGTACTGAAAGTATTTGAAAATAACTTTCTACGTGACGTATGCATTATAGAAGTATAAAGAAAATCTATGAAAAAAAATATTGGTGCTGCCACTTTGAAATATTCATAGTTAGCGAAGATTATATTCTAACAGATATTCTATAACTCCTGTCTGATAGCTAATTACTATTTTCGTAAAAAACATAGATTTACATCCGAAAAAAGTCTGTAAGAGTTTTGTGTGTTAAGCATACACTCTGAAACGACTTCTTTTTGCAAACTGAGAAAACTAACAGAGCAACTACCTAGAACTATCTCTGATGAAAGAAATTTCAAAAATATGCTTTAAAACTTATTTGAACTAAACTAAAACTTACAACTACAACCTAAGCAACTACACTGCAACTACAAATTGTGGAACTCATTTCAATGTTCTATACTCGTATTGTCTGCTTTGAACTTTGCTATGCAGCTATTCTTGTATTCCTTTACTATTACCAAGACTCATCTAAACTCATCCGATTATAAGATAAAATGAAATTTGAATGCCATGTCATGCTCCATCTTATAACACACTCATACGTTCACTGTGCTATGCTAAGTTATGCGCATTGTTCTTTCAAAATTGACATAAGTATGTACTTGTGTGTGTATAAGTAAGCTATTCGCGTGTGTGCTGTGCTCGGTGCCGTGTGCCATAATGCCAAGGTAGTATGTGTAGTGTTCTTCTAAGATTTTTAGATATGAATTCATATATATGTTCAGACACCTTGTTCTAATTTTCTATATAGGTACATATGTAAATATGTATATATGTAATAATATGCTAATACACATAAAATAACTATAAAAGGATTAATTACCAAAACCAAAATGTATAAATTTTGTTTTTATAGATGTGTGTTATGTCGTTTTGATTGTTAAGCGATGATGTCATATACTAGTATACAACTTTGAAAGAATTTACCAAAGTTAAGAGAAAAGTAGCAAACTTTATAGTTTTCAGTTGGTAATATAATTATAAGGACTGCTGAGGGTACACTTTACAATTTTTGGTTTAAACTTCAGCAAAGAAGTATAGAGAAATTTTATTATTTAATTTGCTGAAACTGCTTTTATAACTATAAGCTAATTTTTTTAAAACTATTTATAGATACATATTCTATGAGATATTTCTTTAGCGAATTTGTTGTTATTTTTTAAAAAGCCTCCAATATGTAAAATTGCATCAGTACCTGACAATGAAATTTGGTCAGTTTGTATGGCAGCTATACGCTATAGTGGTACGATATCGGTCGTTCTGACAAATGAGCAGCTTCTTGAGGAGAGAAGAACGTGTGCTTAATTTCAGATTGATATCTCAAAAACTGAGGGTTAAGTTCGTATAGGTATATACAGACAGACAGCAAGACAGACATGGCTAAATTGACTCAGCTCGTAATGCTGATCATTAATATATATATATTTTTTAGTGTCTCTGACGTTTCCTTTTGGGTGTACACTGGCTTATCTCATTGTAGTGTTTTATTAAAGTGTTTAAGTAGTTTTAATTGTGAAATACACACGAGTAAATGCAGCTCAGTCAACTGACTTATGTATTTAAAAAAAATATTTAATGTCACAAGTCCATTACTATTTTATGAATACCGGCCTAAATACCATTACTTACCCAATTTCATTTAAGATTTTGTCACTTTTTATAATTTTCTATTACATAAATTCCAATCATTTAGTTTAGACATTGCTAAGTACGCTTCGTAAAATATTAATTTCTAAAACTATATACACACAGTTACTTTTATACCTATAAATACTTGTATTACAAGTACTAACCGGTTGCTATCAAGTTATGATGTCAGTTAGGAACGAAATATTTAAGAAGCGTTGTGCGAAAGTACATTGAAAGCTTAAGTTTAAAACATGCTGGTGCCGTTTATAGAAATACATACATATTTGCATACATACATAAATCAATATATACAACCATAATATATACAGATATATTATACATTCATAAAGTGCACCACTACAAATTAGGTTATAATAACTGCAAAGTGTTATGAAATTACAAAAAATAAAAATATATATTTTTTTTATTATAAAGTGTGTTGTCGTTAGTGGTTGGGTATAATACTATGAAGGCCGTTTAAATATATCATATATATGTACATCAAGATATGTCTGTTACAACGAAAACCATTTCTTCATCTGCGTTAAGACTTATTGTATAATAAAAGGTAAACAAGATTTATGTACAATTATTAAATAGAGGTTGTTAACTTATTTCAATTCAATTTAAACTTTTAGCAATACAATTTTTTTTACTTTGTACAGTACGCTCACAATTACATTCAATAAATTTACTTAGCATACTGATAGAGAGGATAGTTTGGATAGAGAACTTAAGCCAATAATAAGTTGCTTCTTTTTAATTTTAAAATTTTTTGAGGTAATAAGTAAAGAAAATGCAACCTTGTCGTTAGCACAGAATCTATGGTATCTCTACTTCCGGTTTCCGCTGGCATCGATTTGCTAAAAAATAGCCTAGCTAGATTGTCTAACCTCGCGCTAACCAATGGTGATTTTTCCGAGTGCTCGGATTGATCTGAATTATCTTGTTCCGAACTGGCTGATCGATTGCTGCAAGAGAATAATTTTGTTTGCATCGAATGAAACAAAACGTAAGAAACAAAGAACAGAACAAAGAAAATACACACACAAATTAGAAGATCAATTCAAAAACTGAACTCGTTCGAATTGTGGTATTTCAAAAAATGCTTGTTAATTTATGATATTTGATCAAAAAGTGTGATTGGTACAAACTAATAAGTGAACTAGGTGATTTTTATTTTATTTTTTATTATACAAAAATCAAATTAATACAAGTGGTGTGAAGTTTAAATGAAAAGTTAATACACAAATCAAAACCGTTTATGGGCAGAATATTCGTTCATTTGTCAGCTAAAAAGACTTACCTGCTGTAGATGTGCCGACGATTGGCGGCTGTGAGCGCGGATACGTCAAATTCGATCGCTGAATTGGAGCGTTTCAGTCCATTTTGTTTGTGTAATTTCTTCATTATGTGTTTAACTTTCCTGCGTTTTAGTATGAACATTTGGCGTGTTTTTTTTTTTTAATTTTAATTTTTATTTGTTGTTTAATTGCATGCGTTTTAAAGTGGGTTTGGAGAGTAATTTAAAATGAGAATTAATCATAAGTTTGGTTAATTAACATGTGATACTTTGTTATTGTTTAAACGACATTTGTGGGAAGTTTCTTTTTTGGCGTATAAGAGTTCGCTAAGGTTCTTCTCCTCAAAATATTAACTGTTTTAACTGTGATATTCTGAGTAAAAAACTAGTATATTTTACACTGTCTAACAAAGAAAGGAGCAGACTTGAATAGATTTTATAATTATTTCGAGTATTTTCTATGTATTTAGAAATTTAGAGATGTAAGTTAAGTTGAAAAGCCGATACGCTTGCTAGGGAGGACACCCTTATTCCAATTTCATCCGTTTGGAAGCTAGTCGGTATTCTGATGTCCTCTTGCGTTCTAGCGTTGTACGTATGTACCTCAGGAGAGCTCGGCAAGCGCTAGTCAACAACCAGAACTTGTGCCACTACTTGCTTTTAGCAAAGTCAATCTCGCCGCAATTCGCTGCGGTACGGTAAATATTTTGTCGGACACTCTTTGCCAAAACTGTGTAAAGGAAGGAGAGGTAGAATCATCTTATCACTTTCTCCTCTATTGTCCGAATTTTTCCAGACAGATTAAAATTTCGCGGTAGGCACACCTTCGGCGAACCTAGCGAAATAGTTGGGATCGATATTAACCGCTTTAACAAATTTGTAGTAAGCTCGAAACACTTCCTCGGTTTATCAGGATCTGGTGATCCATTTTTAGGAGTTTAAGCGTAACACAAAAACCATTATCTGTCCCAGTAAAATTCATCCTTTGGGATCAGCCCTATGTTCTAACCTAATCTAACCAAGATACTTCACTAGTCTCAGTTAAGTGAATCTTTTCTATATTCTAATTGTTATTCTTCTTTTTGGTGCGGTGACGGATTCAACTAATCAGAGGTCATCAACATCCAATTGTGCTTGAGTCATAAATAAAAACGCGATTTTTATTTATGTATTTGGATGGATTGAAATTATTTTAGTATTACAAATTTTTACGATTTGACATTTCCTCAAGTTCAAGAGAAAGAGACTCGAAAGCACAATGAAGCTAATGATGAATATATTAAGTAAAGAGGATCTCAGTATAGACTGAGCAATTTTAGAAGTTAACTTGTGATCAAGCTTACTAAATGTGGTAGCTAAACCAATAAGGAGCTTGAAATACCAGCCCTTGATGAAATTTGAAGATGAAACTGGAAAACAATATAGCTCTTATTTTGGTTACAGAAGTGATAATGTACACTGATAAACGAAATCAGAATACTTAGGTTGGTTATAGCGTTTTGAGGTGTAACCAGTAGCTGGAAATATACTACAAATTCGCTGAGTTCTGCACTCTAAAAATTTCACACTAATCTCAAAACTTCCCACCATAGTCGTTTTTACACTTGAAATATTTTCATAAACTTCAATATTTCACTCACTTCTCGGGCACTGGTGGTCGGACAAACTGATCGTGTCCGGTGCAGGCGTTCGCCCGATTTTCAGCGCGATTTTGCGCGGCCGCTTTATTGAATTTAAACATTGTGAATGATTTTTTCGCGCTGGCAACCTCACAAACGCGCACAATGATCTTGCGACTGCTCTTGAAGACCGTATTCAATGTTTTATACACGAGTATCGAGACGGACTTGGAGGGTGGCGGATGATGGCTGCCGTTAACCGTTTGCGGTGGATGTAGGGTGGCCGGCAGTGATTGCTGTTGCTTTAGTTGGTGGATAGAGTGCGAATGTGGTTGTTGTTGTTGATAGTTGTTGTTATTGTGGTGCAATTGCTGCAACTCTTGTATAACTTTAGATGATTGTGATCTTGTGATAACTTTTTGATTTTGCTGTCGTAGTGGTAGTGGCGCTGGTGTATGGGTAAAGGGGTTGCTGCCACCGGATATGGGTGTGTTAATGGATTTCGTTGGGTTAATTGTTGGTTGGGGTGAGGTGGGAGTGGTGGTGGTGCCAGTGGTGTTGGGATTGTTGGTGGTGGAAGTAGAGTATGTGGATTTGCACGATTGTTGCTGCTGTTGTTTTTGTTGTTTTTGTTCAGTAAGCAACAGCTGCGCAGGAGGCTGTATATGAGTTGGCAACAGTAAAGGTTGCTTTTGCTGCTGCAGTTGCTCTTGCTGCCGGCAGCTGTTGTTGACAATGACCTCGTCGGCGGCTTGCACTGGCGGTAGATTGCTAGTAATGTCCTTTGTTGATAAGCAGAGTATTTTTTATTTATTGTTTTTGTTTTTAAGTTTTTTTTTGTTTTTTGATTTTTTTTCGGTTAGATATTTTAGAGTAAGAATTTAAATTTATTTTTTGCAAGTTTTGTATTTTTGTGTTTTTACATTTTTCAGTGTTGTGGGTTGTTGTTATTATTATTTTATTTTTATCATTTGCGTAAAAGAACCGAAAAAAAGAAAGAGAAAGAAAATTGTTTTTAAAAAGTGTGTTCAAGTGATAAATGGCTGTAAACTCTTTAACAACAACAATAAAAGCATTTAGACATTTTACTTTGCGCAGAGGCTTGTAAGAAATATACAAAAATTCCGTTAAACATAGTCGTTGCATATAAAACGTGTTACTGGCTGTTGCTGCACCGAAAGCGCGAACGAACGAGTGAATGATAGGTGGACGGGTGAACAACATACATACTAGGATAGCGGCTAGTAGCTGGACGTGACATGGAATGTGGCGTGTAAGGTGTAACGCTGGGCGAGTACGTTATGTGAAACAGTTGTAACTTTTGATAATGTACCATCAAGTGGCAGGCGGTGGGTGGTGAATGGGCGTAGAACGAATGCACGATTATACGATTGCACTACTACTATTGGCAATATGAATGATGGCATACTACTGAATTCGATGAAAGCAAATTGTGTACTTATTTTGCCAAGAGGATTTCATACTGTGATTGTGAATGGTAGTATATTTATTTACTTATGTACAAGTGTCAGCGTGTGGGTTTATAAATTTGATTGCTGTACAGCGCTCAGTGCGAGCACTTATTAAAATCGTATCGTGATATAAATGTGTATAAAGTAAGCTTCAGCGCACGCTGCACACATTTTGCATTGCAATTTAACTCTATTAACAAAAAAAAAAAATGTAGTAATGGAATTATTGGTTGCAAACTCACACAATTATTTAGTAATAACTTGAAGCGCTTTTTGCATTAGCTATTACTCTGCTTTCACTTTTTGCTCACGTTGAAAACTAGTTAAATACAAATATGATACATCCTTAGCACTTTGGTTTTCATGGTATTTGTATTATCTACTCATAAGTTTGCTACAAAGCATACAATAAATACACTTAAATATATTAAATCCTGAATGAGATTCAATTAACTATCTAGAAAGGAAATGATTGATTGTACTGATTGAAATTATAATAATATTAAATAATAATAGTATTAAAGAAAAAAATCGAAGAAGAGCGAAGTGAGCGTGTTCATGTAATTATTTTACTGACAAAATTACAATATTTTGTAGGTATTTAGAGACCATAACTACATCGATACAATATACGAAGCTTCTCACTCTCCTAAAATTTTATAATGAAATATAATTAATTAGGAAGCTGCCAAGATAATTTGCACGCTTAATTGAGTTTAAGATAAACTTGAAAACGCTTTTTTGTCGATTGGCTGGTGTTATTAATATGTGTAATTAACATATTATAACTTTATGAAAATTATCTGTGGTAACATATATATTAGTTATATAAAGTTTTTATATAGTTTCAAAAAGAAAACAATATAAAAAAGAAATACGATGTATAAAAGTATATTTTTTCAATCAAGTGCTTTGATTAATCAACAATTTATAAAAATATTTAACAATCAATTTTAATGATTTAAGGAATTATATTCATTTGCAAGTCAGAAAAACTGTTTTTTTGTAATTTTTTTTTTGAATTTAATTAAATAAAAAAAAATTTAAATAAACAAGATAAAACGTTAATTTCGGCTGCACCGTAGCTGTAATATCTTTCACAAATACAAAAGATTCCTTACAAGAACTTTATTTTAATCGGTCAGTTTGCATGGCAGCTATATGCATAGTGACCCGAACTGAACAATTTCTTTGAAGATTGCAGCATTATCTTAGGCAGTAACCCCTGCCAAAATTTTGTCAAAAGAAAAAGTTTTCTATACAAGCATCTTCCGATCGTCCAGTTGCCCAATTTCAGGAAGATAACTTTTCAAATGAAAGAGTTTTGCATTCAAGAACTTTATTCCGATCGTTCAGTTTGTATGGCAGCTATATACTATGGTGGCACGATATCGGCACTTCCGACAAATGAGCAGCTTCTTGGAGAAAACAGGACGTGTGCAAACATGATATCTCAGAAACTGCAGGACTAGTTCGCGTATATACAGACTGACAGAAGGACGGACAGACAAACATGGCTAAATCGACTCAGCTCGTCATGCTGATCATTAATATAGTATATATTTTATAATGTCGCCGACGTTTCCTTCTAGCTGTTATAAACTTCGTGACCAATTTAATATACCCTGTTCAGGGTATACAAGAGGAAATTTACAGTAGTTAATGTACATTAATAAACGGCGATACATTTTAAAAAATTTTGGAATCCTTTTATTCCAGGAGGACCATCTAAAAAAGGTGTCTGGCGGGCAGGAAGAGTTTTCTGCTTCAAATTATCTCAAATCACAGATAACGATCGAAGGATTCGTCAAAATTTTTGTTTTGACAAAATGCCCATTTCCCGAAAAGTCGTTTTTGGTGAAAAACTATTCAATACAGAAGGGCTTTAAAAATTAATTTATTAAAAAAAATCTAAAATTATTACCCAAAACCTTATTGCTTCGAACATTGCTTGACAAATATATCTATAAAGATCGTGTGAAAATTTTTAGTTGACGGTCCAGTCGTTTTGTAAGCGTTTACACTAAATTAAAAAATTCTTACAAATACGCTCATATCTTCGAAATGATTTTTCTATTAAATTTAAATCTTCGGAGAAAGTACTCAAATATATGTACATCTGATGATAAAAAAAAAAAATTTTTTTTTTTAAATTAATAGGTGTATGTGACCCCTTCATAAATTTTTTAGTAATCAAAATTTTGTCATAATCATTTTGTAAAATTTCATAAATTTACTAAACATAAATATATACCTATATATAATATATAACTGAAAAATGCATTTCAATATTAAAAAATTGTTTCAGCAATCAAATTGTAAATTTCGCATTTCCCAAACAAATTCACATGCACAATTTTATTAAACAATATTTAATTGCTAAGCATAAAGTAAATAAATAAGTAAGTATCATAATGGCAGCCAATTCTAAATTTTAACTACTAAAAATCGCAAAACAAAGGAAACCTTATAACTCTTTCTATTCCTAAAATAACTAAAATTGTTAAATTTGATTAAGTTTTTCATATTTTACAATAACAGCCAATAGCATTTATTTTGATTAAATTTATTTGGGTATTCAGAAATATATTTCGCACAAAACTTGTTGAGAATTATTTACAAAACGATACGAGAATTGAAAACTGAAATGTTTGTGTGAAATTTCAGTGAAAGTAAAACCACAAATTTTTAAAATTAGCTTCATTATTTCAAAACTTTATCATCCTATTAAAAAAAATTTAAACTGAACGTTTATTGCATGAAAATGCAATATTTTTTTGATTTGTGATACGCTCTTTATAGCTTTTTAATGTCTCCAAAAGAAGGGTATTTTTAAAAAGCAATATTTTAGAACCATACGGTGAATACGAGTAAATGACAATCAGTGAAATTTTATGATTTTATGTTATTTGAATTTCTCATAACACTTAAATCACATAAATAAACACATATATGTACAAGTATGTATATGGCATGTACGTATATATGTATAAACAAAAGCATTCATTTAAGTATATCATAGCAAACCGATTTATTGCCATCATTTCGGGGAAACTCAATGGTTTTCGATTTCCTTATGTTTTCCTTGGTTTTCGTTGTTTTTATTGCTTTTACCGTTACCAGGAAACCGCCAAACGCGCACGGATTTACGTACACCTCCCAGAGCGTATATCTATTTAAGTGGCATCCGTTCGTGCATAACCTACCAACTAAAACCGGCAAAAGACGAAGTCAAAAAGTATGAAGCGCTCAGGTATGCGCTGCCACACGTGAGCTCACAGTCTGCCTCATTTTGTTTTTCGCATGTCTAGCTATATGACACTGTACGTGTCACATATATATCTATATAGTCCAGCGACCTGCTCAAGGCAATCAAATTGATAAATACAAGTGTGTACAATTGATTTTTTTTTTGTTTTTTTTGTCAATTTGTTGGGTATTTGTTTTATTTACCAGTCATTGCTTTATGTCAATAAGTGTGGTATAGTGAGCATGAATGTGCGTATAATTGTGCGTTTGTACGGATGTCTAACGGGGAATTGTATATGTGTGTGTGTGATATTAATGATGTCTGCGTATAACTATAGCCATGGAAAATTTGTATGTAATAGAAGCAGAAACACGTTGTTTTGCCACGTGAGTGAGCGCTGAATGCCACAAAAGCTTGTATACCGCATTTAATTTAATTTCGGCTTCGAGTTTCTTTTACTTTTACTGTTTTCTACTTACACGTTATGTGTATGTTTTTGTAGCTGATATTCGTTTTACAGGTTCATTGATTTTTACTGAACTGTTTCTAAACTTAAATATCTTTACGTCGCTGTAGTGGTATAAAGTGTTCAACTGGAGCTAGATGATTTTATTCAGCTCGGTAAGTGCTTATATGACCTCAGAGAATTTCGGGCTGTAAAAAATATGTACTAGTCCAACTTTGTAAACATTTGTTTTCTTAAATAGTAATCTGTGCCAGATTTCGTTAAAGTATCTCGTCAAATAAAAAAGTTTTCTTTACAAGAACTTGACTCAGATCGTTCAGTTTTTATAGCAGCTATATGTTATAGTGGTCTGATATCGGCGATTTCGACAAATAAGTAATAACAATTGTGTGACTATATTTTATAGAGTATCCGCCTTTTTCTTCTTACAAACAGTTAAGTTTGCCAATATACCCTGTTCAGGGAATCAAAATTAAATGTGAACCGCGAAGGCTGAGCTACGAAAACTTATATATCATACTACTACCATATAACTGATTAAAATGGTCGTAGTGCTGTCACATTTTATACATAAAATTTTCTTATTTAATAAAT